CGCACGCTTTTTTGAGCGAAGAATCTTGAAAAAGTTTTTTTTTTTTCTTTCTTTCTTAATTCTAGACGCTCCCTGGGATTGGCTAATTAGGACTTGTTTAATTATATTGCTTTAATTATTAAAACGACACTCCTTTTTGTTGATTATTGTTGCCAATCTTAATGAGGTCCTCGCCCTTGTTCCAGATCTCTCACACACTATGCCATTGTCTGTCCCGCCCCTGTCCCCATCCGCGAAACGTCGAAAGCCTCTGCATGACAGAAGTGCGTCTCATACCAACGAACTGCCTCCTTCTCCAACATTGCGCCTCGTTATGGAGAAGGACTCCGACGACGACGCTAATCTCTATACGACGGATCCTTATCCCACCAAGCCGGAACACATTCTCCTGCCCACGCCGAGCAATAACCGACTCTCCGGGCCTCTGACTTCCAACCCTGTTTCATCTCTGTTCCATCGCGACCAAGCCCGCGACTCGTCCGCCAGTACGGACTTTGTCAGTCAAATCTTCCCTGATGACCCTGGGGAGAGCGTCTCAGAACTATCCACTTTAGTGCAAGAGGGGAATCTCTCGAGCTTCATCTGGGGCGGGAGTGAAAATTCAAGCAATACCTCTGTTCCGCCTCTAGTATCGCCTGTAATTGATGAAGGAGATAGTGTGGGTAGCGAGAAATCCGATGGCGGTGACCGAACGCCTCTACCGCCGCTTCGCACCACTATCAAGAGTGTTCCTCAGGGGATCTCCACGCCTGACCTGTCAGATTCGGATTCCAGCAGTCCAAATGTAGTTGAGCTGGGCCTCACGTCAAGCCCAAACGTTATCCCCCTGAATACCTCATCTCCGAATTTTATGCCAATTGCTCCTTCCACTCCATATTACGTCAAAGAAAGCTCCTCCGATTCTTCCCTGTATTCCGCTAATACCTTTGGGACCGCACGGCGATATGTTCGTCCTCAACACCAAAATCCTTCCTTTCTAGACCGCGAGAGCAGTCAATCACAGTCGCTTCCTTCTAGCCCCCCAAGCGCAATTCTGAGATCGTACCGGTCTGCATCATCTCTTGCACTATCGCGAGGAGGCTCAATACAACGATCGGCCTCTGCGTCTACTGGCAGTGGACAGTCGCCAATCGCCGAATGCGGTGTGTCTGTTAGATACCCAGTCATCCGCCATCCTTCTGCTACACCGTCCGTTGTGGAGCCATCGTCTTCCTTGCCTCCTCAGTCCTCTCGGCTGAGGAGGTTCCAGTTAAATAGAAACCTCCATTTGTCAGTTGTGCCCTCTGAATACTCGGCGGAAAGAGAACTCAACAGCCAGATTTCGCCCCTCGTTGATCGAACAGAGTCGACACTACAAGCAAAAGATAATGCCACCGGTGGCCGTCATTCCGATTTCTCAATCCGACTTGTGGCTCAGTCAGAGAGTGACGAAGGCGCCGACACACTTTCCCAGCTCCATCCGTATCCGTTGCGAACAAAACGATCCGGCTCCTTAAGTAATCACTCTATGGTGTCTAGACTTGATAGTTTTCGGTTAATGAGCAGACCTGGTTCCAGCGCCAGTACCGTTCTCAACACGCTCCCCACATGGGCGAAGGTCTACTATCGGAGCGGCGATCCTGCTTTTCAATTTTCCGCCCTATCCCTCGTAGAGGGTAGTCGCCCTTCAACAGCTGCGAGCGCCCGCCCCGCAAATTTTGCGCCTCTCGATATCTCCCGCACACGTCGCCCAAGAAAAAATACCGATACCCGGCTGGCTCTTCCCGCAATAGATACTCGAGACCCTCGGATTCATTGGGTCGGCGGATATCAGCTGGCTGCAGACAATCTTGCAAGGTCCCCTTCCCGATCTCCATCCCGGGAAGACCTTCCTCCCAATTGGTCGCCGCATTTATACCCAGATCATCGTATTGGCTCCTTCCAAAGATCCATTTGGAACCCCCCATCGCTTGACGAAGCTGCAGAGGGAATAGTCAGCTGGCGCAACGTTCAAATCTACCTCTTCTGTTTGGGTTTTCTTCTGCCGCTCAGTAAGTTGCTGGTTCCTTCTTGATCTTCCTGTAGCCAGCACTAATCAAAATCATGAAGCCTGGTTTGTCGCTGCATTTCTTCCACTCCCCCCACGCATTTACCCGGCTCAATTCTCCACGGGCCAACCGGACGTTGAGCGGAATTTCAACAATCGAGTTAAGCATATAGACCAAATTCGCTACGAGAATGCTAGATGGTGGCGAAGACTTAATCGGTGCATGACGCCTGTAGGACTTGTAATTATAGCTACAATTGTGAGTGCCCCTCTTTCTCCATGGCACCTAGGATTCTAACTAGTAATTAGGTTACCCTTTCTGTGCTGGGTATCAAAAATATTATATAACATCTTGCCTTAAAATTCTTCTAGGTCTTCGGACCTTACGACTTAATGCCCTTCATGTTTTCTCCTTTCTACCAGCGCTCCATGACTGATTTAGAAACCGCACTTTACATCTGGCGGGTGACAATTCGCCCCTTTGACGAACTTACGACGGCGTCAGCTTCCCGGTTACTATAGAATCCGTGTCTTTTCCAGCGATTTGATTCTTTCTTGCCTCCTTTTTTTGATTCCAATATTATTTTAACCCTTTTGACCATTCCTTGAGCCCAATGACGCTGACATATCCTTCTACATGCGCACACAGTTGCACATATATACCCAAGCTATCCTCACCTTGGAAGATATTACTTTTATCTATTGCCCACTGGCTATATATTTTTACATACAAATCCTACTTTTTTTTGGACATGGATCGAGATAATATTCTTGACTTTTAAAATACCCACTTATTTTCATCCATACACTCATATTAGAGATGTATGATAGCATATCTTTAATGTAATACTTCAAGGGGGAGTGCTCTCCTCTGGAGAGTTTAGTCTTTTTGTGGCTATCTTTAATCCCTAAAGTACAGCGCAAGAATGGAGCATTTGCTATAGGCATTATATCGGAATTGTTATAGAAAGTAGGGGACATTAGGGATGTCGCCTTCGACCCAAAAGGGGAGGTCTTTAGCATAACTGGTGAACGCTTCAACATCGTGATTTCAACTTTTCTTCAATCAACGCGATCAATTCCTGGCCAGACGGCATATTCACTACACTCCCATTTCTCTTTCTCGCCTCAATCTCCGCCTTGATTTCTCTCATTGCCTCATCAAAGTCTCTTTCGGGGTCATCCGGCAATCCCAGAGTTGGGCCCGGAGACAACACCTTGTCGCTTGCAGCTTTCTCGTCACGCGGAGGAGGCGTAAATCCTTTATTTCTCAATTTGATTTTCTGCACTAAAATCGCTTTTGCTGGGCTGGCGAAGAATACAAGCGATACAGCAATCCCGAAAATTCCATAATAGTATACATGTGCCCAGGCCGCAATGCAGTCGCCAAATGTGAGAAGGATGAATGGGGCGACAACGAAGGAGAGGGTAAGTTGGGTGGTCACCCAGCCCAAAATATCATAATAGCGCTTTTGCGGCGTAGGCTTGGAGCCATCAGGTGTCATGAAAAAGGGGCGAAGATGACGACGCAGGTCTAGCAATTATCATTGGTGTGTGCACGAAATTAAAAAGATAAAAGATAGTTGAGGTTTGGAACTTACTCTTCGCTGTTGTCTGAACAAATGCCCCAAGTATGAAGGTGAGATAGTAGCCTGGGTAGAAGCCATGCCATGTAGCGCTGGTTAGGAATGTTGCCAGACTAGCTCTGAAGCCAGGCTTTCTTCCCTTCGGAGTGACTCGTAGGTAAATATAGTTTCGCAGCCAGTGATTGGTGTTCTTGTTCCAATTACCCAAAAAGCCATGGGGACTCTGGGCGGTTTCTAGCTCCAACGGGTTCACGTTTTCTAGCTTATTCCAATATGCCTTCCCAGTCTGCGGATCGAAACCGTTATAGCCCATGCCACTGAGGATACAAGCGCCTTCAGTCAAAGTCCATACGCCATAATATTTAGTCCGTGCAGTGAGACCAAGCATCTGTAGGAAAAAAACGCGCTTCAAAAAGCCGTAGCTTAGATATTCTGGACTGAGTATTATCGTTTTGTTAAACCACGGCCCAGCCTGAATGAAAACCAAGATCCAAAGTAGTCCGATGAGCATTTTTCGCATCGCAGGGCGGCCACTGCGAGGAATTTTTCGCTTCTTGCGTACTGCAGGCACCTTTGACGGGTCCGAACCTGGGGGATGATCAAACATGGTCGTCTCAATCCACCGACGATACTCGACATAGTCGAACGCTGGTCCAGCAAACAAGGAAGGAAAGAAAAAAACATAGCCCGCGAAATCCAATATGCTAGGAAGCTTCTTAATGGCCGCGTGCTTCTGCGCGTCCGACAGCAAATTTTCGGCAACCCGACCATCGTGCACATTCCAGCAAAAGGCGCTAAGTTTCATCACCAGTACCATCTGCGCGCCTGTTATATCGACAGAGGATGGCTCGGCAACAATTTGACGATATATATGGCTAATAGACATATACGTCATTAAAAATACGAAGCCAACCCACGGCATTAGCGATCCGTCAACGAAGTATGCAATGGCGTACGCGCCGGCTGCATTATAGAGAAGGGTACGGAGACCATCCCAGAGGTCAAAGAGCCCGACCAAGTAAAAGATAGAGACGAGAATAATAAAAGCGTTCTTCTGCCATGGCTTGGAGTCGGGAAGACGTTTAAGGATCGCGGCGAGGGGATAGGAGAGGAGAAAGGATGTGAGTAGCTTGACTGTAGGTCAAAGACGTGAGTAACATAGAGCCTAGTGGAGATTCAGTAAAACGTACGCTCGTCAACGGAGGCACCAGTGAGCCTGGAGACTGAAACGAAGGCTGAAAAGAGAAGCTGTCAGAAATCACATCTTTGTCGAGAGTTAGATGGGGACGAACGAATATTGATATACGGAAGCATCGTGACCAACGCTTATATTATGCACGAGGAAAGCTGCATTAGACGCCGATAGGCTCTATTCGGGCCCAACAGACCGGATGAGAGTAGGTGGCCCCCTATCGCAAGGAGTATCTCGTTGTTGGGAGGAAATTATGGGGACGCTGGATGACTAAGCTGGCGCTCTCGGCGGCTATTTTGCCTAGCCGGCGATAACGTTTGCGGCGGGCAGGCGGTTAGGAAGATCAAAACAGGCACAAACTTGCCGTTGATACCGTAATACATACTAGATTTCAAAAATACTTTGACCCAAGAGACATTTGGATTCCGTACCGTACTCCATACTCCATACTCCATACTCCGCCTTTTAAACGCGTTTCCTTGAATATCTCAAAATAGAAACGCCAAGCCACGGTAGCCGCGGCGCTCAAATTCGTTGGTTCAGCGCAATTGCCAGGCCCTCGATCTGACCGAGAGTCGAAATTCTCTTGTTTGAATACAATAATAGAAGATCCATTGATGGCGGACCTCTCTAAAAATAGCGTCTTTCAGGCGCCTTGCCGCAGTTAACCAATCTCACACCGTTTCCTCGATTCTCTTGGCACAGTTGACTTACCTCATCCCCTCAGACGCCTGCTGCTAAGGTTCTTTAGCGCGAATTTAGTGTTTTGAACTAACCGATTCTGGTAATTCTGCCAGAGCCTGAAAGAGAAGTCTCAATTCAGCCTAGTGTATCTTGGCACAGACCCACCCTAATTAGTAAGGTAGGAGACGGTGAAGGTCTGAGGTTATGAGGCAAACAGTTGACTAGTTAACTAGCTAATCAGCCAAACAGTGCAAACTCTCCAAGATGCTAGGTAGTTACTAAGTCGTAGACCGTGGCGGCGAGCTTGACGACTCTGTGACCGCAGCCACCGGCATTACACCCGGAGACGGACAGCTAGGACATTTTCTTTAATTGCAGGAAATACCTAGGCTAAGGACACAAGATGGATATCGTTGCAGCTGTGTCCGGATACATTTCGAAGATGGTTACCGCGGGTGACTCTTCTACCCCGGGGTCTTCCACTGCAAAAATGAAAATACTACTGCTTGATAGTGAGACCGTGGGAGACATGCCCTTCTAGTTATCTAATCGTGATCTAATTGGGACGCTAGGTCCAAATTGTATCCAGTGCAATGACCCAATCCGCCCTCCTTAGCCACGAAATCTACCTCATCGATCGTCTAGACAACCAGTCGCGGGAGAAAATGCGACACTTGCGGTGCCTGTGCTTTGTTAGACCATCGACGGACTCTGTTCAGTTTCTTATCGATGAGCTGCGAGAACCCAAATATGGAGAGTACTATATCTACTTCAGTAATATCGTGCGAAAATCATCTCTTGAGAGGCTAGCGGAAGCGGATGACCATGAAGTTGTAAAGGCTGTTCAAGAATATTTTGCAGATTTCTTGGTTATAAATCCAGATCTCTGCTCATTGAATATGGGCTTCCCGAAGCAACGCCTATGGAGCCACAGCCCGGACATGTGGAATTCAGACGCGCTACACAGGACCACTGATGGCGTAATTGCCTTGTTATTGTCCTTGAAGAAGAACCCACTTATTAGATATGAGAAGAATAGTTTGATGGCCAAAAAACTTGCTACAGAAGTCCGATATCAACTCACTCAGGAAGAGCAACTGTTCAACTTCAGAAAACCTGACACGCCCCCAATTTTACTTATTTTAGACAGACGAGATGACCCAATCACTCCTCTGTTAAATCAATGGACATATCAAGCGATGGTACACGAACTTCTGGGCATCAGAAATGGGAGAGTTGACCTAAGTGATGTGCCAGATATTCGTCCTGAATTAAAGGAAATTGTTGTTTCTCAAGATCAAGATCCATTTTTCAAGAAGAATATGTACTCAAACTTTGGTGATCTAGGAGGAAGCATCAAAGAATACGTTGAACAATACCAGTCAAAAACAAAGAACAGCATGAGTATTGAATCCATCGCCGATATGAAACGATTTGTCGAAGAGTATCCTGAATTTAGAAAACTTTCTGGAAACGTTAGCAAGCATGTGGCACTTGTTGGAGAGCTGAGCAGGAAGGTCGGGGAATATAATCTATTAGATGTCAGCGAGTTAGAACAAAGTCTCGCATGTAACGACCATCATTCTAACGATCTTAAAGTCAGAAATAACACTGTTCCGTATCAACGAAAATGTACACTAACAATCTTCCCAGGCACTTCAACGATTTATTCAGTCTCCAACTGTGACGGTTGAGAATAAGCTACGTTTAGTTGCTCTTTATGCCATCCGATATGAGAAACAGCCTTCCAACGCCCTCCCGGTTCTGATCGACTTGCTCGCTGCCGCCGGCGATGTTCCTCCTCACAGGATCAACTTGATTCCGGAACTCCTAGCGTACCACCATTCGCTCCAAGCACCTCCAGTTGCCGGGGGCTTTTCTGACTTGTTTGAGTCTGCTTCCTTCTTGACAGGAGCTCGAGATCGTTTCAAAGGTCTTAAAGGAGTAGAAAATGTCTACACGCAGCACTCCCCCCGGCTCGAAGCAACCCTTCAAAATCTCATCAAAGGCAGACTAAAAGAACTGCAATACCCTTTCCTCGAGGGCGGCGGACATACCCGTGACAAACCGCAGGATATTATTATCTTTATGGTCGGAGGGGTGACATATGAGGAGGCGAAAATGGTAGCACAGGTAAACGCCACTACGCCCGGCGTCCGTGTTGTGCTTGCTGGAACGTGCGTACATAACAGCGCGACTTTCCTAGAGGAAGTTGACGATGCTGTTGGAAATTGGCCAGAACAAGCTCCTGCTACAGCGGCTGGAAGGTTAAGGAGAGAGGTCAATCGGTAGTAATTAGCAAATGGCGTTCTTTCACATATGTAGACGGCCTTGGTGTATGGAGCGACTTTTTGTTTCTTCGGGACATACTTTCATATTTTTTTTAATTTTCTATACGGAGAACAAGCTACGGAGCGCATGGAGTATGTAACTATGTGGTTTAGTTAGTTAGCTAGCGTGTTTACGGGTATCATAATGGAATCTTCGCTGTAGTTTCTGTAGTTTAGTTCTCCGTCCAGCCTTCTAATCAAATACAAAGCCTGGAGCGCCTCACGACCACCACCTCCCTTTTCTTCAGTGCAGCGACCGCGTGGGCGGTCCGAGCCCTGGGGCTTGCCCGCCATCATCCATGGACTACCACCAGTTAGAACCGGTGCTCGTCTCATCTCCAGGCGCTGCGCGAGATGCCATTCTTCGGCTGCCAGCGACCACAAACCCTCCGGGCCCCCAGAACCCGCCGCAGCAGCTGGTCTGGCTGGTGAGTCGGGTTTAAAATGGCTGCTCTACGTCTGCTAACTCTCTGTGTGTATTGCAATCGGTAGATATTCGGCGCAACAGGTCATATGGGTCGCTCTCTCGTGAAATCCGCCCTCGTCCACAATGACCTTGTTGCTGCCGTCGGCCGCACTTTCGAAAATTCTGCTGCGAGTATGGAGCGTCTTCAGAGTGAAAATAAAAATAGCCTCGGTCTTCTTTGCGATGTCCGGGTCCGAGAAACAGTGCAAGCAGCGATTGACAGAACAATAAGCCATTTCGGCCGGATTGACATTATTGCCAATTGCTCTGGATATGGTGTCATCGGGGCGTGTGAAGACCAAGAAGAGTACGATATTAGGAATCAGTTCGAGACGAATTTTATGGGAACGTTGAATATCGTACAGTGCTCGCTGCCGCATTTCAGGCAGCGGACTGCTGGACGTTATCTTATATTTAGTTCGACATCCGGCGCATTGGGTGTTCCTGGCCTTGGGCCATACTGTGCGTCTAAGTATGCTGTTGAGGGTCTTATAGAGAGTATGCTCTATGAAATCGACTGCTTTAATATCAAAGGAACTTTGGTGGAACCAGGCCATATTCGCCGCGACGATTTCGATAATCTTCCTGGAATTCCTGTTCCGGAGAACTATTTATCTTCTCCACTCCCTGCGTTTGGACACTTTTTGGTCAAGCCAGCCGGCCCTGCATATAATGGCCAGAATGCCCCAGCCGCTCATGCAAAGAGGGTCATACAATGGCTGGGAGATAAGCAGCCTACAAGTGCTGTGAAGGCAGCAGAGCTGGTATGGCAGCTAGGCCATTGCTCATATCCCCCACTAAGATTGCTTCTTGGCAGTTACGCCGTGGAAAGCATTAGGGATCGGTTGAAGTGCATCACTGAAGAAATTGAGGATTGGAAGCATCTGAGCTTTCCACCTAGTGAGCTACATCAAATGGACCCATCGCACAATAGGGGCGAAAATGCAGATTCAAGCACTTCTGTTGCGGAAAGCCACACCCTTACCTCCGATGTTGGGATGGGGGGTTGATTAATCCTCTCTTCGTTTATCTTTGGGTCTACTCTACAAAGGAACCACCCTTATGCATATACATTTATTCCACTTTATGCGGCTCGACTGACGTATTGGACTAAGATGTCTCTGCTTTAATTCAGGATTCACACCTACGCCTTGGTTTTCGTCTTTTTAATACTTTGACCGTACGCCACTTGCATATAATACCCAAAATATTTGTCGGCAAAATCATCGATCGACTCATACGGCACGCCTAGTCTAACAGCAGCCGCAATCCCAGATATTGAAGCGGCTTCATACATATTCTGGACGATGTCAATATGATGCTCGGTGTTGCTGTGAACGAATGGAACACGTACCGCAAAAGCCCAAGCACCTGCAAACAATGTGTTGTTTTTTCCGTTAATATATCTCAAGTACGGCATTACTCTGAAGAAATTTTTCCAGCCTTGTGATGGTTGGTGTATCCACCTTCTCTGAATCACTTCCTTTTCGGCTATTGAATCTATGGTCCAAATATCTTTTAGCTTCGCTCCCATGAATCTCGTCTGGAATATATGGCGTTCAAATGGTACTGGCGGCTCTCCGGGTCCTTGTTGAAACTGATACTGGAAATTTGAGTAATCAAACGTCAACTCATTTCGACTCGGCATTGTTGGGTAGGAGATGGAATAGTATGACGGATGGAAGCCTGACTGAATTCCAGCCTCTCCCTTGGAAAACGCGATCCGCTCTTCCTGGGCTTTTGTGTGGGGCTTGCCGCACAGTTCCTGCTTGAATGCAGGCTCATATTTATTCTCGACGTAATTGTGGTCAGAGTGTGTTATGGTGACATCGTCGTGATACTTCACGCCATTGAGAATAGCCTTTTCTTTCCAGGTTGCTCTGTCACCCAGCAGCCTCCTAGCTTCATCGCCCGGCACACAAAGCACAAGTTTGTCGAATTCTTCCGTTATTAATCGCTCTCGGTAGGCTTCCTCGGTCAGCCGAGAATCCTCGTCTATATGTCGTGTTTCCACAATGATGCCGTGATTGTCCCGCTGAATGATTCTGAGTGCCTGTGTATTCAACCGTATCATGATGCCCTTTTCTCGGAGGCCAGCAGTCCAGTCTGCATAAAATCTAGACAGGTTGGGAAACGCAAACATTACTGGACGAGGGGGCATAAAATCAGAGGGGTCATAATCCCATAGCTTCAACTGGGGGTGCTCGAACAATTGCTGAAGGATGCCGCACGGGATATCCTCTGGTTCGTTTCCAACCCCCAAAAGAAGGGATGTTGTCGGATATAGGATTCCATGGGCGAATTCTGTACTGAAGCCAAAAATTTTTAACACCTTTTTCAAAGGGACTATCCATAGTGGAATTGGAAAATGGCGAATGAGCTTCAAGGTATTTCCAAATTTCTTGATCTCATCCCGATGCCTCTGTATCATTGGTGTCGGAAACATGTTTGTCCAAAATCCGTCAGTGCCCTTTCCGAATGAGAATTGCACTCTCACTTCTCTCGGCTCGTAACCGTACTCACGGAAGAACTTATAGGTGTGCCGGAACATGCGATTTCCACCTTGCGTCCCAATATTCATCCAATCAGCCCCGTATTGTTGACTGTCGATGTCCATGGACATTGCTTGCCCACCAGCAAAAGCACTCCTTTCTAACAGTGTGACTTCGAATTTATCAGGCTCCTTCGCAAGAGTAGCAGCACATGACTAGCAAGAAAACGTTATTCTTCATATGAGCTGGAAATATCAATTGCTGGTGCAGCTGGAGTCAGGAAGAGATAACACTCATACATACCATTCCGGCAACGCCACCGCCAATGATGAGGACTTTCTGCTTGCGAAACTTCGCGCTCGTGGACCGCCCCATCGTTCATTGGGTCCTAGAAGCCTCCGGAAGAAATCTCGGTTTTTCTTGCTTGCCGAAATGTTTCAGTTTGCGAGTGTTGGCAATTGTATGTATTGGCGGATATAACACTCATCGCAGTTGCTCGCTGTTTCCATCATGGTTGTAAACCCAAAATGACGTAATTAAAACCGCATGTTAACTTCCAAAGCTTAGTAACATGGCTAGACTTTTTGTTGACCTAGAAAAGGAGATGGTCGTATAAATGTAGGCTACGCGGCGGCGATGGCCAGACGTGGATAGCTTCTCTAGCCTGAGCACCCCTTACTCATGCTTCTAGGTATTAACACAGAGTAGTCCGCGCACCACAGCTATCCCGACTGCGTGCGATATCAGCCTTGAGCGCCGTCTGAAGGCGTTGGCTTCTATAGAGGATACAGAGAACAGCACAACTCGGCCACTTCTTGGCTGGGTGGGTCCACGGAGGCGTCGATCCCCGCACTTGCGCTTATCGGGCTAGTCAGATCGCCCCGCCAGAGCCGCGACAGCATGGCGGGCTTGGCGGGCCACCACGTGCCTCCTTTGCCGTGTGGAGCGAAGCAGCCATCAAATGTCACCCCAAACCTCTCCGCACCGCTGTGGGCATGAGTCGTGTAAGAACAATAATGGGCCCGTGCAGATCAATCAGTTTTGCCTGGGCGTGTTGCACCCACATACACGACACGCTGACCCGTCGCCTATTGCTCTCGTGCTTTTTAACTATTCGCCTTGGCTGGAGACTGGAGAATTCTTCCACCGAGAATGGGGGTCTCGTCATTACGACAGCAGTAAGTCAAGTACCCAATACCCATGGCACCTTGATTTCGTGTTTGTACGGATAGAGATGCAGAAGACGACAGTTTCCGAAGGGGTGCTCCCGGTAAGAATTGGCGTGGGTTAACTCTCTGTCAAAGCCCGACGTCAGCTCCATTTTTCACGGCCGTGCTAGGTCAGGATAACGACGTCTGCAACTTCTACCTCCCCTATGGCCGGTTTTAGTTACTTCTGGGTCATACCACATTAACCCACTTGTAACTGCACGGGACAGCAAAAGGCTCCAAAAGAACAACGCCCATAGCATCGCGTGAAAGAAAGCTGCATGCCCAGTATTCTGTGGGTTCCATTCAACAATCTTTTTCCTATTATACGTCAACCAAGAACTCTGCATGGGAATCCCACATACCCGAAAAGCCCACAGCCTTGAGACTTGACTTAGATACGTCGTATGAAGGCGGAGTATCAGAAGTAAGAAGACAGGTTCTCAGCCGAGGCATAAGGCAGAAGACACCTTGTGTGCTTTTTCTGATTTTGCTTTGTTCATGTTTATGCATCATGGGTGGTGTGTTCTGTGGATCGTCCTCAGAAGCGACCCCGGAGATTCTTGTACCCCGTAGCTATTAAACCCCAAACATCAATTCAGCCCAAGTATTTTTTCCCCCATTTTCAAAGCGGAATATTGTATTTTATTAATATCAATAGCGGAGGTCAAGCGGGCAAAGGCAGTGATGGCTGAGAGAGAGGGATCTAACGAACGTCAATACCATGGCACTACCTCCGCCTATGTGCTTCCAAATGAGTAAGCTATTTCCTTTCTTGATGAATACTGAAACTAATGAAGATTATGGTGCCATTGAGCAAGAGAGACTGGACGCCCAAGCAGCAGCCATTGTTGAAATGATTGGGGGCGTCCCCTTCCTTGCCCCTAGCCAGAGAGCCATGGCAGTGTCAAGAGCAGTTGACGTCGGCTGTGGTACGGGTGTCGCAACAATGCAACTTGCTGCGATGTTTCCACACGCCAAAGTCTACGGCCTCGACATTTCGCCCGTGCCAAAAACAGCACGAGAGATGGCACCAGAAAATACCGTCTGGATGGTGGGCAATGTACTAGACATGGAGCGTGATGACGGCGCAAATGATCCAGCCAGCCGCGATATTTTCACAGCTGGCGGGCTCGACTACATATTTGGCCGAATGCTCTTCTTGGGGATCAATGACTGGGCGCGATATTTTTCTATTGCATCTCATTCGCTAGCGCCTGGTGGGATCATAGAGCATCAGGACTTGGACTGGGAATTCTACCGCGCTGGTTCGTCTGAGTGTCTGAGCGACAAGTGGGAGTGGCACAAAACTGTTATTGCGGCGGCGGCACAATCAGGTCTGGCGGTGCATTCCGGGTCTGGCGCCGCGGCGCTGATGAAAGCAGCAGGATTGGAGGTGATTGATGTCCAAACATTTGAATTTTCATTTGTTCCCTCCAGCAAAACGCCTAACAGCCAGGCAATGGGGAGATACGTACAGAAGAAGCTCGTGCCGAACTACCCAGAGCTACTCCGCAAGATGTTGGGATCCAGTGGCATTGGATGGGAGGAGCTTGAAAGGATGACTGCACAATGCCTGCTCGATATTGGGTCTGAGGAGGGATTGCACCAGAAATATGTAGTGACTCTTGCGCGGAAGCCGTAGATGAATGCATGACTAAGCCCGGACCTCGGGTAATATTTTATCCATAAATCTCTCTCAGGTAAACCATGTGAGACCAACAACTAGCAACCACGAACGCCTTCCACGCCATCCACGCCCTTCGAGCAAGCAAACTAGCCCGAAGACGAGCTCCATACTGGCTCTGCAGCCCCGTGCCAGGGCAACTTGACTCGCAGCCTAAGACTGCAGACGGCCTGGCAGCCCGCTGTTCCACTGTTGATGCCCAGAGACCCCGCGCCAGCTGCGACTCCCATTGCCGTCTCTGCGGCGCCGTGGTTAACGCGTTCGACTCTGGTCCATGCACCCGGGGCACTGAAAAATAGCAAGCCCGATTATTCCGGAGAGGGGGGGGGGGGCAACTATGCTCTGCATGTTGCGTTGATGGCATATCTGTTTCAAACCCATTTGCTGCGTCAACCATGGGGCTTGCGCCACGGTGACAATCCCGTACCACCTCAAAGTAGCATTGCCATTTCCGCTAGTTAGTTGACCCATACCCTCGATACTCTCCCTGTGTGAGCCAATTGAAATCTTGTGACTCTTGTTCCTGGTGGCAGATAACTGCGACAAATGTATAGGTCCTTCAATACTGGGTACCTACGATCATTCATTGTTCTTCTTAGCTGGACATTGCCAATCACTATTGTCATCAGCCGCAAAAATATTGGCTTGTATGTGGGAATACATGCTGCGGAATCGCCATCTTGCATTTCCCATAACCCACATCCCACATCGCAACGTCAGCTGGTGGGTACAGCGGCTTTATCTAAATCCAAAAGAAGCACATGTATACCTCGTATATTATATATTTTTTTTCGCAGCTCCACGCCCCGCGATGGCGCGACTTTCCCCGCGGTTCTGTGTGAAGAGGTTCAAGATCTGGGATCTGCTATCGGCGATAGCGTTTAGAACTGGGTGTGGCCAGGCCTGCTTAATATATTTTATTAGGAGCTGAATTCCCACTTCTCATAAGCGAAATACTATAGGCAAAATACAATAGGATATGTTCCAATCTATAGAGAAACATGGCCCCCGATTTACTCTCTGTTTTCTTCTTTCTGATGTTCATCATCACACTCGCTGCCATCCTGCACAGGCTAATACAGAGAAAACAACCAGCACCTATCAAAGCTGACCATACAGGAGATGCTGAGAGATTGCACAAGCTGAGGGCTCTTAGCCGCCACCACGAAGTCGCTTCAGTTCTATCAACTTTGGTAAGGGAGGATGGTGCTGGGACTTGGCCACCAAGAGCAAATCATGACTCCTGGCCGCATGCTCTTCGTCCCTATAAAAATATATATCTAGAGCTTATATCACTATTGCCGACAGCTCGGCCTTCCCTTGACGACGACATCAACAACGAACGGCGCAACAAATACCGCTCTATAATGCGGAAACTCCTTTCAGAAAGAGTCAATATTTTTGAAGTTGAAATACTGCTAGCTTCCGTTGAAGCAGGGAGCTGGGATCTCTGCCCGCGAGATGTCTACAATGGGTTTCATTGTTGCGTTGCCGTATGCCGTCACGCCTACAGGTACTCTCATCTTGACAACAGATAAAGGGACGAATGCTGACTAGTAACTCAGATGGGCAACAATCCCAGTTGTCAGGGTCGCTCAGTTGGAAACCGTTATTGACTTTCCACCAGAATTAGATATCCCTTGGCCCTTTTTCCAGCGACATTTTGGCGTCTCTGCAGAGAGCGGGAATAACACATCGAATGTTCTACTTAACTTTGATGAGAGAGGCGAGAGAGTGTATAAAATTAATGTTGGGTTGTCTAATACAATACAATCATCGGAGGAAGCCTTCTTTCGTATGTTTTATCATCTGGAGATTTTGGTAATAAGAGCTTCTATTATTTGACCGTTTCAAGGTTGCTAACAACTTAGAAGGCCTTTCCAGTCTATTGCAACATCGTCCATGCAATTATCTCCTTTGAAGAAAACAACAAAGCCAGTTGCCTAAATTATCTTGAAAATGTTGTTTCTGGGGTTCGCGATCTTCTTCTGATTTTCTACCAAAATCTGACAGAGTCCCGTATATCCCGCTCCGTGTGGCTAAGCTACGTTCAAGGCTTCCAGGGCTGGGGCATTGGAAAGCTTGTGAATGGAGAGTTTGTCAAGTATGATGGGGTTTCTGGCAACCATATTTTGTTCTTTCAAGCCCTCGATGCCTTTCTGGGTATGAACCGCTATCTTACCGATGAGAATATGGATAGATATATTCCCATAAACCAGAGAAAGTTTTGCCTAGCGCTGAAAAAACATTCCTTCCGCGCAAAACTAGACAAAGAGGGAGGGGGAGATAGTAACCAAAGACTTAAAGATGAGTTTAAGAAGATTTTAAACCACTTAAAGGTGAGATTTTATACTCTTAGTGATCATCGACTCAAAGTCTGACCTAAATAGCTTTTTAGAACAGCTCATAGAACCCGAGTTGTGCCGTATTTGAAAGAAGAGGCCCCTGAGCGGTTAATCATGACTGCGGGAAAGTCTCTTCTTGAGGGGTCTCTAGAAGACGCGTTGAAGTTTCTTGATGATATGATGGTTCGTAGACTGACAGAAACGATTTAGATACTCACCCTTTTGTTATCCTGGTGACTATATATATAGAATTGCGACTCCCTATTCGTTTGTGCTTTTGTTCATTAACCCTTCTTAGCGTTGGAATCTGTTTAGATGAATGAAGTTGTATATTTATATTCATATACATACTTACGTGGTATACACTGGGACTTCGGATTGAGGAGATACTTCACTGGCGCTCCTTCATCAGTTATGCCATGAACTCAGCACCTTTGGCCTTCTCGGTGGAAGCACATGGGGTTGAAGGGACCTAGTACCCTAGTACATAGTATCACCGTTATTTGAATCTCCATTCCATATTGGGTCTTATTTGAGGTACATAAAATCTAGTCATATATCTATCATTGATTGGCACAACTGGAATCTATTCGACACGCTGAATTAAGATTGAACTATTTCTGCATCATTGTCGCGTGGTAGCAAATCTTCTGACAATTTTGACGGAGCTGCTAAATTATATTAGCACACTGACCTTCCGCCTGATTTCCGAATAGGTAAGCCATCTTGAAGCTTTTCCATTTTAGTAATTTCGGGTCGGTAGTTTCAAAGACTGCAGCAAGGTCAAGTGGGTGGGCAAAAGATAAGCAGCCCATTTGGGATTACCAGAGAGCTAGACGGCATTCCAAACGGCAGTCCGCTGGTAAAGTATAAGACAAAGTGGCAAGTCAAGTTGCTGACCCGGCGGCGGCGGCGGTGCTGTTGATGTTGAAGTTAGTTCATCTGGCACAGACTTCATATTTGTAGTCGAGTTGGCCGTTAAACACGCCGAGATAACGAGAAATCGAGCAAGCACTGGGGGCGAAGAGCCCTCCACTCCATCCCCTCCACACCTAAATGGAGGTTAGTTATGAATGGAATTCATATTATAATCGCATGTCCTCCGCCCCAAATACGTACGAGACAACAGCTTGTATACAGTAAACATGCAAAGAGGGTTTTCTTTACTAGAAATACATCCCAATATACGCGATTATCATAAATGCTGAATAGCACAAACACCTTCGAATACCAGAGCAGTCAGGTTGGCATGTTCACGAGTGCCCTCAACTAGCAAGCACAATCATCGTTTCTAGTAGGATATCCAGGACAGTTACATCAAACGGTGGTGCATGTGAGATTGACCGAAATGAATGGATCTCGGCAAAAAATTGCAAGCCTGCTGGTAATTTCTGTGTCTTTCCCAAGGTAACCGTGTAGATTTAGGAGGCAATATTCCCCGCAGGAGCATTGAGAACGTATCGAGTGGGATAGCCTACACTCGTCATGGGTATCTTTATCCTCTGAAAAGTCAAAATTACTTGCACCGTATTTCATCGGGTATAGACAAGAAACTTTCCAGGTTTATAGCTGAAAAATCTGATTCCACGGCATTTGCCATTTCCGCCCAGGAGCTCATGCTGCCAGGTAATAATAGAACAGAAATCTGGGCGGCGTGTGAATGGTTCTTGATTTTAAGCTTTCACTGATATCCTGGCTTGGAATTACCGGATCACTCTGAGCAGAAGTACGGAGCCACGACCAACAAGATAGACTATCATTGCAGGTAACCGTTCGTTGCTAGCAAGAAGGAAATGAGGCTAGAGCTCGTTGTGGGAGCAGAGAATCGAGGAAGGTTTCCCCGTGCCTCTTCAACACATCAGTACATCCCAAGTTAGATGTCCGATTGGATTGTTATTGTGATGGAGGACTTGCTTGCGCACGTATCGTCTCGCACAGATTGGACATTTAAGACTGGGTCGCCAAAGATGTGCCAATAATGGTTCAAATCATGAACGAGGTGCGGAGTCCGGACGGTACATTGGCCCGCAAAATCCAGGCAGCCATGAAGATGTCTCTGGTAAAAGCTTCCGGAAGGCAAACAAACAACAAACAGCGCGCTTGCTTCATGCACGCGGCACGCCGCCGGATCAGCATCCGAAGCATCCTGTCGATTCTTGGGACGAGTTCCACTCCTTGTGCGGTGTTCCCGCGAAACGTTGTATTTGTTTCAGATCGCAATTATTAGGTTGACGAGAGTGGAGGTGCACTGCCACCAGATTGCTGGGCAGGGGAGTTGAACCCTTTCTGCTCGCTCCACCCTCTCAAAGGGTTGGCTGGTGTTCTCCCAGAGTCAGAATTATTTACGCTTAGGCGGGCTCATCCTCTTGGGGGCCTTTTTTTTTTTTTTGGTGAGGATCTTCATTTGTTGAAATCCCGCCAAGATCCCCCCGTTGTCTCCGCTCAATCTCTCTCCCCGCTATATGGAGGAATGCTGAAAGTTTCTGGCGGGAAGATTGTGCGTTTCTTATCAACTGTCAAGCAAACCGTCGGTCCGTCAGGATTGATCTTATTTTAATTAATCATCTGTTTGTAGTGCGCGGCGGCCGGATGTGGGGTCTACAGCAGCGCACTTCTGAGGACACCAAAAAGCCATTTTGTAAATCCATCTCACTATCAATTAAGTTCCAACATCAAGCAGTAGACAATATCACAATTTAGAAAAATATAGCTAGTTATTCTTTTATGTGTCTTTGAATTTGCGGTCAACCATATATGTTTAGTCCGGCCGGTAAGGCAAGCCGAGTTACAAAAGCGTGCATATAGCTAAAGAAGCCGACACTCCAGCTAATTGCCAACGGGAACGGACAAGCCGACACAGCCATGGCGAACAAGTCGCAGATAGCTCAGAAAAGCAGCTGATCTGAGCACCATGATTTCCCGAAAAAAATCATATGCTTCGGCGATGATTCCTCAACTGCAGAATCGAATATTGTGGTCCTATTGGCCACATGGCCGGGGTATAAAAACCACCAATAGGGGAATCGGAGATAACTAGGTCTTTTAAACCAGCCAGGGTCTTCCATGTTTGTTGCTAGGGAGCGAAAAGAAACAGCAGATCACTGTTGGCGGGGTACGGCGTGCTCGATTCGATGGGCGAGTCCCAGCGCAAGCTATGCACTGAGAGTGAGGAAGACAATGGCTATGGTGAGAATTCGCGTAGAGTAACTATAGTAGCTCCTTGAGAGATAGTTAAGTTCTCCGTGTACTGTACGAAGTAGTAGCTAGGTCCCGCTAAGGTTCCGAGACAACTCGTGATGGGCGGCTGGCGCGTCTTAGCTTTAGCGAGCGGCGCCAAGGAACCAGCCAGCTCCTAGCGCGTAAAATTCACGTGACGCAAATAGTTGACGATGTTACGTAAGCGCGACTACATGCGGCGAGAGTCGTTGAAAGGCGTCTCATCGCAGGTTGGGGCGGCTCTCCCAGTTGTTGCCTTGGGGAGAGAGCCGGTTGCGCTCTCGAATCAACTTCGTGGCTTTCCTATACACATGACAGCGCGGTAATTTTACCGATTCTGACGTATCTGTGTTGAACATCAACAACACATACTAGTTAGCTCGCTGATGCGCTCTTTCCCGCGCTCTCTTCCCTTCATTCTCAGAACGCGTTCTTCTTGCAGAACACGTTCGCTTTTACCTTCTCAATCCGACCGTCATATCACAGTTGAGCCGTCTGATACAGGCAGATCTGCACTTGCACCTTCACTGCGAGGCACCGCAGCGCGTCCTTCGGGGTCTAGTCTCGCGATGGACCAGAACATTGTTGACCTCATCTCGGACTCCGAGGAGAGCCCAGTTGCAGCGGAGAAGGCAGAACGTTCGGGTGTGTTCCATGATCCGGATCTACAGGAGGCCATTGAGCTGTCCCTGCGCTGCCAGTCCTCTATTTCGCCCCCTACTTTGCGACTGGAAGGGCGACCGGCAGGGGGGGCGAGACTGAACGCTATTGATATTGATAATAAATCGCCTTCTCCATCACCAAGAGCGGGTGTCAGTCAGGCTCCAGCTACGTCGCTGCTCGGCCTCGATCGCAGAAAACAAGAAGAGGAAAGGTTGGCGCGGCTGGCCAAGAAGCGGAAAGCAGAGGGCGACGTCTCAGACACTTCGTCTGAGCTGCATTCCAAAATCGCGCGGCTCAAGAGCGTCAGTTCTTCTGTGGCGCCGCCGAACAAGGACGATGCCGCCACTGCTCGCCCAGCGGCGTCGCATCCTACGCTACAATACCCCGACGGCGCGGTGAAGAAAACTTGGGTGCATGGGTGTGCGCGAGAGGATGACATTAAATTCGAGGAAGTGGTGCTCAAAGAGCATCTCCAGCTCGCGGTGCTCAGCTCGTTCCAATGGAACATGGACTGGCTCTTCACCAAGTTCGATGTACAGAAGACTCGGTTTTTATTGGTGATGGGGGGCAAAGATGAGAACATGGTACAGACTGCTGGAGTGTTTTTTTTTTTTTTTTGTTTTTTGCTTTTCTTGCTGTCGCGGCCAAGCTGATGGGATTGGGATAGAAGCAGGAGATGACGCAGGATTTTGAAGGGATCCCCAGCGTCCGGCTGTGCTTTGTTCCGATGGCGAGGCAGGTGATGTGCATGCATTCGAAGCTGATGCTGCTGTTCTACGCGGACTCGATGCGCATCGTGGTGCCGAGCGCGAATCTGGTGCCTTACGACTGGGGGGAAGATGCGGTGCTGGAGAATGTACGCGGACGCTGATGATGATGAAGATGGTGATGGTAACTAACTGCGGGGTGCAGATGGTGTTTCTGATCGACCTTCCGCGCAAGCAGCAAGCGGGCGCGAACAGCACACCGACGTTCTTCTTCACGGAGCTGGTGTACTTCCTCCGGGCGCAGACGATCCACGCGAACATTGTGGCGCGGTTGGACGAGTTTGATTTCAGCAAGACGGCGAACTACGCGTTCGTGCATACCATGTATGTATGCATGCATTGCGGGGTGGGCAGTGTGGTTCTACGTGGCTAACGAGGTGGTGTGCAGCGGCGGGTCGCATATGGGGCCCGAGTGGCAGCGCACGGGGTTGTGCGGGCTGGGGCGGGCGGTGCAGCAGCTGGGGCTGCAGACGACGGAGGCATTGCAGGTGGACTACGTGGTAAGTGCGAGGAGCGGGAGGGGGGGGGGTTGATGGGTAGTGGTACTGACGGGCAGACACACGCGTAGACGTCATCGGTGGGGTGTCTGACGGAGGCGTTCATGTGCAGCATGTACCTGGCGATGCAAGGTAGGCAGGCAGACATGAATGGCTGGTTCTACGGCGGGCTGACGTACGGACGACGGAGGACTAGGCGACAGCGGGCTGACGGGGCTGGCGCTGCGCACGGCGGCGTCGTTCCCCAGCCAGCGGTGGGGGGTGGAGGTGCAGGGCACGGAGGGGGCGGAGTGGGCGGAGCGGTTTGCGGTGTGCTTTCCGTCGCAGGCGACGGTGGCGGGGTCGCGGCGGGGGGCGGCGGGGGCGGGCACGATCTGCTTCCAGGCGCAGTGGTATGAGCGGGCGACGTTCCCGCGGCGGGTGATGCGCGACAGCTGCAGCCGGCGGGCGGGGGTGCTGATGCACAGCAAGGTGGTGTTTGTGCGGCGGGCGGGGGCGGGGGCGACGGCGGGGTGGGCGTACGTGGGCAGCGCGAACCTGTCGGAGAGCGCGTGGTGAGTGTAGTGCCCGTCTATGACTATGACTACTGACTCGCGATAGGGGCCGGCTGGTGGCGCGGCGTGGCGGTGGAGGGGTGGTGCTGAACTGCCGCAACTGGGAGAGCGGGGTGGTGGTGCGCGAGGCGGGCGCGGTGGTGCCGGTGCCGCTGGTGCTGCCGGGCGCGGTGTACGGCGAGGCAGGGCCGTGGGTGCGTCGTACTCCGTAGTGGCCTCACGTGCGCGCCAGGGCTGGGCGATGCTGGATCCGGGCGATCGGTCTGGACTATTAGACCTAGCTAGTTACTAGTACTAGTACTACTACTACTACTACTACTACTACTACTACTACTACTACTACTGTATTTCCTACTGCCACCGCCCACGCCCGACTGCACTACCGCCACGCCGCTGACTCAGCCGCGCCACCCCCGATCCTCTTTCTCTCGCTCGCTCGCTCGCTCGCCCGCCGCCCGCCCGCCCACTCTCTTCTCTCTCTCTCGCTTCTCTTCTTCTTCTTCTTCTCCTTCTCCTTCTCTTCTTCCTCCTCTCCTCCTCCTCTCCGCCCTCGCCCACCCCCGTCTGCTCGCCCCGTCTCGTGCGCGCGCGCTGCTTCCCCTCGCCAACTCGCTCTGCCCGTCTATCGTCTGTGCTTCGCCTCGCCTAACTTAACTCCCTGCCCGCTGCCTTCGCCTCTCCCCGCCCCAAACCTTCTCGCCCGCGGTGATCGCGAGAGAGAGTTACGTTAGTCGCCCGCCCAGCTCTCGCACCGCGACGTAGCGTGCAACCCGCAAACCTTGCCCTTGCAGCCTCGCTCTCTGCCCACCGCTTCTTCTGCCTCGTCTTCGTCGTCGTCTCGTCACCCTTCTCCCTCCCTCCTCTTCTCGCCGTCTCTTGCGTCGTCGACCCGCCTCCGCCTCCTCCGCCGCCGTCATGGGCAACGGCACCGCCGCCGTGCTCGAGCCGACCTTCAACGGCTACGTCGCCTCCACCCACGACGCCCTCATCCTCTTCGAGGCCTGTCTCACCGGCGTGCTGCACCACGTCCCCCGCCGCCCCCACGACCGCGAGCGCGCCCAGCTCGTGCGCTCCGGCTCCGTCTTCATCTACGAGGAGAATGCCTCCGGCATCAAGCGCTGGACCGACGGCGTCACCTGGAGCCCCAGCCGCATCCTCGGCAACTTCCTCGTCTACCGCGAGCTCGACAAGCCCTTCCCGCCCGGCGAGAAGAAGCGCGCCATGAAGAAGGGCGCCCGCCGGCCCACCACCCAGCCTGCCCGCCCCGGCGAGCCCTATCCGCGCCCGCAGGCCGAACCCAACGGCCAGCCCGCCTACTCGCCCACCGCCGTCTCCGCCTCCGCCGCCGCCGCCGCCGCTGCTGCTGCCGCTGCGGCCAACGCTGCCAATGCCTCCGCTGCGGCCGCCGCCGCCGGCCCCGGCTACGGCGAGCGCTCCGCCCAGTCCGAGCTGGAGCGCGCCCTCGTCGGCTCGCTTGTCGACTCGTACGGCTTCAAGGACTCCGGCCTCGTCAAGAAGACCATGAGCGTCACCGTCTCCGGCGTCACCCACCACCTCGTCTCCTACTACAGCGTCGAGGACGTCATGCGCGGCGTCCTCAACCCGCCGTCCATGGTCGAGTCGCTCAAGTACATCCGCCCGCGCCCCGAGCTCACCACCAAGCAGAGCTTCCGCGCCCCCATCGACGACCTCGAGTCCGCCAACCTCGACGACAACGATCCCAATCAGGCCCTGTACGGCTACCGCCCGCCGCTCGTCAACCAGGCCTACCAGATGCCCAGCCCCAACTACTACCCTTTGCCCGGCGGCGGCTACGTCCCGCACCCCCAGCAGCCCGGTCCCATGCAGGGCTACGCGCCCATGCCCGGCCACGCCCCCTACATGCAGCCGCCGTCCGCCGCCCAAGACATGCCGCCCAAGACCGAGGAGTACGGCGCCTTCCGCGGCCCGCCCGGCTATGCCGCCGCCTACGACAACCACCAGCCGCTGTCCCATCTGCAGCAGCCCGGCATGGGTCGTCCGCCGCCCCCACCGCAGCAGCAGCAGCAACAGCCGCCGCAGCACGCGCCCAACCAGCCGCTCTACCGCACGCCCACGCTGGCCACGCGCGCCGTGCCCGACATGCCCACCGACCCGCGCGGCAGCTTCAGCGTGCCCGCGCAGATGGACGGCAACCCGCCGCTGGACCAGCGCAGCCTCAATCAGTCCCCGTACGAGGCCGCCGCCGCAGCCGCCGCCGCCCGCCGCAACTCCAGCACCGCGTACTACAACGGCGATCGGTCGCAGGCGCCCCCGCAGCAAGCGCAGCAGCAGCCACCGCCGCAGCCGCCGTCGTCGCAGCAGCACCAGCGACAGCTGTCCGCGCCGCACCACTCGCCGCAGCAGCAGTCGCAGCAGTCGCCCTACTATGGCGGGCAGGCCGCGCCGTCCTACCAGAGCAGCCAGGCGCCCCCACAGTCCGCGCAGGCGCAACCCATGCCGCCCTGGGGCTCCAGCGCGTCGGGCCCAACCCAAGTATAAACCTTGGGTCAAGATGGGCAAACCCAAATATCTTCTTTTTAGAGAGAGGGGCTTTCGATGGATAAAAAACTTAATTTGGCATGAACGGGGAATGTGGTGTTGGTTTTTAACTTTGAACGCCAGGTTAAGCATTTTGTTGGCTTTTCTTCTTTTGCTTTTTAAACCCTTTCGGCAGCCTGCCGAGAGCTTCTCATGTTTATTGTTTCTGAAACTCTTGTTTTGCCTCTTGACTTTTTTCTTTGATTTTACCAAACTCGCACTTTTAGCACATGGCCAAATGACTAATCCGCCCGATCTCCACCTGGTGGATGGATTTCCTTCGTTGCTCACTCCCTGGCTGACCTCCCCTGTCTATGCGTTTGCTTTGGCGGCTGTTTTTTTCCCTTAATCCTCGTTTTTGGCTATTATTATTGTTACATACAGCCGCCCGATATTTGCCACCACTTCCTGTGTATCTAAAGCCTTTCCCCCCCCCCGCACACTGCATTCTTCTCCCCCCCCCGCCTGTCGCTTTCATAATCGTCGTCTTGTTCCTCCCCCCCCTACCCCCATCTCGAGTGCAGCACTGCAAAAAAAAAAAGAGAGTTCCGGAGTGTTTTTTTGGGAAGGGTGGTTGATGCTCTTTTTTTTTTTCTCACTCTTGTCTCTTTTTTTTGTCTACTTTCTTTTTTCCCCCGAGGCTCTCGATTTGATACCTACGAGTGTAGTTGTGCGAGTGCGCTGTGTTTTTTGATTATTGCTCTTGGTTTTACTTTTCTTTTTCCAACAGGTACACGCAGTAATCATAGCTTGGTAATGCTGACAAGAAACAAAAAAAAAAACACAAAGAGGAAGATATTGAGATGCAAGAAAAAGAAAAAAAAAAAAGACTCCCTCTTCGGCGCGATCACAATATGAACCTGGGTGTTGTCTGTTTGGCTCATTTCTCTTTGCTGGTTGTCTTCTCTCTTCCTGGGCGGCTCAGACATGCAATGCGGCTTCAGAATGGAGTTTATACAGGCCCCGGACTTGCGAGCGCTTTCGATCGAATATGTACATATGTATGTCCAGTGCGTGCTGTACATATCGACATCATCCATACATACGCGTGTACCTCTTGTCTGTCTTGCGCTCTCTTTCCCTCCCCCCCTCTCTTTCTCTCTGTGTTGCGTCTTGGTTTTGGTTTTTTTTTGGTTTTATTTTATTCTTTTGTCTATTCCGAGAGTTCGTTTTGCGTCGCTCGCATCCTGCATAAAATTGTACTTATCGCGCGCATTAGCAACAAGAGAGAATGCATAATACTACTTCTTCGGCTCGTATATCGCAACGCCGCTGACCGTGCCTACCTCGTTACCTAGTAAACCAGCCGCGCGGCTAGCGCCTGTGCTTAGCGCGGCGCAGCAACCGCGCTCGTGACTCGCCGCCGAAAAAAGGTTTTTTATTTCCCACTGCGCGTGTGGGCTCGCGAATCGCGCTGCGAGATGGAGAGTTACCTTCCTGTCTAGCTTTAGACCCTGCCAGTTGCATTGTCTGTGCGGAGTACCGCGGGGTTGCTGACTTTGGGCTTTCTGGCTGTTTTGTTTTTTACGTAGTTTTTTCTTTCTACGGACTTCTTCTCTCCTGATACCCCCAATCCATCTCTCACCACCGCTACCTGGACAAAGACAAAGACACCAAAGAAAACAAAGGGCGCCGCTAAAGGGCCCAGAGAACCCAGGCGCGCGCGAACAGCAAGACGATCGAGTGCGCGCCCTGTTGCAAGCACCGAGTGCCGCCTCCTTCCCGCCACACCAGCATGGCGGGCGCCCGATGCGTGCCTCCGGCCGTCTGGCAGCTGCGGACGGCGCGCGCGTCCTTGTCATCGCCGCCGCGGCTGCAGGGCCTCTGCGGCCAGCGACGGTCGCTGCCGCTGTGCGGGGGCGCGGGCGACGGGCGCGTGGTGCGTCTTGGACGAAGGCCGGAGGGGATGATGATGCTGGTGCGTGGCGGCGGCGGGAGCTGCAGGTGAGTGTGGTAGATGGCTGGCTGGAGGAGTGGAAATGGGCGGGCGCTGACGTGGGGATGCCAGGTCGCCGTCGTCGCCGTCACCGATGGCTGCTGCGCTGGGGAGCGCGCGACGGCTGCACGAACCGGCGAAGAAGAAGAAGACGAGTGCGGTGGCCACCGGGCGGCACGAGAACATCTACACGCTGCCCAACCTGCTGACGGTGTCGCGGCTGGTGGCGGCGCCGCTGGTGGGCTACAGCATCCTGCACGCGCACCACGGGCTGGCGCTGGCGCTGTTCGTGTACGCGGGCGTCACCGACCTGGTGGACGGCTACATCGCGCGCCGCTTTGGCCTGCAGACCGTCGTCGGCACCATCCTCGATCCCATGGCCGACAAGGCCCTGATGACCGTCGGCGTCGTGTGCCTGGCGCTGGAGTCGGCCATCCCGCGTACGCCCCATTCATTCTTGCAGTCCTCTTCCCCATCTGCACCCACCTGTGCTAACTCTTCTACTCGACTCATTCTAGTCTGGCTCGCCGGCTGCATCCTCGCGCGCGACGTCGGCCTCGCGCTGGCCGCCGTGTACTACCGCTGGATCTCGCTGCCGCCGCCCAAGACCATGGCGCGCTACTGGGACTTCTCGCTGCCCTCCGCCGAGGTCAAGCCCACGCAGATCTCCAAGATCAACACCGCGCTGCAGCTGCTGCTTGTCGGATCGGCCCTGGCCATGCCCGTCGTGCCCGAGCCGATCCTGGCCGCCTGGAGTGTGCATGAGGCCATGGTGGGCCTGCAGTACGTGTGGCCCCGTTGTTTCTTTTTTGTCTTGCCCTTCTGCTTCTCCTCCTCCCCGTCAGACGTGTTCGATTGTGCGTTGGCCGGCGGGCTGCCCGGCATAACTCTCCGCTGCGCCGACGGTCCAGCACATACGACCACAGGAAGTGGAATACAGGGCTTCCCGTCCGCTCAGCCGTACTTAAGCCACTTGCCGGCCGGCTAGTAGTTGGGTGGGTGACCACCAGCGAATCCCGGCTGTTGTATGTTTTTTATTTTTATTCTTATTATATTTTGTTTTATTCTTATTTTCTTTTATTTTGTTATTAGCCTCCAACCCTGCCCTACCAAACCCAGCTCTCCACTCCGTCGCACCGACCGCGATTATTGCGCGCTAACCAACCCCCATCGCGTCTTCTCATTAGGTACCTCGTCGCGCTCACCACCTGCTGGTCGGGCCTGGGCTACGTCCTGTCCAAAGATACGGTCAAGATCCTCCACCGCGGCGAGTCCGGCCGGCCTCGATGACGCTTTCCGCCCGCCCGATTACGCCACCGCGCGCGCGTGCGTGGGCTTTCGCACCGAAGGCGCAGGGTGATGTCCTCATCATCGGCGCCCCGGAGCTCGCCTGCCGCCCATCTGTCCTAAGCCCTTTCCTCACCGCCTGCGCCCGCCCGCCGTGGCCGGTGTGCACGGATGTGCGCTTGCGACCGCATGGCGTTGCAGGAGTCCGCTGGTAAATGCCACGCACACACCCACCCACACACACACGCCTTGGTACCTTTTGGCGTCGTGAACTGTATTCAGGAGAAGCTGCCGTAGCCTAATTAGCTAGTTGATGTGCAACGCACCGTCCGAGATAGCCTCAGGCTTTGCTCCCGCTGCATCCAACCCAAACGCATTGTCCGTTCGTGAATCTAATCGGGCTCGACAGAGTTCCAAAACGCAAGGCTGAATGAACCTAACTACCTTTGTTGTTCCCCACTCGGAAACCTTGAGGCTGAGCGCAACAAGCGTTTCGTTTCTGATATTGGGTTGCGAAGGCCCACATTCCTTCTCGCCATAAAACTGAAATTCTGCCTCACAAGCTGCGTCCCCCCAAAGTTTCGCACTACTTGCGAACCTACCTGGAGATCGGACAATTTCCCAGAAACTCTGCTGCAATTGAATTTGGGCAGCTCTGTAGATCGTTCCCCCGCCGCTGCAGTTAAAATCATACGCTTTTTTTTTTTTCGTTAAGGTTGCCTGTCATTCACGGCCGGCCCCACCACCGCGACCATGACCGAGCTGGGGTTTGTTGTATGTATCAGCTTCGGATGATTGTTTTTTTTTTCTTTTCCTCTGTTTATGCTTCAGCCCCAGCTGGCCGCCGTTCCAGTTCCCGGATGGCGTTTTCACACTCAAATAATAAAGGATGGAGGCCCCCGTTCATGTCGCTCGGGCCTAGCGGGCTAAATCACAACAAGTTTTTCCCCAAAACTCGGGTCCGGCCGTTGCTTCTGGCCGTTGGGTCTGCAGGGGATTTAGACTATGCGGTAGTTGTAACTATACGGAGTAGACAAAAAGGTTATATAATATAGTTAACAGAACATCATATTGATCTATAAATCGTCGTCGATGCTGACGCCTGAGTATTTTTATGGCTGCAGATAGGATCTCTTTGCTGGCGGTCATGAGGCCTCTCCAGTGCGGGCCCGAAGGATTATCCTGTCCATTCTACTCGACGGCTTCGTTTATTTTCGCTCGCTTGGGCGCCATGTACACCACCACTACTGATGTCTTGTGATGGAACCTATAGCAGCGACAATCCCGGTCTTACCTGCGGACGAATAGCACAGCAGCTTCTTTCTGCAGGAAGAATAATAAGCTACGGAGTACGTCCCCCATGTCTCTGGCCGACACACCGGGGGGTGGCAGGAAAGTCGCCACGGCCACATCAACGGCAGACGTCAAGCAAGGCAAATAAAACAGCCCTCCACCCTTTCACTATCGATCGCGGTCTCAAAGAGATCCAGCAGAGCTAATTCCGACGCCCACGATGATTATTCGGTCCACGTCAGCACGGCACTCGCCAGTAGTGACGGGGGGGGGGGGGGGGGGGGGGGGGGGGGGGGGGGGGGGGGGGGGGGGCCCGCTGGACGAATAACTAATAGGCACGGCGCAGGGACAGCCCAACCCCGGCTGCTGCTACATACGTGTGCCAGAAGCAGCGCTGGTGCTGCTCGAAAGGACCTTGGGTGGCCCTGGAAGCCCCCGGGCTTCCTCCCGCGAGCCACGAGATGCAATAATGGAAAGGAGGATTTGCTGTCAAGGCTGCCGCTGGAGCGCGCTTGGCTCGAAACGGGGGGTAGATGCGCAGCTTCCACGTACCTGTTACAGGGCTCCCCTTGGCTGGGGGGGGCTAGTTGGCTAGTCGACTGGTTAAATCTTGTGATCACTTCACGGCTAACTAGTTAGCCTAACTAGCTGCTTGGTTACATGCATACAGGGGTGGGAAGATGGCGGTGAAAATTCTTCACGGCCCACGATGCCACAGTCCCCTCCGGGGCGGCGCATGGGAAGCAACGCTGCACATGTCTGGGCGCTGCCAATCGGTGCTTGGGCTGGTATACGGCCATCATCACCACTGCTGGTTGTTCTGCGCAACTTCAACACGTGCGACCGGATAAGAACTGACCCGCCTTGAAGAACTGAAAACTAGCCAACTAAACTATTTCATAGTTAAAGCCTGTGGGGTCGGTAACCCAACTATTTTATACTTCCGTTTAGACTCCTTTCGTATCGACAGTTAGGCAAAGCCCATAACTGCACGACACACGGAATCCATCCCTTATTGCTTATTCAGACCACGGTACTCCGTATGTTATATACATGCTTCCAATTCAACGAATTCTACCAAACCCAGAAGTAGAGGAGTTGAAGATCCAGATCCGTAGGAGATGGGAGTTCGATGCCATCCGGCTCCAGTGTTAGGCAACCATCGCGTCTGTGCCCGTATTGTTTCAAGACAACGTTTCTGGGTATAATAGACGATTGTCACGGCCGGCAGAGGATGCCAATAAGCTTCTTGGCAGCTGTATCCCTTTGGTGCTTCTTATCGGCGGGAGTAAACCGAAAGAGCACAGATTGAGATCACAAAGCCACCTGCCAGTGACATTGGCTTAATGAGCCACAGCATATCAATGACGCTGTGACGAGGTGAGTCAAGCACGCCTAGTGACTCCCTCACCCACTGCCTTCCACTTTGGCGTCTTCCCTGCTTCCCCAAACACCACTTTTGCGCACATACATGAGGAGTCGAAGAGCGCCTGTGGGGGTAACACCTTCGATGCGCCGGGCCATGCCCACGCTCTCAGGCCGTACTTTCTCTAGCGCATGGCGTTCCTCACTGCTCAAACCGTGGACCTTAGAGTAATCTAGCTCAGACGGGAGAAGGAGAGCCTCGTCACGAGCGAAGAGTCGCGCACTGTTCGCTTGTCGTTTGACATGCGGAGCATAAATCCCTTCGATCGTAAGACGGGCCTTGATCTTGGGGCTGAACGAGTTAGGGGTGTAAGCTATGCCACTTGGGGAATTGATATGGGGAATAATGTTGTTGATATCCGCGTTGCTCAGACACAGAAGATCAAATGCGGAGCGTAGACTCGAATCCATATGAACCTGAAAGCCCTTCCTAGACCACATCGACGAAGGGTATTTGGTGTTTTCGAGCAGCGTCTGTAACTCAGTCAACTCGTTTTTAGTATCACTGAAATGTTCCCAACGTGTATCGGAAATCACTCCTGCTGCACGTCCCTTTTCGGTGAGCCGCAGATCGGCATTGTCAGATCGGGTAGAGATGCGATATTCACTGCGAGTTGTAAACATGCGGTATGGTTCTGTGACGCCTTTCGTTATCAGGTCGTCTACCATGATGCCAATGAAGCCGTCAGAACGGGAAAGGGTCATGGGAGGCTTGGATTGAGAGGCTAGACCGGCATTGATCCCAGCTAGAATGCCCTGCCCTGCTGCTTCTTCGTAGCCCGTTGTACCATTAATCTGGCCAGCAAGGTAGAGGCCGCCTATAAGTTTTGTCTCGAGAGTAGGTCGCAGGGATCGAGGGTCAACGTAGTCGTACTCCACCCCGTAGCCCGGCTGAAGCATCTTGACGTTCTCTAGGCCTTGTATCGTCCGAAGCATTTCGTACTGCGCATCGGCTGGAATCGTCATAGAGATACCATTGGGATATATCACGTCGTTGGGGGCAAACCCTTCAGGCTCAAGCCAGATCATATGTCTCGATTTATCTTGGAACCGTATTATCTTGGACTCCAAGGAGGGACAGTATCGGGGACCCTTAACCGTCTCGCGGATATGTACCGAATTATGCAAATTCTGTCGCACAATCTCATGGGCGTTCTCGTTCGTATAAGTCGACCAGCAGGATAGCTGGCCTTCGTCGCCCACAGCCACCGTGTCATTGAGATAAGAGAAAGGGCTTGGAGGAGAATCACCAGGTTGAACCTCGAGAGCAGAAAAATCGATGGTCTTTCCGTCCAGCCGAGGTGGTGTTCCGGTCTTCAAGCGTCCAAGCTGAAAGCCCGCGTCCCGCAGCGACTTGCTCAGCCCAAAGGTCGCCGCTTCTCCCATTCGACCAGACGGGAAGACTTTGAGGCCAATGTGAATTTCACCTCCAAGAAACGTTCCCGTTGTAATTACCACCCGTCCGGTAGGTATGATCTCCCCTGATTCTAGCTTCACTCCGACAATCTTGCCCTTGGCGCCAGGAAAGCTGTCTAGGCCATCCTTCGAGACGATAATGTCGGCCACTTTTCCTTCCACAATGCTTAACCCAGGGTAGTTGGATAGTTCATCGAGCATGAATCTTTTGTATAAATCACGATCAATTTGCGCCCGCGGGCCCCAGACGGCCGGGCCCTTGGATCTATTCAGCATTCGAAACTGAATCCCAGCCTTGTCCACAACCCTTCCCGCAACACCGTCTAAAGCGTCGATCTCCCGAATCATCGTTCCCTTTCCGATCCCGCCGAAACTTGGGTTGCATGAGCAAACGCCGATATTAGAACGGGAGGGCGTGACGAGTGCCGTTCGAGCACCGGCCCGAGAGGCTGCAGCACACGCTTCCGAGCCAGCATGTCCACCCCCAATGACCACGACATCAAAGGGTCTGTATGATAATTAGTTAAGGAGAAGCAAGTGTAACCAGGCTCTCATTCATATATACCGCGGGCCATCTGTGATGGTGGCAAAGGTCCTACGGCCCCACGCCGACTTCCTGCACGGAAAACATGGCCTCACACTTGGCGTTAGAAGCCTGATGCTAGCCATAGGTAGCTCTGCATCTCAGGAGCTTTTGCTGCCCAGAAAATGATTCTCACTCAATTGGAAATCGCTCTCAATTTTTTTAAACTTGGGGGATATATAACCCCATTAGTTACGTAACGAGCTTATGTAATTAGTTAGAAGTAACCTAACGAAGGTCAGGTGCAACACCTGGCCTATGAGCAACCTTGATCTCTGGGAATCCATATGGGACCTCTACTCAACCTGACTTGAGATGACCTCTTCTCTGCCACGGCGACGGATCCAACATGAGCGTGTCACTTTCCCGGGCACTTTGTGCCCTTAAGATAAAATTCAAACCCGCATTTTTGCGATCTTTTACCACTAAGGCTGCCTGTTTGTTTGCAATTCCAGTAAAGGATCGATGCTCAAGCTTGCTCACGGCCTTACATAGCTCCTGGCACCAGGCTTTTTGAATATGCTCGCGGGCGTTTTGTACTCGGTGAAAAAGAGCAAGCGCATAATCACCGTGTACGAGTCAATATGCAGGAGCTTCTGCGCACGGCGGCAAAGTCAGTTGGTGCGATGAGATGCATTGACGTGGAAGAATGTCCCGACGGCCTGTACAGCAAAGCCCTTATCCTTACCATGGATGATGAGACGCAAGTCGTCGCTAAAATCCCATATCCCAACGTCGGCGTTCCTTACTACACTACCGCAAGCGAAGTTGCTACGATGGACTTTGCGCGGAATGTGCTCCAGACTCCCGCTCCACAGATATATGCATGGAATGCTTCTATTGATCCAAAGAAAAATCCAGTCGGAGCCGAATTCATCGTCATGGAAAAGATGGCCGGTGTTCCCTTGTCTGATGTATGGTGTGACTTAAAACCCGACCAAAAAGTCAAAGTGTGTGTTCAGATCATCGGTTTCATGAAGAGATGGACAAATGTACATTTTCCGGCCATTGGTAGTCTTTACTACGCGGAAACTATCAGTAAATCCTCTAAGAACTCATTATACTTTGATGGGAACGATTCTGTGAGGAATTCTCGCTTTGCTGTTGGTCCCAGTAGCAATCGTGATTGGAGTGATGAGGGTCGACGAGACATTCAATGTGACAAGGGTCCATGTCCGCCGCCCTACTTTCGATTTTTTACGCCCTTCCCGAGAGTTCTGCTAACATGCTTTTTTATCCTGCGTAGGGATGTCCGTTTTGGATTACCGGAAAGCGATTTACAATCGTGAGATGCTAGCCGTCAAAAATATACGTCATATACCAAAACAACTGGCGATGCTTTATGGTCCTCCACCACTATATGAACCTACAGTAGCAAAAAAACTCCAGGCTCTGCGTTGGTACACGCAAATTGTGGAGCTCTTGTTGCCATCTGATCCGTCGCTTTTGACATCCCATGTTTGGCATAACGATCTTCATCATGAAAACATATTTATCGACCCGCATAGTCTGCAGATTTTAGGCATAATCGATTGGCAATCTGTTCAAATCACTCCTCTTACAGACCACTGTCTGGACCCTAGTTTTCTGGACTATGAAGGTCCCGATGTTGGCGATAATCTTGAGCGACCAGAGGTCCCAGCTGATATGAAATTTCTCCAAGGCGAGGAGAGAACAGCGGCATTAAAATATTTCACTGATAAAGTACTTATGATCGCATGGCGCATCCTTGCTCGAGATAAGAATCCAGCACAGCATCGAGCCATCAGGTTCCAACAGTCAGCATGCGGAAATATCCTCCATCTCTCCAGACGCATTTTCGAGGTCGGCGAGGCGCATTTCTGCGCACTTCTGCTGGATTTACGGGATGAGTGGAAAAATACCGGTATATCTCATTTTCCCATAGAGTTCTCTGAAGAACAGGTTATGACAATAGAAGAGGATGTGAAGAAAGCTGAGGTGGGTGCCACGATCATAAAGATGATCCAACAACGTCTAGGGGATCTTTGGCCTGAAAAAGGCCTCATAGAAGCTGAGAATTACAATGACACCAAGTCAGCACTTCGGGAGATCAAAGAAAACCTCATCAATGAGTACAAAAGCTATCCTGGCTGGGATCCGGTAATATTTGAGCGTCTTTGGCCATTTGATGATTAGATCTATAATCCGAGCAAACATCCCCTCACAGGTTAGTTTGGAAAAGTTCTCTATACATGAGTTCGGATTTCATCCTTTGCATACATATCCTTCCATCCGTTTGATCGACACCCTCTTCGTTAAAAGACTATTCTTATGAGTTGGTGGCAACATAATATATGTTAAAACTGTCAAGCGCCGATAGGGCGCTGCCTAAAACTGATATCAACCGTTTGAGTCTCATTGTTTTAAGATGCCCGAGCCATTCCAGGTAAGTAATTTACTATGCGAATGAAGGTTTTCGAAAATGGCAGGATTATGATTCCGGAAACCCTCGCCCTAGATGCCTAATCTGTTACGTACCAGCTGAAAATCCAATGATACAATACAACCCTTATTCCCTTGTTAGCTCCTCGCATCCATCTGACTCCCAGTCAGTTGGGGGACTATGGGCTACTATTCAGCTCCGAGTGGGCACTGGCACTGGCACTGGTAATGGTAATTAGGTACATACTATGAGGCGTGTACATACATACAGGACGCCTGCCCCGCACGGAAACCGAAGGGGGTCCATTTCGCTCTGTAGATGTGATGTAGAGTGCTCTTATCACGCAAGCTTGTAGGCACCGGCGGCCTGTTTGCTTGATTGGAAGCTGTTGTACATAACATGACCGGTCTGGATGGGAATACTCCATAGGCTGTATTCGTAGTTCGTTTTCCATTAGCAGAATTCCAGCAACTTTCTTGACGTCAACAAACAAGTCAAATTCACCTTAACATTGATCGCTCGTTTGCCGGCGCACTTCACCTTCGTATTCTGTTCCAAGCCTGCAGGAAGACAAAATGAGGGCCTACTGGTATGACAACAAGCAGGTAGCTATCCATCCCTCTACTACTTCTTTACCCCGCTCCCGTCCGCTAACTTGCCCTCTAGGGCGACCAACGCGCCGCCCACGACTCCGGCCGCGCAGTCGATCCGTCTTATCTCGAGAATATTGGTGTTCTGTACTACAAATGCGATCTACCCGAAGTGAACGCCATAGCGGGGTCGCGGGGCTATAAAAACAGAGACGAGATCACTGTTTCCCCAGAAAAAATGGGTGATGTTTTTGAGGAGAAAGTCAAGATGTTCTTCAACGAACATCTGCATGAAGACGAAGAGATTAGATATATTCTTGATGGCGAGGGCTACTTTGATGTGCGAAGCCGGGGTGATGAGTGGGTGCGAATCTTGGTGGAAAAGGACGATCTACTCATCTTGCCAGCCGGCATCTATCATCGCTTCACGACTAAAGAAAGCAATGTAAGTAACTCCATTCGGCCTTTCCCATCAGTAAGGCGTCGGACTGCTAACAAGCTGGCTATAATAATAGTATATTAAAGCCCTGCGATTGTTCCAGGATGAACCAAAGTGGACACCCTTGAACCGGAGCCCTCAGGTCGACGATAATGAGTATCGCAAGAAATACGTTGAATCTCTGCCCCTTGCTGCGTAGGGATTTCGAGCGTGTTTGTGCAGGGCGTAACAGAACAAAGGAATTTCCAATAAATATACTCTCATTGGAGAAGTAATTGTGAGACCACTGGGCCAAGAATAGGAATGACAGGCCCGCTGTTTAGTATCCAACTACTATTCAGTTATGAAATGATATATGTAATGTACATGTATTTAAGTGCTGAGCTAAGCTCATGACATTTTTCTGAATCTATGATATCTTGGTGAATAGGGGAAAGGCGTATATAACCATTTCCAGATTCTCCAGGCTGACGGCAAACAACAGTACGTAATCGAGGAGTAATTGAATCTTGGTGTATATAACATCTATGTCACAGGAACTGCGTCAGGTAAAGACCCTGGTATCTGAAATGGATCTTCTATTTGCGATTGTTCTTGACCAGTCTGGTCCTGGCGATACATCTCATTTGGCGTTTCTCCATTATTTGGCAATACATTCCGTCGGTACCTAAGGCCATCACTAGCGTCTCTTGTTCCTTGACGCGATTCGGATACGGTATCCCTGGTCCCAAGCATGCTGAGGTTGGTCACAGGTATTCCACTGCTGTCACCGGAGGAAACCTCTTGCTGCTCCTCTTGGCCTCTAACCCCTGTTCTGCCCATTCTGGGCCAAATATTTGGGAGCGCGACTACTTGAACCCTTGGCTCAACGACCCTCTCCTCGAACCAAGCCTGTACCCGTGCTTCCACCAGTTGAGCAACTTTGGGCACGTCCTGGAGACGGCTACGAGAGCCAATGAGCGAGCTAACTGAAAGTTCCAGTCTATAATCTGGAAGAAAGGAGAAAGCAAGGCTGGTTTTCGGGATTCCCGTGGTACCTGGGCTGGCAGATTGGCCCTGCTCGATGGGATTTAAGAGGCCCTGGCGAAAAGGACTGTTAATATTTTCACGAGATAAACTATGGGGTTGACTATCTGGCCGGCGACTGGCCGAGGGGGCGGAGGTATCGGCAGGGGTCTCTGTCGTTCCCGGGACAAAGGAGATACATAGTGTTCCTGAGAATCGAACGACGGATACTGAGAGAGCGACGGGTAATATTGCTGAATAAGGCTTGGGATAATTCAGCACGAAGCTGGTTTCAATGGCTAGAGAGAGGTTATCGTCGCTGAGATCGACATCCATGAGAGCCTGGAGCCGGCCTCCATCAGTATTTGGATCATCGATAGAAATAACCCTACAGTTGCTAAATATTGGAAATTCTTCCCCTAGAGAGATATCCGTCACTGTAATTTTATCGATGAAAGAAGGTTTCTTATCTGGGTTGTTTAGTACAGTAGTAAGAGAATCGAGTATAGACGATGTTGGGGAGTCCTTCAGGATATACGCAGTTTCTCGGTATTGTGCGATGGTCTGCGCTATCAGCACGTTAAACCAATCCAAAGACTCGGGTTGATGTGTCGAATGGTGGGGTCTGTGACGGCCATGTTTTGAAGTGAAATTCGTGGGAGTGGCGCTGTAATATGTCTTCCGGAGGATCGACCGGGTGTTTGTGGAAGAGGATGGAATAGGCCGCAGGATGTTGGATGATGGCTTCTCCTTTAATGTTCGAGGATTGAAGTCTCTCCCGCCGCTCATCGAGTAGGACCGCTTGTAGGGGCTCGCTCGACGAGCTTGTCCGCGGAAAGAGGATGGCGGAGCCTCGCCGAAGATAAAGAACTTGATAAACGCGCCGATTAAGAGAACAACGGAGAGCTGGCCGACCAGTAGGCCTTGTGTGAAGGAGAGGCTGGGCACTTGTTAGCATGGCAACACGGAGTCCAGAGTGGTAGTGGGAGCTCACGATGATGGCGTGTGCAAAGCAGTCTCGTCTAGAAGTGGTCAGCAAGAAGAAGCATGAGCCTTAAGGGGAGTATCAACAGACTACGAGCATCAGCCATTGCGGCCATATAGAAGAGGGGCGGAAATGACGAATTCCATGGCAAGGAGGCCTTCAATAAAATGGCTGGTGGAAGCGTGAGGTTGGCCTTCCAAACCTTAACTACATCGCTTCATTGGAGGTTAGTTAACTGACTAGCTAGGTAACTAACTACGTACTTATGTACTTCTTCCTCCTTTGTTTTGACCAGCTAAGCATTATCCCTCCTAACTCTAAGAGCCATACCACGGAGTGCGGGAGAATACCGCTTGATCTGGACCATTTGCTAAGCCGAAGTGCCTGTTACAAGCCTTCACGCACTCTGCCCGTCAGCGAATCGTCACCCGCAACCCGACATCCGCAATTTTGAAGCCCATAATCAGTCTAGCAGAAGCAAACTACTAGCTACCACAGGCGCTCTAGGAAACAATATCATTGCCTTTAATAATTACCTGCCAGAGGAGCCTGCTATGAAAAAACAAGGACCTTCAACCGGTTACCTGGTCGAGAATGGATTAAAAGTGTGGCCAGCAGCCACTTATCAACCAGTATTTTCGGAATAATCGGGCGAAATCCACCAACCTAAACAGTTACCCTTGCAGGTCTTGCATAGCTGTGGGATAACCAATCTGGCCAGCCATTTTACTTGAAAGCTGGTCAAGGAATGGCCTTCTGCTGCCTGGAAGCTGGTTGGCTCGAGCTTCAAGGTTGCGGAGCTAGCCCATGTCGGATAACTACATCACTAGGTGAAAACATACGGAGTACTCCGTATTCCACAGAGAAAGCCTCTATTGCCTGAAGATCTAGGCGTAGTCATTATTGAAACGCCTGCTCCGCTGAATGCAACTGCTGGAGTTCAAGTGTCCCCTTCCAGCATGGAAGCATGCCACGCCTGGAAGATTTTCACCATCCCTGAAGGTGTAAGCCCTGAGCCACATATCCAAGCCCCGGCAGGCCTGTTCTCTGAGTGTTGCTTAGCTTTCCTATATTTCCACGCAAAGTTGCTCTCCGCTGCTTGCTCTGCCGAATGAGCTCCTTATCGAAATCTACCGGGTCAGCGATGGGGAGGACCGAATACCCTTTGCTTTAACGTGCAGACGCCTTCTCTACTTATCGTCGGCTGTCACAATAATGGCTCCTTGCCCGAACGTGCCGAAATACTGTGGGATGACACACGACCTTCTGCAGCGCATTGGGCCACTCAATGAATATGGGAAACCAAGTCGTGACTGGTGTCTGTGCCTTGATTGTTTCAAGTATCGGCCCACCAAAGGTACATACTGGAGGAGAAAACGGGCGAAATGGATTTCCGTGGAGGCCTGGTCGAACATGATTAGTTCTTGGGGGGCGAACTTTTCGCGGAGGTGCCCGGATTGCTGGTGCGCATACACAAAACCAAAGACCTAGTATATGACGACTCTCTGCTATTGCATTGGCTCGTTGATGATGTAGGCTTACTTGCATATCTGAGTGTAACCAGGCTAGTTATGTGAATGTTGAATATGTACTGGAATGCTCAAAGAATAGCGCACAATAGTATACAAATAAGCGATCTAGTCCTAAAACCTAGCTTCTTGAGTGCATGTAAGCCTCGTCAACAGGCAGCAGTGTTCGTTTCTTATAACTACGTGGCTAGTTGGGCGGCGGCGTATTTAAGCTCCCTCTTTGGTCACCACGAGCCGCGGCCAAGCAAGCAAGCAAGCTCAAGGCTGAAGTTGCTGCTCCGAACCTCGATCACAAACATAGTTAAATCTACAGAGCAACTGCCGCCGCATTTGGCCCTGATCCAAGTCCTTTGCGGGCTGCACCTAAGAGAGCATTCATGAGTATGCACCTCGCCTCCAGCGTTGCCTTGCTCCTCCTCCCTCTCCTCTCCCACCCCGTGGCGGCTTACAATTCAAATAAATCGCCCTCCCGCAATGCCGTGCTGCTCTCGAACATTCAGACTCTTACCCTTTATTCAAACCGCAAAACTAGCCACCGTCGTGTGTCCGCTATTCCGCAGCTGACATGTGTCGGCCCCTCCAAACGAATATGCTCACTCTACACGCCCGACGTGATGCGCTGCACAAACCAGGGCTTTGACTACGATGAAAATGATGTTCAATGGACATGCACTGCCGAATTGCCACCGGAGTTTAAGCTGGGGAGCACAGAGGTCGTCTGTGAAGGGTACAGAGATGCCAATGACCCGTGGATACTGAAAGGAAGCTGCGGAGTGGAATATCGCATGCTACTGACAGAAGAAGGCGAAAGGAAGTTCGGCTATCTGAATACAGGAGGAATCCTTGATGATCGAAGTTGGGGTGAGTTTTTGTGGGATCTCTTTAAAGGTCTAGGAACGATATTCATCGTTATGGGAAGTTTTATTGCGCTGCTAAGCTACTGCAATCGCCTGTCCAACGGAAATAGGCGTGGCACAAGCAGCTGGTTCGGCGGAGGCGGAGGTGGAGGCGGTGGATGGGGTCCTCCCGGCCCTCCACCGCCGTATGATTATCAGACTGGGAGGTATACCAAGACAGAAACCTGGCAGCCGGGCTTTTGGTCCGGGGCACTTGCCGGGGGCCTAGCTGGCTATGGGCTTGGAAATCGAGGGAATCGAGGATCTTCTGAACGAAGATTCAACACGTTTACTCCAAGCTCGAGTAGCAGCAGTGCGGGCCTGTCAGGCACGACGAGAGAAAGCACCGGATTCGGGGGCACAAGGCGTCGTTGATGCGCAGGCACTGGGTGCTTTATATATGTAACATGAGTGAAGTACGCATACATCTAGATCTACTCCTTATGAGGAAAGAACTGCATATCTGTAAAACTGCAAGTGTATTCGCAGAAGTACATATATTCTAATCGGGCTACTTAGATCTTCTCCGTAGACAGCTGGCTTAGATATCGTCAATAGTACCCAATATTTCTTCTGTGCCACCGCCTAACTTGGCTGACTTCGTCGCCTTCTTCTTTTGGCCTCGGTTTCGTTTTGTATCTGCTCCATTTTCTATGCTGGGTAAGACGCCTCCATCGCCAGGGTTTCGAAGTTGCTGTTCGCGTGCTTCTTTCTCCTTCGCATGTTCCTGTTCAATTCTCGTCTTCTCTTCTTCAAGCTCCCGCTCCAGAATTTTAGGGTCATCGTAGACTGTGTTTGTCCATTCCGAGTACGCTTCTAAATTGACTGGTTCGCGAGGACCAAGTAACGTCATCTTGATTCTTTCTGGATCCTTTCTCTCTTCATTGCAGAACTTGAGTTTAATATGCCTGCGCGTACGACTCGGGAACATCTTGCTAATCATCATGAAATCTGTCCCAAACATTCGTAAGCCCTTATAGAAAAGATCCGTCAACTCTTCATCCCAAGGCTCGTATTTAGTCCGCTTTCCAAACGTCGCTTGATTAATCCGCCGCGTCAATGTATTTTCAACCACCTCTTCCATGTCTTCGGCGTTGCGTGCGGCATCTGCGTGACGGTCAATCTGCAACGTGGATGTGTCCAAAACAATCTCCCCATTGACGATGCGCATTTGAGGACCACTGGTCGGAGATGTTTCGCGATTTTGGGGTCTGTCACTTTGGTCTGATTGCTTCACAGCTTCATTTGATGCGTCTTGACTGCAGGCTTTCCTCTTATTTTCCTTCGCTTCCTGCTTTCTTGCAAGCTCTGCCGTTTCCATGTTTCTCAATTCCATCTCCCGCCTTGAACGTCTTCCTGTGCGGAGATCCTTACATAGATCCGCCATTGTAACAACCGCCGATACTATTTCAACAGATTCCGCATCTTCCGGTGTTTCCTCGCGTTTCCTCCCACCACGAGATACTTTTGACCGTAACGGAGCATCCGTCCCATCAGCAATCTCTGAGTCCTCCGCGACCTTTCGTTTACTTCTTGTTTTTTTTGGTTTAGAGACAGGATTGTTGATGATATTGACGCCACTTTGCCGAGCCGGCTTCTCGGCAGCCTGGCTGACGCCGTCCCTTAATGTGACACTTTGGTCATTAGACAGTGATAATTGCTGTGTATCAGCTTCAGGCTCCGAAATCCTGATTCGTTTTGACGGCCGCACATCTGTATTTAGGTCTGTTGACGGGGGAGTTAGGCTGACTATAGGACTCCGTGGGGGCGAAGGAGATTTTGTAGATTCGGAACTCCGAGCTCTGGGAGTGGGTAAAGTTATCGCGGTGGGAATTTCCGAGCCTGAAAAGGTCGGTTTCAAAGGTTCGGCGAGATCAGGGAAGGGAGTATCGGTCGGGGCGGTAATCGGATTCGAGGAACGGCGTTCGGGAGGGAGAATTCGAACGGGACCGGAGGCAATATCGCGCAAAGAGCGGAATTGAAACGTCGCGGGGGAGTCAGGGCAAGAAGATTGTATGGAAGCCGGAGAATTGGCAGGTGGCGACTGCGGAACTTCGGGGGGAGTAGGTAGTGGTGACAATCGTGGTGATGGGAGGGGTTGAAGTATTTGTGGAGCTGGTGTAGAGGTTGCAGCCCTGGAAGAGGGAGCGGATGTGAGGGTAGGGGCATTCGCACGGCGTACAGGAGCCTTAGGGGCGAATTTCTTCCCGGATTTGTCTATCCAAGGCCGTGAGCACGGACCGCGTTGAGCGGCAGGACGGGGTAATGCAGATGTTACTCACTGATAACGGAGCTCGAAAAGGAGGACATGGCTTCGGGGCTGTGGCTGCATCTGGCAGCTAGTTGATGCAGGAGGAGAGTCCAAGGTCAGCTGAGTCGCGATGCTTTTCTCCGAAGATTCCTTCGATACATACCTTGAGTTGAGGGGAATCTTGATCGCGTCGCCAAGGCTTAGTCAGTATTTAGCTAACTAGTTAATCCTCACGTGCCTCATCCAAGGCGCGCTAGGCCCAGGACGGAATGGAAAATCCTCCCTTTGAACTTCACTCTCGCCTTCCTGAACCTCTTCCCACCTGAGTGCCGATTTCTCCTTTTCTCTCCCAGCGTACGTTTCATTAGTCGGATTAGATCTTCTCTGGTGTTAGGGTTTGATATTGTTTTTCCGTACCAGGCGATTGCCTCGCAGTATATGCACCGCCATTCCCCTAATGACGGTCATCGAGGCTTCCCCGGTCCCCTTAACCAAACCTGGTCTCGTTGTCAAAATGGAAGACCGGAAACGACCCGCCTCACATGATCCAAATGATTTCACTCCACCACTGAAGAAACAAGCTACGTCTGTTAATGGCGGAGGGAAACCTCATCCTGACTCTGACATGCCATGGAAGGATGATTTGGAGGTGGGTTACCATACTTATTTTAGCTATCACTCGAATTCAACCTCTTTCGCTTGTATTATGACGCGAAGATTGAAATGCTGACGTTTACCTCGCTGTGTATAGCGCTTCCAAAAAGATGCCATTTGGCGCCAGATGCAAGAATATAAACGGGAGAAGGCTACTCTTGAGACTCGTCTGAAGGAATTGACTAAATCAGCGGCTTACCACGATGATCATCTTCGAATTATTGATACCTGGCTGAAACAGGTATGTGTCTCCATTCGTCTTAAGTTGGATCGGGATCTAATGTTTTTCTTTAGTTGATCGATGAGATTATAATCTTAGCGGGCCCTTCTGATAAATTGGAAGGTAGGTTCAATCCATATTATACCGCGCAATGCCTTACTAATTTGTCCTGAAAGAATATACACCGCAGAGCGCTCTGTTATTCATTGGACATGAGGATTTTGAAAAGCATCTAAAAGAACGTGCCGAATCGATCAAATCTACCGTTTCACGACTATCATCCAATGGTGGATCAAAAATACCTCAAGACATTGTTGAGCTGAAATCTCAACTTACTAAAGCGCTGGCAGAGCACAAGGTTACAATCATGGAACTTGAAAAGGCATTGGCTGAAAAACTACAACTCGAAGAACGCCTGGAGGCCGCCTCTCTACGATATATGGTAGCTGAAAAAAAAATCGATAGAGCAAAAAGTTTGACTGTTGCTCGCTTGGAAAAGCAATATATTCTTGGCGCGCAAAAGCCTGTAGTAGAGAATTCGTCGGCAGCACGAGAGGAGAGCTCCACTACCAATGGCACAGGTGATTCATCGGAAAAGCTATCTGAACTTGAAATGTCCTACAATAAGACACTTGCAGTGTCTGAAATTCAAAGGGATCAACTAGAGAAACTAGAGACGGAAAATACCAAACTGTTGTCCCAGATCACAGAGTTCAACGTGAAAGTAAGCTATCGTCATCAATTCCCTGTTATCTGGTGTATAATGTCTAACAGCTTAGCTCTCAAAACTTTCCGATGAGGATTATGCCCAAACCGATCTCTTTAAACAACTAAAATCTCAGCACGAGGACGTTATCAAACGAATAAACCATCTTGAAGCGACGAACGTACAGCTACGTGAGGAGGCAAAGAAACTTCAAGCGGAAAGGACGGCGTATCAGGTTCAAATTGAAAACGAGGCCCAGCTTTCTATCAATGAAAAAGAAGCATATCTTTCAAAAGTGGAATCAGACTTGACTCGTATTAGGAATGCCCGCGACGAACTTCTAGCTGACCAACAAATGAGAAAAGCGTCCCAAGAACAAGAGAGACACTCCGTAACGCAGATGAAAGAATTACTGGAGGCCAAAGAAGCTCGTATTGTCTCCCTTGAATCAGAAGTGGAACGTTCAAAACTCAAAGCAAGTGAAATCGAAAGCACAAGCTCGACTACTTCCGATCTATCCTTGTCAGAATTGAAGACGAAATATGAAGTTTTGGATAAGCAATATGATTTATTGAATGCAGAGCTTTCATCCATGCAGGCTGCCTTCAAGCGCACATCAAAAATTGCTTCTCAAAAAATAGCCGACTTTATTGCTCTGGAAGAGAAGGCTCAACGGCTGGTAGCAGAAAAATCTAAAGCCGATCAAAAATACTTCGCAGCTATGAAAAGTAAAGAAGCGCGTGACCAGGAGCTTCGAACTTTACGCGTTCAAAACATGAAGAGTTCCGACATCATATCTCAACTTAAAGAATCCGAAAGCACCACTCGAAATTTGGTATCCAATGTTGAAAAACAGCTTTCTGAGACGAAGGATGCGCTGAACGGCGTTCTAACCCAGAATCGAGCTTCGCAGCAGCAAGTTACAGAGGCAAACCTTGCCATTCAAGGTTTAAGGTTGCAAGTTGCAGAGCTGAAAGCTCTTGTTGCAAACAGAGATGCCACCCTCGCCTTTGCAAATAGTAATTGTCGAAAGGCCGAAAGCGCAGCAGAAGGCCTCAAGGCGACGCTCGCTGACACTAAAAAAAGCCTGGAATCTTGGAAAGCTAAAGGAGTAGGAAACTCATCTTCGGAGTATGAAATGCTCAGGGTAAGTGTTTCTAGGTAATTATATGAGGCATCCTCTAACAGAACTTAGACTCTCGCACTTTGTACTGTATGTCGCAGGACCTGGAAGGACACTGCAATTAAAACTTGTGGGCATGTGTTCTGCAAAGAATGTGTTGAAGAAAGACTTACTTCACGGTCCAGAAAATGCCCAAACTGCAATAAGTCTTTCGGCAACAACGACTATATGCATATCACCCTTTAATGATTTTCATTTTTGTTATAATTCATGATCCTGTTTTGTACAATATGTACGGTCTTATCCCTGGTTTTCGTGGCGCTTTTTTGCATTTTAGAGTGTTGGACGGGCACTTGACTCTTTTGTCACGGTCAAGATCTCGAAATGGGTGGCGCCGGAGATGGTGGGCGGCTTCTTGTCGGTTTTAGCATGGGTTGGTTTTCTTGATACCAGTGGTTTTGCACAGCCAAGAAGCTGAAATGGCGTTCCTCTATTGGGTCAGGCGGTTTCGCTTTGGGCTAAAGGTTTGTGTTGACTGGGTTGTTTGACGTATTTTGGTGTGATAGCAATATGTGCCTTATTCTATTATAAGAATTTGGGCTATTCGCTGACTTTTAGCGGTCCTGTATCCTTTTGCAGTCACTCCCTCCCTGCTTTATTCATGAATTGAATATTCTGCTGTAGAGAAGTTCATGTCGCCCCATCCACAAATCAATCACTGGTGCGATCTGACCGGCATCTTCTGGTTTCGTATACCATTCCTTTTCGATCAACTGCCAAATCAGATCTTGTAGAACTTCGCTAGCCAGTATTTCTTGGGCTTGGTAGGGACCCATAACTGACGATCTCACAGCAGCGCTCAGTACCGCTTTGGCGTGATTCAAAATAAACACATATGATGTTTGCTGTAGATTGACCCCCATGGCGAGGCAGACCGTTCCCCAAAGTGGCCCAAAATGGCCATTCACAGTGCCATCTAATAGGGTGGTGCTTTCGTCCTCGCCTGAATCATGTTTTACTGACTCGGAGAACGATTGAAGGGCCGCAACAGCTGATTGTGAACTAGTATTATGAATATTCTCGGCCGTCTCCTTTTTATCCCTGTTATTGAAACCAGATTTTGCGCTATATGAGGCCCTCAATGACCGTTCCCAGACAGTTAACAACGCCATACCCTGAGCCACGCTTGCCCTGCGACTGACAGAGCAAGGGGTAGAGGCATCAATATCATTATCCAGATCACCCAACCGACTCGGCTCTCTATGACCTTGAATAACATAGGGTAGCGTTGAGCTTGCAATTGAGGCCATTGAGAGGCTTAGAAACCTGAGGAAGGAAGTTAATGGGGTAGTATCCGAAGGAAGGGGACGATTGTGTAAAATGTATGATTCTAAGCCGCTGGAGTAAGCGAATGAACCAAGCGGAAGGGCAGAATCAGAGAGTAGTAAAAGAGCATGAGATATCTCCGGCGAACGAAAGAAGGCTATTTTACTTTAGTAATAGGATAAGTACATGGGGTGGGTTGGAATATTAACCATTAATGGGAGTCAAGGGTTGACTAATGCTATTTCTATGAAGCAGGGTTTTGGCCTCTTCTAGTTGGCCTTCTAGGTGACTTATCTTTTTTTCAAGCTGTTCTCGCGAATAATCCATTCTTGGTGGATAGGAATGTTGATGTCGAATGGTCATCTTGCTCATGAGCAGCGGGTTCTTTTCTTTGACGATGGATGCCAGATACTGATAGGATTGGTTATCTAATCTGATACTAAACTAGTTACTGATAAGACCATTACTAAGCAGGTTAATGAGTCCGCTTTTTTTTAGCTACCTAACTTCTCCGTACTGCGTATCAGCCAATTTATTAGCTGTTGGCAGAAAACATCATCTTTCTCCAGCTTGTGAGGGGACGCGGAGTAACATAAAGCGTGCTGGGCATATTTAGACTAATGATGTGGACTTCGCGGTAATTTCTAAAAGTTACCCGTCTTCCGCAATGTCGGGGCGCCGCCTTCTCGACATCATTACGGTCGTTAATGTCACGCGCAACGTTGCTACAAAACACATCTCCCTGCAAGGAAAATACCTCGATATACACTCGCGCACGTCATCATTAACGAAAGGTGCAAAATCTCAGGCTCACCAAATCAGCCGTGCGATCAAAGCTGCGGCGGACCTAGCGCAAAGACTAGACGGCACGCCGACCGTGGAACTGAGAGAGAATGTTGCGAACACAACAAATTCAACAGAAGATGAGAAGCAAAGCCCTTCCATACGAGAATCACGGGATGACACCTCTGGTGCCAAATCTGTGAATAGCGCTGCACCTGCGAATACCACTTCAGCAGCGACTGGGGCCTTCGAACAACAGCACACAAACAACATAGTGTCGTCGGGACAAGTGGAACTACCGGAAATAACACAAAGAATACAGGAGACGACTCAGATCTCGGAAGATTGTCAAACTGGCCCAACCTCGGGGTCTACACAATGCAATGGGGTTGATGGTCAAGATGACCTTCCAGACCACATGATGAAGCAGCTTTTTCGCAGCCACAAAATGTCACTCGCAGGCTTTCCTTCTAAGCCCCATAACCCCATTGATATGCTTGAGAATACATCCGTACGCGCACAGGGGGTTGCTGTTCCAATTGAGGCAGCAGGTATCTCCACTCCTACCACCCTTGCTGCACCAGTATCAGAGAAATTTTCCCCACCAGAAGTATTGGAACAGACTGAGACAATTTTAAATGTAAGAGATATACCTTTGTAACGAACTTTGAATGGACTAATTACAAACCTAGGCGGAAACGGAAAAAACACAAAAAAGGGAGTATCGAATGGCAGAGTCTCGGGTGCCTTCTTCTCGCTTAGGGCGGCTTTGGGAATATGGTGGTCTTGCAACATCAATGGCTATTGGGGTAATGGGTGAGAGCATACGTCGGGTCGCCCGCAGTAATGATACAAACTCAGGCTCATTGTTATTGAGTCCCGCCAATGTTGAACGACTAGTGGCAAAGCTATCCAAGATGAGAGGTGCTGCTCTCAAGCTTGGGCAAATGATGAGTTTTCAAGGTACTTTCTCCTCCTATTTTTATGTTAATATCGATGTTAACTCGTACCGCAGATTCAAAAATGCTTCCCTCGACAATCCAGGAAGTTCTTCAGCGTGTTCAGGATAGGGCAGATTACATGCCTGCTTTCCAACGTGATAAAGTCCTTAGCGATAATCTGGGGCCGAAATGGAGGGATCTATTTGACACATTTGACGAAGTTCCAATCGCTGCCGCATCTATCGGCCAAGTACACGCTGCTATCTTGCGGGAGACCGGCCAGCGAGTGGCGGTCAAAGTGCAGTATCCAGGAGTCGCTAACTCCATTGATTCAGACCTGAATAATCTTTCGATCCTTTTGACAGCCTCTCGGCTACTTCCTAAAGGCTTGTATCTTGATAAGACCATAGCCAATGCACGCACTGAACTTGCTTGGGAGTGCGACTATATCCGCGAGGCCGACTGTGGTCGAAAATTCAAAGACCTTCTGCAAGACGAAACATCTACCTTCACCGTGCCCGAGATAATTCCATTTGCATCTGGAAGACAGGTTCTAACCATGGAACGTCTGGATGGGGTAGCAGTGACAAAAATTCAAAACTTCACCCAAGCTCAGCGTGACTGGATTGGTACTCAAATTCTTCGCCTTTGCCTTCGTGAGATTTGCGAATTCAGGTACATGCAAACGGATCCAAACTGGACTAATTTCCTTTACAACGCTAAGACCAACCGTCTTGAACTCCTGGACTTTGGCGCCTCGCGTGAATATCCTAGTTCGTTCATCAAAACCTATATCCGTACTCTTGTCGCGGCATCTCGCAACGACAGGAAATTATTACAAGAGCTTTCTACCAAACTTGGTTATCTAACTGGCTTTGAATCTCAAGCTATGACTAACGCACACCTCGAGTCCATACTCACCATTGCGGAACCATTTAGACAAAGCTCTCCTTATATCTATGATTTCAGTAATCAGACGATAACGGACCGTGTGAGGCACCTCATCCCGCTAATGTTAAACGAAAGGCTATCACCGCCACCGGAAGAGACGTATTCATTGCATAGAAAACTAAGTGGCGCATTCCTACTATGCGCGAGACTAGGTAGCCGAGTTCCATGCAGAGAATTATTTGAGAACGCGTTAAAAAGGGTCCAGTGGGATGAATAAACCGGACGGAATTGGCAGCCATGTCAAAAGAGCAGTCAGCCATTCTGTTGTCCGGTACTATTTAAAGTGTACGAGCTGTACGGACTCACGGAATACTCCGTATATAAAAGCTAAGAAATCCTTTCAATCTATCCCAGCGTGCATGTACAGTATGTGTAGACATTATGTATATTACTCTCTTGGTATAAGGGCATTTATAGAACTCCTCGATAATTTAGTTTCTTGATTTATATCATCGATATCAGGCACCTCTAGCTATCTCTAGGGAAGTAATACGATCATAGCCCTTCAGCATCAGTTAGGTCTTGAAAGTCACCTTGATATTAAAACAATATCGACAAGGTTCTAGGACCGGATAATATTTTGCATACATTCATTTGTCATGGAATGAATTTTGGATCGTTGAGTGTCCAGGACACGACAACGAAACCTTACACCAAGTATTAACCTGAGATTTTGTAAATCCCGAGGTCAGATGACATGATAATCACCAGCAGCAGTGTTACTGGGCGTGTGTTGATAGTTTTTATTCACGCAAGGTCGCATAAATCAAGGTTTTCCGTCAAAGACAGCATGCCAGTAATGCTTGACACCATCGCAAACCCCCTTCTTCTTTTTCCAACTTTCAAATTTGGTTTCGAGCTCACAAGCTACCCATCTAATCTCAGTCCAAAACTGTTTCACGACATCTCCACCGAGCTCCTTGATTATTGCTTCAGGAATCGTCCACTGGCGTATATACTTCCCTTGAGAGTCCCTGATAGGGTCGGTGGGATGTCTTTCAAAGATAGTAGCGGGATCAAACTTTGGCACATTGGCGTGAATGAAGAATGGCTTCGGCGAAGCGGCCGCCGCAGGGTTCGAAACACGAAATACGCCCTTTTTAGTTAGTCTATAGTCTTCCACCGGATCATACTGCACCATCGCAGAACCGTCGATCCCACCATCGGCAGTCCGGTGTCCAATCGCTTGCACTGGCTCACTAACTTGGTAGAAAAGCTCACCGGCTGCAGTAGCTGCGGCAATAAAGGTTTCCTTATCTCCTTCTCCAGGAGCACCTTGTGAGAAAAGAGGATAATAATGGGACGGGCCATAAAAATTATAGTAGATAGAGAGCAATAGGGTTTTCTGGTGTGTTTTCTTCGAAATAAGAATTTCGCCGGATTCAGTGGACGCCCTAATGGTCGTTGAAGGAATAGGCTGTGACGCTATTGTGTAATATAGAGGAGAAGCGCTCGAAGCCCAAAAGTCGGGCCAGGTAACCATGTTAAAAGTACGAAAAGGCTCGGCAGAAAATAGATTTTTGGGATCACGTAAAGGGAATGCATCTGCATCTAAAAACAGCATCTCTTCAAATGAAGAAAAAAGCATGGCAAAAGGCTTGTACTGATATTGTTTGATATCCACCGGCCCAGGCAGCTGGTTCAATATCTTGTCTAGAATTAAGCACCTAGCGTTCAACTTCGGAAACACGTGCTCACATATATATGGCTCGTACTCTTTTTCGGACGCAAGAAATACTTCCATCGGTAATGCAGAGCCGTACCGTCGAAGCATGCGGAGGGAGATAGTAAGAATGGGCAAAAATGAGCCTCCTGCAGTCGAAACGAGCCCGCGCGTGCCAGGAACGTAGAAAGGGCGTACTGGGAGGTCCTTTAAAGAGCTCAAAAAGCGATTGTGCATCTGCTGCATTCTATTCACGTCCTCGGGGGGCATTGACATGAAGTCCGGGCGATGTACGCCGCGGTTTGGGTTAAAACGGACTGAGCCTGCTGTTGTCGAACGCTTCGGAGAAGTGCAGTTGGGGGCGTTCGTGATGAGGATAGGATGAAAGGATCGCCAGAATTTTGTATGCTCTTTGTAAAAACCATGATTCGAGCGGAAGTTGCTACGTCCAGAATAGTCCGGCGTTTCTAAACGGCGCCATTTTGAGGGAAGGTAAACGATGAGGAGAAGGAAGAGGATGAGGATAACGAGGAGTTTTGGGCGAACCACAAAGTGAGAGGATAATCTCAGCATTTCTCACACTTTGTAAGGGACAGTATCCCCATCCTGTGCACGGTAAGAAGAGTTCTGAGCGGACCAAGACGTGCGGCATGGGCTCACTCACCGATTAATCTGACCAGGAGATGGCTTCGAGCCGACTGATCCCCGAACTAACAGGAAGATAATGGAAAACCATTGCAATTTTCGGGCTGTCAATAGTATGTGCAAGAACAGGGGAATTAGAATTATTTATAAATTTGAGTTGGTTGGTGACACATTATTGGGGTGTTGCTGTCAAGCAGCAAAAACCCCTTTTTCTCCACGCATGGGTCTCTCGGACTTGGGCTTCGGCTCCGCTGTGGGCTTCCAAGTTATGGGGCATATTTTTGGCGCAAACCCCGAGGCAGCACAGGCGGCACGCTGGTCCAGATCGCCCTTCATATCGTTATCTCCTAGTTCCGCGGCCGTTTCGTCGAGGCCGCCAATGCGAGGTTGGAAAGAAGGCAGGCACGTGACTGTCTGACGTGACGTCAAGCCCTAAGCCCTAACTGCCCCTCTTTGGTCGACATTGCGGCCGCAACAACGACGACGAGGACGACGGACTCGCCGGGCCGCACGCGATCAGCACAGGCACACATCACACTATACGAGGCACGGATACCCGTTGCAGGACTGGATCCCGGATTGTGGGCGTCTATAACCCGCCCGCCTGCGTCATTGGCTGCCAGAAGAAGATGGGAAACACCCCCTCGAAGACCCCTGGCCAGGCCGCCCAAGGCTCATCAACGCAGTGGAACGACAAGAAGGTGAACCGTAGGACGTCCATCCAGGCGTTGTCTGGCAGCAAGTCTGCTGCGGTGGACCCCTCAGCATCGAAGGAGAGCGCGACCGGACAATATACCCAGCGACAACAGACTCCCGTTCACCAGAGACTACAATCGCGCAGTATCGCGGACTCGGTGGGCCGAGGAGTTGATAAGTTGGAAAGACGTGTATCGAGACAAAGCCGTGACGAGGAAGCTCGAGATATTCCCATTCGTACGAGACCATCCGATGCGTCTGAACCTGCAAGAGCCGTGCAGGTGCCCACTCCTGCCCCACAGCAGTATCCCTATGTTGGCGGTTATGGCCCGTCAATGAACACCTACTATGCTGCTCCCTCGCACCTCTCGCGACCGCCTCGCCTGCCACTACCGATTGGTGACGCACTGTCAATTCCTGGGTCGCCTATAACGGCAACCGGTTCGCTAGGTGCCACAGCCGCATTTGATAGGGCCGAAATGAAATCGGCGCTGGGCGATGCCATCGAAGACGACGACGAAGTAGTAGATGAGCTTGAACCTTTTGCTACAGCCGATCTTAGCAAGGCCGTGTCTACTTTTCTGGAATGGAAAGGGGGTGGAGAGAAAGTATACGTGACAGGTACCTTTGTGAATTGGTCTAGGAAGTTTAGACTTTCTAAGAGGTATTGGCCCGTTTTTTTTAACCTCCCGATTGGTACTCTTTCTGTTCAGGGTCGAAATAGCACACTTACCTGGTATCTGCTCTGATAGTGATGATAATGGCGTTTTCTCAACTACTCTCAAGCTCCGGCCCGGCACACACCATCTTAAATTCATCGTCGACGGCGTTATGCGGACATCTGACAGCCTTCCAACTGCTGTTGACTTTACTAACCACCTCGTCAACTACATTGAAATAGGCCCTGAGGAAATGCCAGCTTCTCGAGGAAGTGAGAAGCCGCCGAAGATTGTGATCCCACCAGGACTCTATCCTCCCCAAGTTCTTCCTGATTCCCTACTTATAGAAGAACCTGAGAAGGAGGTAGAGGAGGAGATACCGATTGGTGACTTTCGTACGATTATTCCACCAGTTCTCATAGATATTGAGGGAGAGGAGAATACTTCAAGCTACACGCAAGCTGCAAGTATCATCCACGATTTTCCCACGCCACCAATGCTACCAATGTTTCTCGGTCGGTCCATACTGAACAGCTCCACACCCATGAAAGATGATAACAGCGTCTTAAATTACCCTAATCATACCGTATTAAACCATCTCGCTACCAGCAGCATCAAGAATGGCGTGCTGGCAACAAGTGTCACAACAAGATACAAGAGGAAGGTTTGTGCACCTCTACTTTATCTTCCTCCCTATATCTTTACTAATGAAACATTTCGGCAGTATGTGACCACAATTTTATACAAGCCAACAGGGCACGGGTGACAGCATATTCTCGCCCTCCCATCCTTGCGTCGCTAAAAAGGCGTCGCTAAGAGTAAATATTCATTTATCAAAGACTCTTATGACGGAACGGAAAAGACTTTAACTCGAAGCTGTGTTTGACGTCTTCTTGGGCTGTCGAAAACATCGCGAAATAAGCATGCGTCGCCGTCCAGATTACACGCCCTATGGATGAACTCATTTCCCCCTAGAATCGCCTCTTAAATCTTTTCGAGTTCAGCGTCCAATGGAATCTCTGAGACTATCTTCTATCAAGCCGAATGGTTTTAGATTTGGATCTCCTTCCATAAGGCAACCTAGAGATTTGCGGTTACAACTGTGGTGTCCATATGGTTACTGCTCTTCCAATAAAAGGGGGCAAATTGAGACTTAGGGAAAAGAATATGTTCTGACCCTTGTTCTGAATATGCAGTCATTTTTTAGTCCAATGACTGGAGTAAATGGGTTCTATTAGTTAGGGATAGATGGTTTGCATATATGATTGGACAGCATCCAAATTAGGCAAACGACTCAATGTCTCGCGTTTTTATCGATACTTTATACAGCTAGTCTGATGGTTCGACACAGTCGTTTGCTGGACTTTGTTTTTAAATCCACCTATGTAGTTCTCTGATGTGTTAAGTTGAAACTTATTGTATAGTTAACTCTAAATTTCTATGAAGATACAGAGCCAAATATAGCTAATATGTAGATTTACTTTTATCTATGTAGTTCAAGAGACCAAACGACCACATGCGCTGCCTAGCGGAAAGAGGATGACAGGGATAGAGGCTGCAACATCGATCTGGTATGTTTTAGGCAGCTACGCTGTGCTTATGCTAATAATTTTCACATCAACCTCTGGCTTCTCCTTATACGTCTTGACATTTTCAATTTGGTGTACGACATCCAAGCCTTTTATTGCCCTCCCGAATATTGTATGATGCCCGTCTAGCCAAGGGGTTTTCTCAGTCGTAATGAAAAACTGGCTCCCATTTGTGTTTGAGCCAGCATTGGCCATTGACAATGTAAATGGGCTGTCATGCGATAAGGACGAGAATTCGTCTTCAAATTCCTTACCCCAGATTGATTCCCCACCAGTTCCATCGCCGAGAGGGTCGCCACCCTGGATCATGAATTTACGGATCACTCTGTGGAAGATGGTATTGTTATAATAACCGTTACGAGCGTGTGTGACGAAATTCTCTACCGCTTTTGGGGCCACGGAAGGAAAAAGTCGAAGGTGGATATCTCCCATGGTAGTGTGCAGGATGGCAGAGGTACCGGTATTTACTTGCTTCTCACTGGCTCCGGCCCGAGCAACATCGCGGTCATGCCGCGGTTTTTCGTTTTGCACATCACGAGTTGATTTTGAAATATCGGTTTCATTTGAAAATATGTAGAAACGCGGTTTCGCGAATCCTGTACATATAAGAACCGGATCTCGCTCCTCGGCTTCTTGGAGAAGAGGATTTGCGCTCGCCGCCATCGAGACTGTTACCACGCCTTTCTTCTGTGGCTGACCTTGATAAACTGCGAGGTTAAGAGCGCGAAAAGGCTCATCTTTTCCGTAAACTTTAACAACACGGTTGGTATAGGTATTTATGCATTTAATACCCAATATAGAGCCGTACAGGACAAAGTGGCCTGATTCATCGAAAACAACATTGATTTTTGGGGCAATGACAGGGTTTTGCAAATCTCGCTCGACAGCCATCCGACGGCCAAATTCCACTTCTTCTAACTTCTGTAACGCTGTTCCTGCCTGCTGCATATCGGTAAGGGTCGTGAGAGACTCATCATATGACCGATACAGCTTTCCTGTTTGAAAATCAAATATTCGGATTTGGCGGTCAGGAAAAGAGAACGTTGCGAACTGGTGGCCAGATGGTGAGAATACAAGAGAAACCGGCGATGATTTTGCCTTTTTGAATGCAAATAGATCGGTAGATGATTTGAGATCAAATAGCCCGTCCGGCTTTTCGAAATTTTCGCTTGGCCGCCAGTACTCCAGCATGCCTCCATTATCTGCCGATACGACACAGTCATATGTATTATTATATGCCATTGTGACAACAGAAGTGCGGTGTATATGTGACAAAGTGTGAAGTGGTACTTGATTTTCTCCCCGCCCATCAAATATACAAATAGTATTATTGGATTCGCCAGCAACTGCCAGCAGTGGCAAGGATGCGCCTCTTGGGTGCACCCAACATACACATGAAGGCGTGAAATCAGGGCTTAGGGCCGCTAGCAGGTCTATATATCATTAGAAGTCCTGCTCGACCACCTATACGGAATAGGATGAAACGCACCGAAAGTGACCACATCGAATATCTTTACGGTCTGGTCTGCGCCGGTAGTAGCAAAGCTCCGACCGTCAGCACTAACGCTGACACTGAGAATATCGCCCGCGTGAGCACGATATTCCTTGACAAACTCCACTCCAACGGCCATTTTCTTCCAGAACTTGACTACCCCATCAACGGAACTTGTGATAAGGAAGTCGGTATGTGGTGTTATAGTAGTAAAGGAGAGCTGTTCCTTGTGCATCAATGATTTGGAATACCTCGTAGAGTTGGGTAGAGCACTGATATACAGCTTTTCGTATGGTAGCTTTCTTCGCTTTTTTTTTGGCTGGGCGGTGGGCAGAGCAGGGCCAAAATCATCTTCAGAGGATGATATAGAGCCATCTATACGAAGTCAGTATACTGCTATATAGAACCATTGTATCCAGCTATACGAACTATTGTCATGAGACTCCGGATCCGCCTCTGAACGAGATCTTTTGCCTGGATTGCGCACCGCATCCTCTGTTTCCATATCGGCCATAGCGGATTCGTAGAAGCACAGTACTCAAGATTGGATAGAAAAGCAGTAAATGGCAAACAGCAATAGGCTATTGCCGTCAATTTGTCTCCAGGCCCATAGCACTTGTCGTTGGTTTGCGGCGCACCTGTTCATAGCTAGTTAACTATTGGGTCACGTGCCAGACTGCTGCAGCAGTTCTGGGCTCAGCGAGTCGAGACTAGAAGCTTGAGCAACACACATTCGCAGACAATAGCAGCAGAGCTCCTGCGCAGTCCCTTATTTTTCCCGCTGCAGCTGTTCTTGTCTCGCCGCTTGAGGCATTCTCAAGACCTCTTCAATATGGTATGCTTCCTTGTCCATTTTTCTCCTCGATCTAACTCCTGGCAAGTCGTTCAACAACCCCACCCAGATTTTCGCAGACGACGTGACTGAAGAAAAGGGCGAACATGCTCGTCTGTCCGCCTTCGTCGGCGCCATTGCTGTCGGAGATTTGGTTAAGAGTACATTAGGACCTAAGGGAATGGACAAGATTCTTCAGTCAGCGTAGGTAGACGCCTTCCCTAACCCCGCCGCAGCATGGGCTAATTATCTTCCCTTCTCCTACCGAGTTAGTTCGACTGGTGAGATAATGGTTACGAATGATGGAGCAACGATATTAAAAGCGATAGCTCTGGACAACGCCGCCGCCAAAGTTTTGGTGAATATTTCCAAGGTCCAGGACGACGAGGTGGGAGATGGCACTACTTCTGTGACCGTCCTCGCTGCGGAGCTACTTCGTGAAGCAGAAAAGCTCGTCGAGAAAAAGATCCATCCCCAAGTCATCATTGATGGCTACAGAATAGCTAGTAAAGCCGCTCTGGGCGCCCTGCACCACGCAGCGGTAGATAATAGTTCCGATCCAATTGCTTTCCGAAAAGACCTACACTGCATTGCCCGAACGACCCTTAGCTCTAAAGTTCTCGCGCAAGACCGAGATCAGTTTGCGAGTTTAGCTTGCGATGCAGTTTTAAGATTAAAAGGCTCAACCGATCTAAGCCATATTCAAATTATTAAAAAGGCTGGTGGCAAGCTCTCAGATTCCTACCTCGACGAGGGATTCATTCTTGATAAGAAAATTGGGGTTAATCAGCCAAAGAGACTTGAAAAGGCCAAAATTTTGGTTGCGAATACAGCGATGGATACCGACAAGGTCAAGATTTTCGGCGCAAGGGTAAAGGTTGACTCAACAGGGAAGCTTGCGGAGCTTGAGAAAGCCGAGAAAGAAAAAATGAAAGCCAAGGTTGATAGAATTAAAGCTCATGGAATCAACTGTTTTGTCAACCGGCAACTTATTTACAACTGGCCAGAACAGTTATTTACTGATGCTGGAATTATGTCGATTGAACACGCTGACTTCGACGGCATTGAACGGTTAGCTCTTGTCACCGGTGGCGAGATTGCATCTACCTTCGAACACCCCGAACAAGTAAAATTAGGCCACTGCGATCTAATTGAAGAAGTTATTATTGGCGAAGATACTTTAATAAAATTCTCTGGTGTTGCCGCCGGACAAGCCTGCACAATCGTCTTACGCGGTGCAACGGAACAACTTTTAGATGAAGCAGAGCGGTCTTTACATGATGCCTTGGCTGTCTTGTCCCAAACCGTCAAAGAGCCACGGGTGACCCTTGGAGGTGGTTGTGCAGAAATGATCATGGCCAAGGCTGTTGAACAGGTCGCCCAGAACACTACCGGCAAAAAACAACTCGCGGTAGACGCCTTTGCGCTGGCGCTTAAGCAGCTGCCTACGATACTCGCGGACAACGCTGGTCTAGATTCTAGCGATTTGGTAACTCGACTAAGACAGGCTATTAACAAAGGCTTGACCAGTTCAGGCCTTGACCTACTAACTCCTGGTGGTGGAATTGCAAATATGCGCGACCTGGGAGTAGTTGAGAGTTATAAGCTGAAGAAAGCCGTTGTGTCCTCGGCATCGGAAGCCGCAGAGGTAAGCATCTGTCCTTCTTCCTGAGCATTCTTCGACAAATACTAATACCTCCATAGCTTCTTCTTCGCGTGGATAATATCATTCGCAGTGCGCCCCGGAAGAGGGAACGGGTATAGACTTGTAGCAGAGCGGAATGTTGTTTGAGGGCAAAAGTTGAACCGGCGGGGACAACATAGTGTAATTCGCAGCTGTTGTGCCGCTGGAAAGCATGGCTGATGTACATGCAATATGACAGATATTAGACACAAAAAGACAAATTCATTATGTACATGCGGCCTGGGCATCCAGATGGCAATTTGTTTAGTGGTTACGCCACATTGAGCAAAGTACTTAGCAGACCAGCTACTTACATCTTTTCTTCCTCTTTGCTACTGAAGAGTGTTCTGCCTTCTCCAGATGTGGTGGTGCATGAAGCAATTGCTTCATGGGATTATTGATTGTGTTGACCAGCACAAGTGGCAGAGCCACTATCTATCATTACATTGCCTCCTCAAGTTATCTTCACCTTAAAATTATTTGAGCTCCCGGGATCAGGGTCAACACAGGCCTACCGACTTGAATACTCCTAACATTTTCCTTTGGTTCTTTTGACCTCGCTGTGTTTTTGCTTCTCTGTCAGCCTGAGCTCCCCGATCGGGCAAACAGACTACGGTTGCCTGTGGGGGCGCTGGCTTCAACTTCACATGACCCTCATCCTCATCTTCTCTTGTTTGCTCTTTAGCTTCAGTCTTTCTAAACGCGCTCATCTTTTTATACTCTTGCATTTGGTAATACCTAAACACTTCTCGGTATTCTGGTTTTCTGCAAGGATCTTGCAGAGAATGTCTAGTTTCTGGAACCATGCTTTTCCTTCATATATCCCACCTACAGAATACCCCCCTGACTCCAGCTTTTTTACGTTTTCAGCCCCTCGCCCGGTCAGAATGGTGAGGACTCCTCCCCCAGTTTCCCCTTACCCGCAAGACCCTTACCTGCCGATAGCAAGCCCCCGCCGCGAATCTCACCCCAACGCCTGTCACTCAAAATTTGAAGGACAGAAATCTGTTCAATTTATCTGCTCTTTCTGCAACACAGCTTGAGAACGCATCGTTCACGCCCAAGGCTCCTATTAGTCGCTCTTCTCAAAAATGCCAAAATCCCCCCGATATAGGCGACAGTTCAGGAAAAGAACTCACCCTTTCAAGACGTTCTGTTAAAGACCTAGCAGCAGGCGAATCATGTGTTCAGAAGGACGTTTTGACCGTACTCGAAGCCCGACTAGCCAAAACTGAACAGCGCGTTCAAGAGCTGGAGGAGAGGCTTCGACAACACCAACAGCCCCGCTTTTCCCCTATCGAAACAGTCGAGAGGGAAAACTGCATCCAGACTGATTTGCTCAATATCGAAGATGATGCGGAGCTTGTCCAGCTTCCAAGTAACCCGAAGAACGAATATCACATGAGGGCTTTAACACTGACGGAACCAACTCCATTTGTTATTTCCAATGCCGAATTTGTCAATTTCGAAAGTGTTTTCAAGCAGGAGGCAAAACTTCCCCAAGAAGAACATTTGAAAACCGCCAAACAATGCAAGACATTAGTTGAAGGGATTGGCTCTCCGACTGAGCTCATCCATCATCGAAGAATTCACAGCACGTCCACGGTAGAGAGTGACCTTCTTATCGATATGGGTAGCAGCTCCCATCGACGCAGCCCTAGTTCGGAATTTTGCTTGTCTGTAGACTGTCCATCGAATCACCGTGAGCCATCAGACCCGACGGAATGGGACGGAAAGATTCATTGGGTGACACAATCTGCGTTTGACAATGTGCATGAATTAAACATGTTCCGTGATCAGTATTCATTCTCTTTGCCCGCACTTCTTGAGGATGGACTGGTCTATACCCCACGCAAGGGCGATCTCAATATATATCGCACAGTTGCTCTCTTTAATCTCCCGGACAATATCAATATGAAGACATTTTTAAAGGGGATACGTGGAGGAATAGTTTTTTCGGCTCACTTGCATAATACTTTATATATTTCCGGGTCACACACAGGAATTGTCACCTTTCTCTATCAGAATGATGCTATCGCATATACGGAGTTTGCCCTTAAGAATGGTGTTTATTTCAACCACAAACGCGCCCGAGTTATGTTGTATAAAACTCCTACGTACCCGATTACAGAATCTATGGAAAGAAATATATTCGAACTTGGACATACCCGCTGCTTGTCCATTCGAGGAGAGTCAAATACTGAACGGTTTAGCGTGGTCTCCAAATTTATCATGGATCATCTTTGCATGTACTTTGACCTCGGCGACTGCATGCTGGAGAATGACACTGAAACAGAGATAGTCATCAGGTTCAATTCAATACAAGCAGCCGGTGCCGCAATGTCGAAACTAAAGAGCTTCCCTCTGCTTGATCGTTGTGAGCTTGACTTCGATGATGACCCCTGTGCTGACCCCCTTCCGAATATTGGGGCCCAGGACGTAGAGGGCTAGCTTCTGAGGGCCAAGATCGCTTTCATAGGACGCTGTTAAATGGGCAACTCTGCTTTTGCTTCTGTTTCTGCTCTTTTCGAGATATCCGCTGGGGCGTCGGGATCTTATAACCTTTAACAAACTACACAATGGTAGCTAGTAGTAATGTTTAAATTGAGAAAAACAATCGATACAATGAACAATCCTCTTAAAATATTCTGCAAAACCTAGCCTACTGTTTTTTATTTTGATATTTTAAGAAGAAGTTAAAATAGAAAGAAATCGAAGCTCCATGATTGAGAACAGAAGAAAGCACGCCGTTGTAGAAAACCGGACACATTTCACTAAACCCATTTAAACAAAATTCCGCTTCTTTCTATTATACGCCCTCTGATCCTTTAGCCACTGGCGATACCCCTGCACGCTACCGATTTTTTCGCCGTAGTAATCGGGGACTGGGTTTGCAAAGGAGTTCGCCGATGGGTCGACTCGGAAGCGTTTTATTCTGTCAAAGAACTCCTTTTCCTTCTGAATTTGTCTTAGTTAATATTGGGAGCTAGATAATGAGGAGACTAAAGGAAAGTAGAGGAGTGAACTGAAAGCATGCATACCACTGCAACGGCACCTTTATATTTTCGATATACCAGGCCCCAAACCCCATTTCCCAGAACAGGCCCAGCCAGCCAGCCTACCGCTCCACAGGCAATTGTGGTTAATCCCAAAACAATAAAGGGATCAAATCCCATTATCTGCGTGCCCATAGTCTCAAAATTCTGCGAGGCAATAACTTGAGCCCCCACAGCGGTGGTAGTGAGGGACGCGAGGATGGAAGATACTAAGGAATATTTTCGGCGAGAGGCGCGGAGGGTAAAAAATGAGTTCCAATCTAGGTTCACGGGGCTCTTCGAAGAGGAATGCGGTGTTGAAACAGAGTCATGAGAAGGGGCAGAGGTCGTGGAAGTCGACGAATAACGAATATATGGGGATCTAGCAGCGACAGAAGCTTGGGTGAGGGACTTTTGATAAAATTGGGCCTGGATAATGGAATATTTTGTTGTGCTCTGCTGCTGCCGGCAGGTCATCGATTTGTATGTCCGACATCTGTGAGCGGAGTGCGATGGGGTAGAAATGAGAGATTGCCAAACACAGGTCGACGAGCGACTGGCCAGAGTGGCAGCGCGTATTGGACAGCCAATAACGGCGAGATTCATTTTGAACTGGACGAAGATGATATTAGGCAAGAAGCGCAGGTCTGGCGTGCTGTTGCGATGCTGAGAAGGGCATGAAGGCCGGCCTGAAGCCTGGGGTTGGAATGCTGAGATAAGCAGCAGCCGTGATTGGCCAAGAGTCGAGCTAAGCGCTGGGTTTGGAGCCGCAACTTACGCATCTCGCGACAGATGCTCAGGTGCCTGACAACTGGAGTAAACGCCAGCGGCAGAGAATGCTAGCAAGTTATCTTTATAAGATCAAGACAAATCTTTACATTAGAACTCAAAGGCAACTTGTCCATAAACATTTTTTATTTACATAAGGTACACGGGGAAGAGTCTACTCCGTATACTAACTCCCAAGGTGTATTTCTCGGAAATATTTACTCTGGGGGAGTGAAATATCGTTTAAATCTCTCCAACGTCGTCAAACCAAGCTCTGTCACTACCCAATGACAATTTATCAATAAGCTCGGAAATTTTACGGTCCAGAACTGCAGATATCCATCTGGTAACCCGCCAATGTTGGCTTTGAGATGTTCAGGCATATCGTTGTAGTGATTGCGTTTGTTGCGCAACGCACGCAGTAAATCGAGCATCTTGCTGCCCGTGTATTTTCGTTGCTTCCCAAGACTGTCTTTAAAGTCTTTTGGGAGAGCCCTGAGAAAGTCCATATCCGGGAAAAGGACGTTGGGACCGATGGACTCAAGGCATTGAAGAGCGGGTGAAGGCGGGTCGCGTGGTTCGAATTCGAAATGGTCTGAGACGTCACAGAGAAAACTAAGACGCTCGGCGGGCGACCAGAAGAATGGGTGCATCATAACAGTTGTAGCGTCAGGTCTAAAGTAGATGTGAGTACGTAAACTTTTAGAAAACAAATGGGCTTGAACATACCGACTACGCGGGTCAAGCGATAACATTCTTTTAATCAAGTCGTCAGCTTCGAAAGCATAATCACCTAGTCTCCTCAGTTCGTCTAAATTATGATACCCTTTCACAATATTTGCCTCGCGCATAAACTTGCCATCTTTGTCGAACGGATGGCCACCGCGGGTAAGAACGTAGTAGAAAACGCAGCCAAGAGAGAAGATATCGATGGCTCGTGTAGCTCTGCGGTTAGTCTGAGGGTCTACTACAGCGGGCTCGGATGAGTCCATACTGTTGTTGGACCACATTGCTGGGTTCGCTGGGCCTTCGTCATCGACCAAAAGTTCGGGAGCACGCCAACCAGATGTACCGGCTGCATGAGCGGTAGTGGCTCTGAATGAACTTTGGTTGTCTTCCAACTTCTTGCAAAGACCAAAATCAGAGATTAGTAAACGCAGTGAGCCTGATCCCTTTCGAGCTTTAGGTGTAGCTACGAGAATATTCTGAGGCTTGAGATCACGATGAACAATTTTTAGGGAATGGAGGTACCGAACCCCAGCGGTGATCTGCCGGAGAACGTCTGGCAAAGCCAAATCGCCCGTAATAAGAGAGGGATAATCCCATGGTCGTTCAACAATATCTTGAAGAGAAGCAGGGCAAAGTTCCAAGGCGATGTACAGAAATCCAGCTGTTTGTTCACGGCAAAAATATCGGATGACGTTATTATGGTCGTCGCTTTCCTGCAGCAGCCCCACCTCATGAGCAGCCACGTCATAGAACTCAACCAACATTCGTTTAATGGCAACATGACGGCCATCGAATGTCCCTTTGTAAACAACTGTGCCGTGGCTCCCATGGCCAAGCACGGTGTCAGTATAAACCTTAAGCTGGCCAATTCGGATTGAGCCATCTGTCTCAATCAATTCAGCAGATGGAGCCTTGGTTCTAGACAGCTCGGGATGTAGCAATGGAGGAGACGGCACTTTTGTATCACGACTTGTTGCTTCATTGCCTGGACTCTGGTCCTCGTCGTCGTCAGCCATGGGTTTTTTGCCACGTTTATGAGCCTGGCCACCTCGACGGCCACGCCTGGCTTTCTTCTTTTTTTCGGGTGTTCTGGGTGCCAAATTGTCGACTTCTTCGATCTCTTCCTTGGGGTTTTCTTGTATCCTGACACGGGGGGTGCCATTCTGGTCTGGCGCAGTGGATGCATCGTCTGCCGGTTCTACGATACCGCTGTCATTGAAGGGTGTACTAGGGCGCGGAGTGACCGGACGTTCAGGTAGTGGGGTTTCCTGAGCTTCGCTTTCCGGTTGAATTTTTATGGTTGGGGGCTCGGTAGGTCCTACAGATAAATCTTTCAAAATGTCTGATTGGCTGTTGGAGGTAACCATAGGAGTTGGAGGTGCCGAGGTCGGAGTATCCAGAGAGATGATGTTTTTTAGATCGAGTTTTTGTTTAGCAAGTTCTTGAATGTTGCGGCTATTGAGATACACAAATGCTCCGATAAGTACGAGAATAATAGTGACAAAAATGTCAAGCACATTATCCCAGCCCTTTTGTATAATAACGCTATTAATCCGCGCGGGTGCTGGCGTAGGCAATTTTTGCGGTTCCTCGATAATATCTCGAGGGGTATCGTTGGTGTGATCCGAGGGTGGGCCGGAGATGCTGGGTACAGTGTTGTGGAAACGATTCGAGGACTCAGCAAGTAGATGAACCCCGACCAATGCTTTCTTCTGCTGGGGAAGAGTCAGGGATGCCAACGGCTTCTTTTTCATTTCAAAGTCTTTCTCGTAACATCCAGCTCGCCTGGCACGACCAGTGACTAGGGGGTATGAAATTTCCGACATGGCATACCAACCACCAGATTCTGTGCAATTGAGGAAAACACGAGATTCCCGACCTTCAATTCCAGTCACACTGTAGTCCTCATTCGGCAGGGGTTGTGCGAGAAGAACTAAGGGAGTATCCGGCGTTTCCATAGTCGTGGGTCGGGCAACGTCAAAGACTCGAGCAACAGGCGAGGAAAACTTTTGTGTATATCGGCGTCCATCAATTTTGGAATGGTCAAAGCCGAAGATCACGCCATCATGCATACTGTATATATGTCGTTCGTCCATGGTTTGGGAATACTGGCTCTGAAGGTCGGCATCGCGGTTGTTCGGGGCCCACTCTGCATACTTGATGGTGCAGATAGGCGTACCAGTCTGTGTATTTTGAATGGTGACGGTATATTCGATGCGGCCAAGGGTAAGTGTGCCCATGGATTCACATTCTCCATCAGCAACAATCCCAAATTCATTCAGCCTGCGGCATGTTTGGTCTGGAGGGGTGGAACCACGGGAGCTGAAAACACGAAGGATCGCGCCAGTTCGTGCGTCGACTGTATAGAGGGTTGTTTCTTTTCTTGCGGTGTATGTGACGGGCGGATCAGCACCGGAATAGGGCGTTTCGTCCACTAGCATTTTAACGGTTAAGCCCAAACGGTGCAGCCCTCCCTTTGGAGCCAAGTTGTAGATGAACAGGTTACCGTCGCGACTGGGCTCAACAATCCAAAGAAGATGGTCTTCTCTGGGAGTACCTTTCGGGTCTGACCAATTGGCTCTATGATCGATAGTCTCAACCATTGGGCTACTGGGCACTTCCAAGGCCCAGCGAGGAGCACCAGTCTTCCGATCTCGCGCATGAATTGTTCCGTCGACGGTCGCCAAAAGGACAAAGTCCTCAACTTCCCAGTCCTGTAAAGACCGCGCTTGGAGCTGCAGAGCCGACTGTGTCCGGCTACGAATCTGAACAGGCGGTGCTCGAACGGCTGGGTCTGACCCAGCCAGAGCCAAAGTTGCGAGGGCGCTCGCATCGGTGAGGGAAGACTCTACACGGTCGGCTTGGGAATCGGGGATGCTGAGATGAGCTCTCTCAAGAGATGAAGCGGAAATGTCGCCATTGCGGGCGGCGGAGGAGAAGAGCAACTGCTGCTGAGCTGCGAAGAACGGAAGTAAAAGGGCGATTCCAGCTGGGAGTGAGGTGCGGGCCCCCCGAAGGCGCCACACCATGGTGCGCGACCTACAACGTGGGCGGAGAACAGGTCTATTGAAAGCCCAGGTGTAAAAGAGGGTTGGGTGGCATTAGATACTCGGCGCTGGATCGGGATGGTCAGGGGAAGCCGTCGAGGGGCGCCGGATAAGTCAGAGGGGCGCATATAAAGGCGTGCCAGATGCAGGGAGCGTAAAGAGTTTTCAAGGCCGCAAACAGCGATGGCGAACAGCAGGATCTGAGGGAACGAGAGACGTGAGGTTGGAGGATTTGCTGGCGATGTGGCTGTTTGTGTGCACGTCTCGGCGATGGATCCTGTTTCAGCACCTAGCTACGCGCACAGCCTGCACCTAGCACCACGGCCCGGCAACCCCACAGCCGCCGCCGACCGGGGGTGGCAATTGGTGACTGGGTCGTGGTGATAGTCGCATCTGATCGGCTGTTGCTGAGCTTCGTTTCTGCCTGTTTCGGCCATCCAGCAATCGGCGCGTGGGACAACACAACAGAAGTACCAGCAACAACATACGCTCCGTCGGCGTCGTCTGTCTGCATACAAGACCTGCGGACGCGGCCTGTTGCTGCCCCTTTCACTTCCCACTCTTTCCTGCCCTCTCCGCCCCCGTACTAAGCTTCCTATAGCTCTACATCCCCTGTCAAGCTTTATCAGACGTGCCTCCTCTCTAACCGGATACATGCACCACTTGTTGAATAGGCTTCTTCTATACCCAGAACGTGTCACCGGGGCTTCCATATCCAAGCAGTCTTTGCAGTGATCTACGATGGTTGTTCTCCGCCTCACTGTCAAAATTCCTCCGGCGGAGGTTGCGGGAAAGACTGCATCCCCGCCGAAATCCACCACTTTCATGCTGCCTGTCTATGAGCCAGAAAAGATGAAATTAGGGGAACTCGCGTGGCGAATCACTGAACAATGGAGGAAACTCTGTCCAGATGCACCGTAAGCAAGCGTAACAACAGTCCCCTGTCCTGTCCTGAGAAACAGTCTAATGGCTTCTATGGCATGTCCCTAGACCGCTGAAAATAAAAAAATTGCTCGACGATGAATATGATGGCGTTGAACTTGATTTGGAGCTAACCGTTGCCGATGCTTTTGTGGACTTTGGCAAAGCGCGAATAGACAGTTGTGATCAACGAGCAACCATTCGCGTTGTGCAGGAGCCAGCCCAAGAACCTCTCAGGTATCAATCTGTTGCTCAAGACTGGAACAGTGCTGCAGAGTACTACAGTAAAAATGCTCGTTTCACAAAAACCCGCCCACCGGTCCCCCTATTTGCCTGCAGCCAACCTTCTCTAGCGAATCAAAAACCACCCGTTCAGCCTGGGCAGGTGAGGGCATCTATAGAACAATACGATCTAACCAGACATTCATTATCTACTGAAAAGCCTGAAAAGACATCAAAGAGACCAGGTAGCTGACATCCTGCCTCCCGTTCATTGCGGCCGCTTACGGTTAAATATAGTTGAGTCAGTCGCTATCTCCTCTAAACATTCTAAGCAGGGGGCGACGTTTCGAAATGAAGAGAATAAAGCAGAACATACCCGTTCTGCTAGCAACGTAAAGAAATATCCCAAAGTCGCAGTTGAAATTAAAACAGCTAGCAGCCAAGGTTGGTAAACTGTTGCCCAAATACTCTTACCGCTGGCTTAGCAATTATACCAGGAGCCAAAATGAGAGTACCCCCGAGAAACAACATCAACGCAACTTCGAAGAGAGGAAGGCTGAGCGTAACCGATCGTTATCTGATTGAGTCGCGCCAGAGTGATTCGTCCCTCACAAAAAGGCCACGCCGCAGCTGTCCTATGGATGCTACCCATCTGTCTGCATCAGATAATGATGAGCCTTTGCCAAAACGTCGTAACACAACCTCAAGAAGAAATATCTCTGCCGTCAAGGAACAGACAGAGGGCCTTGGGCTAATTTCTAGACAAGGCGACGATCCTGATACGGAAAGTATTCAAGACCTAACCACTTTATTCGCAAATTCAGATGAAGCAGAGATAACTGAAGATATATACACTAAAAATTCCAAAACAAGCCCGATCAAAGACCAATCAAGAAAGCGCTCTATAACAAACCTCCAAAAAAATGAAGTGAACCAGGATTATGCCAAAGACATATCCAAGCCTAACGTGGTTGATTTAACTACTACAGTTCCTAGTTCTCCCGACAACCAGTCATGTTTGCGCTCACCCAAGTCTGGTCAACAGAGCCCACCGGCCGGGCCATCCATTCCCACGCCAACAACCGATATCGTAACGCCTAGCAGAAAGCACAAGCTAAATACACGGAGATCTGACAGTCTCAAAGGCTCCATTGATTCCGAGGTAGTCACGCATGACGGAGCTAGCCATGTCCCAGACCGGGTTCACCGGATGCCACTCGACGATATCGCCCAGGAAAAGCTCTTGGAACGAAAGCTGGAAAAGGCACGAGAGCGACGATGCTCGATGAAAGAGATTGACCAACGTGCGCTCCTCCTAGGCCTAACTGAGCAACTTCACACTACTGAACAACTTGGTGAGCTCCCCAAAGTTACTCGGCTTCAAGCTCAAGTCAAAAATGCCGAAGTCGATTTAGAGAAAATAATGATCGAAATGGGCGAAGAAGGAGTAGAAAATGAACATAATAATGACCACCCGTCTTCTTATCGCAGCCCCAGTCCTACCTTGTCTTCCGGATATAGCCCAAAAGAGGGTGATTCCAAAACTCCAAAAGATGACACATCAGGAAACCAATCACCTTCTGCAAATTCGCTTACTGCGAGCGAACTTAAGTCCAATACCAAGGGCCGCCGTTCGTCAGCTAGTGAAGATAAAAGTATGCGCACTGCTAGTCTTGATTCGAAAACAAACTTGACCACTAAGAGTATTGAAAGATCCGAGTCGAGTAAAAGTAGCTTAGTGGCAAATGAAATTCCAGACCATGATGTACCTGGAAGCGATATATCTAGCCGCGGCGCTTCTACTCCTCAAAGAGTTCCGTCACAAGATATCAACAACCCCAGCTCTCACAGCGGCTCTGATTCAGATCAAGATATCGACTTGGAGAAAGAACAGCCTACTCGCAATGACCAAAGCTCAGAGCCCGAATATGTTGCGAAGGGCATGTCATTCGCGAATTTTGGGTCAGATATGAGCATCGATTCTGATTCGGATTGCCATAGCCATATTTACAAATCTCCAAATAAACCACTGCCAGTGGAGAAGACCTCAGTAAAGACAAGAACTGCGTTTTCTACTCCTTTTGACAAACGAAATTCTACTTCATTGTCACTATCCCAACCAGTACCCGCTACTGACAATTTGACGCCGGAGTTTGTTAAGGCTAGCTCTTCCACCAAACACCGAAAGACCACTCGACCGACTCTCAAGTCACTCCTTGAGGAGCAAAAGCCAAAGGGTTTAGAGAAAGGAGGCGCCGCCCCTAGCAAATCCGCCCGCCCCGTAAAACAACCTAAAACATTCCTACGACAGAGCTTGGACACCCTTAGTGCTACCGCAAAACGGTCATTCTCCCGAAAACTATAACTAAGCTTAGGCTGTATCAATTAACTAATAAAACCACCGCCAACTGCCTGCGAAATAGCTGTTTAATAGTACGGAGTACATACGTACGAGAATGCTTTTCCTGACCCGAATTTTGTTGTGCGTGCCCTAACGCCATCCTTCTCTCATCCAAAATCCTCTGGACCCTCAATCTCCATATTTTTGTTTGAAGGATTCCATCCACCTCCTATTATTTTCGATGACGTGAGCTTGGTCCTTTGTTCACTCCTCCGTACCTTTGACAGTTTTGCTACGGATTTTTGTACGAATACACGTTGTTTGGTGTTTTTCCAAGGTGACTTGAGTGACTTCGTTTCTTATTTCTACGTATTAATTTTCTTCTTTTCCTCAGGCCGTTTTACCCTGGGGCTATTCACCCGATTTCACCGACTATGATTAATATTCCCCATCCGTCATTCACGGTTAGACTGATGACAGGCATATCATAAAAAATGGGATTCTAGGTGGTGTTTCAAATGTACAATAATAAAATTGGCCAGTATGTGTTATTGAGTATGTATTCGAAGCCCAAATTTGTATGAAAATTGCTTTTTAAGTGTATGATGTTGAACACCTAGCTTTATTTCCTCAATACCAACGCCAGCAGCAGACACGTTGATACTCCGCACTTAGACTTTTGTGTTCCCATCCACTGTTATAGATGATGCGCCGTATCCATCAATGTTGAATGCCGTCCCCTTGCAACGTAACAGTCCCCGAAAACAAAACGCTTACATACAGCAGCCCATGCAACCGAACATAGCAATATTATGGCACATTGGTGCCATTGGCCTCAGGGTCCTCTTCGTGCGTAACTTCCATCCAGCCGTGAGGCACCGGCTCGATATCCACCAACCAGCCTTGTGGGTCAGGGATTTCTCCTCGCTGAATGCCTTTGAGGGCTTGGATGAGCTTCTTATACACCTCGCCCCCTTCATCATTCTGCCCAGACTCATAAGAAAACTTGTCGCTACGGGAAACCATTGTGATGCTCTTGATGGGAACCAAGGCCGCAGCAGTTCCTGCGGCCATGACCTCTGAGAATTGATGCAGCTCCTCGTACGGGATCCGGCGCTTTTCCACACTGTAGCCGAACATGTCGGTGCCAATTGCTGTAATTGAGGCAGCGGTGACGGATTCGATTACATTCTTGCTATCTGGTACGACGAGTGTGACGTGGCCAGAAGAATCCTTGCGAACACCAATGAACGCTGACGTGGAGAACTCGTCGATTTCAGAGCGGGTTTTGCTATCCAAATGCAGGGTGATCCCGTATCCGTGGTTGCGCGCCTTCTCACTGTGCCGGAGGACCGGGGCATAGTTACCACCCACCTTCGCGGAGCCGGTGCCTTCAGGCGCAGCGCGATCAAAATCTTCGAGAACTAGAGCGTCGACGGCGTGGACGCCATGATAGACACCAGTGGGCATGACGAACACGACGAAAGTGTATTCATCGGGCGGGTTAAGGCCCAATTGAGCCGACGAGCCGAAGACAAGGGGTCGGATGTACATGGCAGCACCGGTGGCATGCGGCGGTACAAAGGCAGCATTGGCGGACACAGCGAGCTTGACACACTCGAGGAAGTGGGAGTCCGGCACGGGCGGGATGGACACGAATTCAGCGGAGTGCTGCATGCGCTTTGCGTTGTTGTGGGGCCGGAAGATCGTGATGCGGCCGTTGGGATGGGACTCGCTGGGCGCATGGCGGAAGGCCTTCATGCCTTCATAGGCCTGCTGGCCGTAATTGAGGCCGGGAGCCATGCCGTGGATGGGGAGGTAGGGCGAGGCGACGAACTGCGGCAGCGACCATTTCGGACTGGCGGAGCGGGAGAAGTGAGACTGGACATGGCCGTGGACTGCAGACCGACGGACAAACAACGCAGTGAGCTTGCGAGACGCAGCAAAAGATTGAGAGAGGAAGAGTTACATACCCTCCCAGACCTTGAAGCCGATGTTGTCCCAATCTAGACGAGGCGAAGGCGAGATCAGCAACAGCACTCCAGCAGCCACAACGACGAGTACACCGCGCGCCAGCAGGCCTCGCTCGCCATTCCGCCCGGGCAGGGATATTTACCAATGGTGGAGGCCGGCGGAGGAGGAAAAGCGGGCGGCGTCGCCATCAGGAAGGGCGGCGAAAGGAAGCTTGCGGGGGATCTACCGGGGGTGGAGGCGGGCCGTCAGCGAAAGAAAGGGTGGGGGAAATTGGCAGGGGAGCTTGCCACAATAATGGAGCAGGATGCGGATGGAGGCGACGGCGGCGGAGCAGCTAGGGAGGATGGGCGCGGGAGAGCGATCGAGACGAAGACACTGGTGAAGCTGGCGATGCGATGCGATGCGATGCGATGCTGATGGCGGGCGGTGACGGGCTGGGTGGCGACGGCGCCGACATCGCAGGCCGACGGCCGAGCGGCTGATATCGCTCGCAACCTTCGCACCAGAAACACCCTCGTGTCCTCGCTCTCACGCTCACTCTCACGCTCACGCTCACAGAGAGGGAAACACGGGCTGCTTGCCGGCAATTAAAGCGGTGAAACAGCAGCTTGTTTCAGCACAGAGAGCCCGGTCCGCCGCCAGCCCAACCCGTCGCGCCATGGCCCGTCGTGCCGCGCCTACGCCGCCGTTTCACGCAGACAGCCAGCGACCAGCGGTGCTGCCAGCGCGCGCCGCGAGAAGCCGCCGCCTGAGGGAGCACGGAGGATTGTTCGGTCGCCAGCACGAGCAGCGCTCTCCCAGCAGCGAGCCGACGGCAACCCTGTCGACACCGGCAAGGATCGAAGCGGAAGAATCGATTCGCCAGACCGCAACGGCGAGAGAGGGTTAACTAACCCAGCCGTCAGTATTTGCCCGTTCCGGGTCAGTTTTGCGGTCCAATATCGAACGTCGTCGCTTAACCAGCGCACTGGTGAGTGCGCGCTGCTAGCAGGCCATGGCAAACGCTCAGTCGCGCGTTCACGGCCGCCACTGCGATCCGGCTTGGATGGCAGCCACAGATCGAGGCCCCTCGAAACAACCCGGCTTCGCGTACGAACGAACCTCCAACCCGTTAGCGAGAGACATCTGGCGTCGACAGACACTGTTCCCCGCTTTTGAAAGAGCCATCCTGAGATTTGGGGCCTGGGGAACACGAACGACGGGTGCGGAGAGCCCCATCTGCTAGTTACAATGTCGGAAACGAGAAATGAAGAGAGGGCGACGACGATGGTGGATTTCACCGTGGGCCAGCTGATGATATGTGGTTGGCTCTGGCTGTCTTAATATCTCGATGGGCCTCCGCGACCAACTTCGCAGCACTTAAACTAACGAGGACAACTATCATCTAACTAACTGACTTGGGTCAGCGCTCAAGGAGTGGAGCCAGCATCGAAAGATGCACTTCGTACATGCTCTCACTACTGCTGGGGTGTCTCCGCCTCCAATCCAACCCCGGACAACCAAGTCTGGGCATTCACCAGTTCCGCGAATCTTCGTCGAGTGCCAAGGGCGCCGCTTGATGCTTTTTCGCCTCCAGGCTTCCCCACGGTTGGAGGCGGGATGGGGGGTAAAAAAATAATCAGGCACTACTCCGTACTCCGTACCTAAACTTGTCTCCCGCCCGCCTCCCCCTCCTCCTGGCGGGAGATTGCCGGGTTGGGGGGCCCCAACATGTTGGGAAGAAGCCCTGCACCGAACATACCGCCGCCTGGCGTCCCGCTCCGAACACGAATAAAGGCGGACGCAGGGTCGGGCGGAGCTAAGGACATCGATGGCGGACCGGAGTTCAAGTCGCACACAATCACGCGCTTGTAGGGAAGACTTCGAGACAGGTACTACGTACCCTACATACCTACATAGATGTATGTAGGGGGATGCGCCGGGTGGTCCTCCCCGCAAAACCCGGTCCCCTGCTCCGCGATAGCTGCCATGGATGTTGGAGAACGGCGAAGCCCACAGGGCCTCTTGGCTTTCGAACTAACTAACCGATCTTCCATGTAACCCAAGGTTTTGATTATGCTAGCGGACATTATTTGTCCCCAGCGAGTTGTAGTTGACATTACGGTCATTCGCCGGCCTGGACCCATTGCGCTGGGGTATGTAATAATGCCTCCGTCAAGCAATCAGCTAATGATGATAAATAATAATAATAATGCTCGTATCACCGCGATGACTGGTATGTCCCACACTGCTCACCAACATCGGGACACCTCGTCGACGACGCAGACGCAGCACGTCACCCCCTGCATGTGATGGGCAGCACCCGCGTGGGCCGGGTAGCGGCGGGGGGGCAGGCGGGTATTTTTACGAGTCAGGCCCAACCCACGACGACAGATCACAACCGCCATGAAGAAAAATAATCGCGCGGTCGAGGGAGAGAACCGGGGATTACGAATACGGCCCAAACACGGGCACTGGCGCGACGATTTGGCTCCGCGTGAGGTGAAAATGTCCGGCCACGCCACACTAGGGCTGAAAAGTGGCCGTCTATCGAGAGAGCCCAGCTTGGGGAAATCCGATGGCCGGGCGGAACGCTATCAATGGTACGAACCGCCAGCCAACAGCAGCGGCGAGGCGGGCGTGAGGGGGAGAGTTCAGTTCCGTCGATGTGATTGATCGGGCGCTGATTCGCGGGCGCGCAGAATCCTCGAGACCTCGAGACGGCTGACGGATTGGGGCTAGCGCAGAAGGATTCCAGAAGAACCTTAGCGCCGTTAGAGTTGGCGGGGTGCCGTGGAATCGGCTGCTACCGGCCAATCAGCGCGCCGCTGCCCAACTTTCTCCGCCACCGGGCGCAGCCAACCACGTGCTGCCCCGTCGCGCGCCCGTCAGGTGACTGCCCTGAGCGGCCTGGCCCGATTGGGAAATATCGCGATCTCCCGACTCGCCGCCTGCAACAACCCCTGAGGCCCGGCAACACGCAAGCTGTGCGCTTGCACTGGCGGGCGGCGCTGCTGTTGGTCTCGCGCTGCTCGCAGGCGTGGCGGCCAAGGCCCAAGCCGGAGCCAAGCCTTCGAGAAGGGATCGCCGTGCCATGAATTCTCTCGCTCCCAGACGAGGTTAATTTCCTCCACTAACCAGCACCCGCCAAATCACAATATCCAGTGGCCTTGAGCATCCAAGATTTGAGCGGTTCTGAGACTCGCTCTTCTCCACAGGAACAGCCTGCCCCACCCCCCTCTTCCATGGCTGCGAAAAAAAGAAGACGGCGCCGCCGCCGCCACCTAACCACCTGTCCTTCGCCTGTGTCTGCGCCCGCCTCGCGCTGCTGCCCGTATCGGTCTCTCGCTCACCGGCCTGGTGTTGTCGGGCGGCGCAGTATCGCGAGTGCGCTGACATTGCGCCGGCTTGCCCCGTTTGCACAGCGCCTTGGGTTGCAGCGCACCACATTGGCACTCATTCCCGCCTTCCACTTTCCCCGGTAGCTCAGGATCAGGGTTCAGCACGCGATGCTTGGCAATTCCCTTCCATTTTCTGCGCTTGTGCGCCCCCCGGCTGGCGTCGTCGTTGTTATGCTGCTGCCGGGGTCTGTCTGGCTGCTGGGGATCCACACGCGCAACCTGAACTCCCACCCCGGCGCCATCGCCCGCGGCTTTCTTGTTTCTGAAATTTGCCCGCTACTATTAGCCTCCCGTCCGCTGATGCAGTGCTATTATTATTATTATATCTACCACCCAGCTGCCGCGGAACGTCCTGGTTTTTCTCCTCCCCCTCCCCCCGCTGCACGGCTCTTCCTTTGCCTCCCCCTGTGTCTCAAAACTCCCCATTCTTCCTTTATCCCGGGGAGGGAATATTGGCAAATATCTGAAGTCTTGACGGGTGTCGTTTGCTGCGCCCACAGACGGCTGCCATGGAGAAAAGCGAGAAGGGCCCCGTTGTGACGGGAGAGAATGCCTCCAACCTGCCACCCTATGCATCGAGCGACGATGCCCATCAAGAAACTGCTGAACGGCCGCTCGGCTTCTGGACGCGAATGGGCTGCACACCAGAGTCTTTCAAGCGACGAACGCTTGCTGACAAGCACAACCAGCTGAATCAAACGCTCAAGGGCCGACATCTGCACATGATTTCGATTGGAGGCAGTATTGGTGCTGGCTTGTTTGTTGGTTCTGGTAGTGCTCTCTCCCGCGGTGGTCCCGCAACTTTGATCATTGACTTCGCACTGATCGGTGTGGTGAGTTCCTTTGTCGCCTTGTTCGCGGGGGGCATTACTCCCTTTTTTTTCGTTCAATTCGCCTTTAACTAGCGTCTGCTAACCCTGATGCGTGCGAATTCAGATGATCTTCAACGTCGTCTTTGCCCTTGGTGAATTGGCCATCATGTATCCTATCTCTGGTGGCTTCTACACCTATTCGACTCGCTTCATTGATCCTTCCTGGGGTTTCGCTATGGGATGGAACTATGTCTTCCAATGGGCAATTGTTCTACCACTTGAGCTCACAGTTGCTGCCTTGACAATTGGCTATTGGCAAATACAAGTTAGCGTTGGTGTTTGGATCACAGTATTTGCCGTTGCCATTGTCTTGATCAATGTTTTTGGTGTCCTTGGATATGGCGAAGAAGAATTTTGGTCCAGTATCCTGAAGCTTGCCGCTGTCGTAATCTTCATGATCATTGCCCTTGTCTGCACGTTAGGCGGCGGTCCAAAGAACGGCATATATTCCGAATACTGGGGTGCGCGTCTTTGGTATGACCCAGGAGCATTTAAAAATGGCTTTAAAGGTTAGCATGTCTTGATACCCCCAGCACAATTGGCTTGGTTTCTAACAATCTATGTAGGAGTGTGTGCCGTTTTTGTTACTGCCGCCTTTGCCTTCTCTGGAACCGAACTTGTCGGATTAGCTGCTGCCGAATCTAAGAACCCTGTTAAATCTCTTCCCTCCGCGGTCAAGCAGGTCTTTTGGCGTATTACCTTGTTCTACATTCTTGGTCTCTTCTTCGTGGGCCTTCTCGTCCGATCTGATGACCGCCGTCTCCTCGGTACCGCCGGATTTATTGATGTTAAGGCATCTCCATTTGTCATTGCTGCCAAAGATGCTGGTCTTAATGGCTTTGATAGCTTCATGAATGTTATCATTCTTGTCTCTGTCCTTTCCATTGGCAACTCTGGCGTTTATGGTGGATCACGTACCCTGACAGCCCTTGCTGAGCAGGGATATGCACCAAAATTTTTCACCTATGTTGACCGTGCTGGACGTCCACTCTTCTCAACCATTACCGTCATTTCTTTCTCTTTGCTTGCGTACATTAACCTTAGCGCCGACGGACAAGAAGTATTTGACTGGCTTCTTGCATTGTCTGGCCTTGCGGCTTTGTTCACCTGGGGCAGTGTAAGTTTCTTTGACTCCTTTTAATCTGATGATGAATTTCGACTAACACCAGGTATTTCATAGATCTGCGTTGCTCACATTCGCTTCCGATCTGCCTGGAAATACCATGGCCATACCGTTGATGAACTGCCCTTCAAAGCTGCATTGGGAGTTACTGGTTCCTGGATTGGCCTTGGTCTCATTGTCATGGTCCTTGTCGCACAGGTTAGTGGATCCTTATTCTTTCCTGTCTATGAATAACAGGCTAACTCAGCGCTTTTTTAGTTTTATATTGCTGTCTGGCCTCTGTCTGGCGGTGTGAACGATGCCAAGGGTTTTTTCAAGCAGTATCTCGCCATGCCTGTTGTCCTGTTTTTCTGGGTCTGTGGTTATTTCTGGAAACGTGAGGGTTGGCTCAAACTGAGCCAAATTGACGTTGACTCTGGTCGTCGCGAGATAGATTGGGAGGCGCACCACGCCCAGCAGGAGAAGATCCGAAACTCTGGTCCCATTAAGCGCATTTTTTACTGGCTCTTTTAGGGACAGCGAAGTTCGAGACTGCCAACGGTGTTACTGTTGTAGTGATCAGCGTGCGCTGTTTCCTTTGCAGGCAACATGGTTTCTGGGTTTCTATTGCGCAGATTTCTTCACTCAGCTTCGAGATACCTCCGTACATGTTGTTATAGACGCAATACTCACATTTAATGTATATACGTATAATTCATTTTGCTCTTGATGTGCGCCTTACGCCCATATGTCCCTTCCCACGCATTGTTCTAAGAGGGCCTGGGTGCAGGGCTGCTTTTAAATTGTGCTTATGTCGATTAGGGGCCGGACTACTGTACGCCCTTCAACTACGCCCTTTGGCATTATAAGCACTACCGTGCCCGGTGGCCAGTGAGCAAGCGGTTGGCTGACGGTTAAGTGGAGGATAGCTGGCTAGCTACTTAAGTTAACTAGTTATATTAACTCACTGCCGTCAGTTCAGTCCCTGCGTTTGCGATATTCAAACAAAGCTCAATCATAAGGCGTAACCCTCTCGTGGGCCTGTCAACGTGTTTTGCAAAGGTAATTGTATGTATGTATATATAGAGAGGGGATGATTCTGTAACTAGGCTAGGTGGTTGAAAATGCGAACTACCTTCCCTTTACAACAGTAATAAATCGTCTTGCGGCTGCCCCCTATATAGCCAATTACAAAGCAATCGAGCGGGTTTTCTCTCAAGTCTCTTGCAAAAAAAAAAAAAAAAAAAAAAAAAAAAAAAAAAAAAAAAAAAAAAAAAAATAAAAAACCCTTGCATGGCAGGTAATTAACAGGTAGTTATTCGAACCTCAAAGTTTGAAATTGGACGTATTTCATGATCACCTCATCGTCTTAAAGAATCTATCAGCGTCCATTGAATCTCTTCACGAACTCTCTTCGACCTTCTTTGGTATATTGTACTATAGCTTTGTGAATGTGCCATTGATCCAGAGACCTTTTCCAAGCCTTCTATTTGGTTGGTATCTGAAACTGCGATAGGAGCGTCATACCCCCGCCAGTCCGGCAATGGGCAGTGGATAGATGCATCACAGGGCAGAGTACCGTTAAGGTCTTGTTTTATCACACCACTTCCCGAATAGGCTATGGATATGTCAGCCACACCTGATTAACTGGTTTGTAGATGCAAAAGTTTCACAAACATTGGCTGGAGTAGCGTTTCAGGCTGTCTTGCTGCTCTGGCTGGCTAGTGGGTGAAGGAAGCTGCACACGCGTCTCCGGGGAGCCTGTCTTCTTTGACATAGGTCTGGCTTTTTCATTACGCATGCAATACATACCACCGGTCGCCGGAGGATCTCTATTTGCAGTCTTCAAGTTCAAGACCTTGGGACTGAGCAGTGGTCGCGTGTTGGTCGACGTCGAATTTCCATTCTGGCCGTTTGAAACTCCAAATAGATGAGACAGTTCCGCATCGACGCTTTCAAGAGGCTGATCCGGGCCTAAGACTGGTTAATTATTATACGATATGATATGTTGCATCACTCAAACGCACGTCGGCGAAGCACAGGAGGGGTACCGGCCAATGCTGGAGTGTTGACAACCATTGCTATGATGCGTACTCGCCGAAATCCATCAAAATTAGGTACCTGCGAACTTGGATCACCGATACTTGGCGCTGTACCCTGTATGTGATGGTCGACATGTTGTGGAGACGCTTCTTTTACTTCTGATTGTTCTCGAACGTGATGATACCACAGTCCGCAGAAGTCACTACTGGGATGTTAGAATTGATACTTCGCCGGGAAACAGGGCAGGCGAGCATTTCATACCATTCAACTTCACCATCCTCTTCACATGGGGCATTCTGACAGCAACAGTCGGGGCATGTAGTCGGAGCCAGGCGCCTCCTGAAGACCATGCTCATATCCACGTTCTGACCAGGTCGAAACACGGTAGCCCATGGGCGGCTTAGGTCGAGGTTCCGCCTCCTAGGCGTGTCTCGTATACAAAATTCCTTCTTGTCTAGCTTTTGCAGGCCACCATCCTGAACGCCTGCCTGCTCTGATCTAATTTTGAGCACGGCCACAAATGCATCAAGCGAGTCAATGAAATCGAGGTGGAACGGCGCCACCTTGCCAAAAGCATCGAGCAAAATGACTGGCCGTTGGAGTATGACCTGTGGAGGGATTGCACCTTGGAGATGTAAGAGCTGACGCACATCATCCAAGCGTCTTTGCAACTGGTGATTTTGAGACATCAGAAGCCTAAAGCACTGTCTCTGCTCTACAGATAGTCCCTGCAGCAAAGCAGTCATGATATCTTCCTCTGTACGCACTGCCACATGCCTGTTGGCGGCCATTTGGCTCTGGGCCTGGAAGGTAATAAGCAGCATGTTGATGCACGACGAATGACATTCCAACTGGGCGCGAAACTGCATAACGTCCTCTTTCTTGCATAGTGCCCACTTGATCCGCCTGTAGCCCGCCGCCCAGCCGTGCTTTACGCCGCCTTGCCGCAGATGAGGCTCGTACTTCGCCGCGCTGGCCAGAAAGTCATCGATACACGCCTTGCACGACGCCACGGAGGCCTTGATGGCGCTGCGTTGCTTTTCTGTGCCGTTCTCTTCCAGGGCCAGATCGGCGATCGACTCGAGGGCGTGGAGGAGCGATTCAACCTCGCTTCGCAGGGCAGTGTACTCGCGGTGAGCGGAGGAAGCGTCTCGCAGCGCCTCGCATGACACGTAGATGACCCGCAAGCCGGAGATCACATCGCCGACAGAGAATCCAAAGGCAGCCATTGCCTGTGTCGTCGTGGGGAGATGCGGGAGTCGTCCTGGGAGGAAATGCACCCGACGAGTCGGCGGGCGCTGGCGGGCGGGCGAAGCCCTGCGGGGGATGCAGGTCGTGCAGCTGCACGCCAACTGGCCGTCAGGCAAGCTGAGTCTAGTCGACGAGCACGAGAACGACGCCCAGCATGAGACATCTCGAGTCGAGACAGCATGGCTAGGCGGGTGCCTCTGGTCCTGGCACTGTCGTGTCGTCTAGTTATGTACGGTCTTCTCCGTGTTCCACTCTGCTCATCTCCCGCAAACCCTGGCCGTGTCTCTCGGCAGTCCTGTCGCCAGATCAACATCAGATCTGGCACCACAGCTTCACAGTGTGCCGTCCCACCCGCGGAGCCAACGGAAGAGTTCCCTAAATGCGGGTGATCTCCTGACGATACAAACTCAACAGGAAGAGTTTTCTCGACGCTTGAAATGTGAAAGACACGGAGAAATAGCATCAAGGCTCGCTAGCAGGCATCCTATCTGTTCAGTTGGAGCCCGTAGCCGCCAGCTTGTTATGTAGATGGTTAGTCTGCTCTCACCTAACTACATAGCAACGCTGTGGCTTTGGTAGTTAACTAGTTACCGTTCAGCCTGAGAGCATCATGACAGCCCGGCCGCCACACGAACCCTTGGAACACTTCACGAGACTCACAAAGCAACAGCCGGTGGTATACACCCATAGCTTGCTATCGATATGCTTCCGTTAATTCTGACTATACATACCATCTCCGATCCTCCCCCGCGGCCGAGAATTTCGCCGGGAGAACAAAGAATTGCGCCGCTTTTCTCCGGTTAGTTAGCTGATAGCAGGCTCTTGCAGCATAGCAGATTCTGTTCCTGAATTCCAGCAGGGGGGTACCAAGAGAACATGTGCCGTGTGATAATGTAGCGAAGAGCAGCAGCTGCCACTCTGGTGATTTGCAACGGACATTGTCCATGTGCGAATGACAAAGGAGTTAGTTATGTATTTGATGCAGGTTAAAATCTGTTCCCGTCAAGCAGGCCCGTTTAATTTCCACTTGACCGACAAATCCGAGCCACCACGCAGTGCGCTGGTACCAACGGCCGAAAGTAGCTGGGCGCTGAGTGCAGAGAAGCAAGGTCATACAGTAGGTATTGTTTTAGTACGATGCTGCTGTGTTCTAATTTCCGCCGGCAGGGAGCCTAGACTGTAGTTATAACTACGGGGTACAATCGGCCTATCCCACGGTCACACCCCGGAGTCGGTCAACGAGTTGTTTGTCGCCTGTCTGGTAGGATCTGACAACCATTCAGCCTGTTATTCATGCCGCGCGCTGACCCGCAGTGCTTGTACCCCATATTCTTTCTTTCTTTTTCTTTTTCTTTTTCTCTCCTTCTCCTATTTTTCTTTTTCTGCAGGGAAAAGCTAGAGTACACCAAGTGGCGGTGAGCAGACCTCAAGCAACGGGGTATACTCCGTACAGTGATCCCCAAGTAACTAGCAACCAGGCGACAATGCCAGTACTGCTAGTTAGTTACCACTGGACCAGCCACATGTGCACAAAACCAATGCTATTCTGTACTCGATTTCTTTCCAAAAGAAACAGCATTGGACCAAAAAGTCTCGCTCAGCATCACACTTTCCAAGTTACCTACCTCTTTATCGCAACCTGGCCAATTCAAGTATTCAGGAGCATTTGTATCCATAAACTTACCGGAATGAACTCTGCACTAGTCAATAGCAAGCAGCGGTGTACGGAGTAAATGCGGCCACCAACACTGGCGGCTGCCGCAACCGTTCCAGCGGTATTCCTAAGTTTCGATGATCTTCAGGGTGTGTGGCATTTCCTGCGCAAACGCCCCATCTTCCATGACACATCGAAAAAAGCTTCAGGTAGCCTATCAAAGCACTCTGTGAGGCGTTATTTGTATTCGTCCCTTCATCGGAGGCACCGAGTTGCTGGTACCATCGGATGGAGTTGGCGTGGATCAGCACCTGGTGTCCAATTAGCGGAGAACCCATTCGAATGGAATTTTCTGAGTATTCTTATTGGCAGAGCTGGTTGATTAACTATCGTCTGGTACGTTTGTCGCCCTCTTGGCTGCTGTGAATGGCATGCTCTTTGGGAATGTCAAGTACCATTGTTTCTAGTCTCATCATGAATCAGGGCCCTATTCCTGCCGGATGGTAACACCAACGAGAGCATCAACATTAATACTCCGAAAGGACGACCCAATGCTAAGCAATAGGACGGCAGGTTGCCAGCGCACCCTTTATTCACTAGTCATGCCCATGTCACCCTTTTCGGCGTAACTCGAGTCTGGTATCAAGTTAAACAATACTCCGGACAGTGGGCCTTACTTTGCTGCACCTGAGAAGTTCAGGGGCCTTGAGAATTGCTGGTGAATCCTCCGTTTATTTTTAGATAAGAAATTAGACTGAAGTATTGAGCACGTCGATCCAAATGAATTGAGGACAAAGAGTGTTCAAAGAGCGCCTAGCAAGCCAATGGCGCCGACCATTTCGAGCGCTAGAAAACCTAGAATCATTCAGGATTCACGTAGAGATGGCCCTAGAGCGGGCGCTACTGGTTGCCGTTCAACTGCCGCTGCCGCTGACAGTTTAGCCACCCCTGTGGTGGGAAACAGTGAACTAGTTAGTGGAACAGTCAAGGCGTGGCTAAAAAGAAACATGACAAGGCTAATGATGTATGAACGTATTTGTGAGCATGTACTCCGTACTACGGAGTGCTGTGCGTACATCCATACATATTTGGGCTGTGCTTTGCTTTGGACAAAGGTAAAGTTAGCAGAAGAGCTTCAATGAACTAATGGATACCCCAGTTTTCCCCTGTCTGGCTGCAAGCTGAGGCGACCCCTCCATTTTCGCGGAGACGCCAGTATCAATTGGAGTGTTTTTCTGTTTATCTTTTAGGTGCTTTTAGTAATACTCTTCAAGGTATTGAGGGTGCTATTTCTTTACATGAAGTTATCAAGTACGAGGAGCGGAGACCCCGCGACGGTAGCTATAACTAGCTAGTTAGTTAGTTAAATAATGACCATATCTGAGATGAAAATAAAACTAGTAGGTGTGAGAGGCTAGGCGGCAAATCGTTGCTTTTTTCAGCAGATCGTCCCAGGCGATCAATGAATGTCGTCGATTTACTCTGTAGCCATGTTCTGTGTCTCGAAATCGAAGAAAACAAAGCAACTTTAAACAAAAGCAGATTAAAATGGGTTAATCATACGAATATCATTAGAACGGTTTGGTCGTAGCTCAGCAGTTGCAGCACCGGCATTTTAGCCCCCTAGCACTTGTAAAGGGGCTCTCCTGTGGCTGTTTGGCGCACCTGCGAAGTGGTATGCGGGCTGGTGGAAGGTCCTTGTGATTGTTGTTCCCGGAATACGGTGACCGCTCCAGTCCGAATGCAGTACTTAAGTGTATATCTGTCGAGTTTAAGACGGATTGCCAAGGGTGATGTTGTACGGAGTACAACGACTTGATATCAGAATTGACATGAGCTAACGATCCTAACAGTGGATCCACGAGGAAAGTTTCAGAGCTTGCACCTACAAAGAGATCAAACCAATGAGTACCGCACGGGGTACAAAACAGAAGAGCTTATGTCCTATTGGGCTTAGGCCAACACAGACAATTTTCAATATTCAAAATACTTATACGTCGGGTATGACTGAATCTTCCAAGAGAATATCTGGTAGGAGCTGATAGGGATTTACCATATCAATCTATCAAGCAGCAATGTCACTTCTTTTTGCTTGTACTCTGGGCAGTCTTTTGCTTTTCAGTCTTCTCTATGCTATTGGGGGAGTAATTCATCGCTTGTATTTCTCGCCATTGTCAAAGTTTCCAGGCCCCAAGCTGGCAGCTGCAACATTGTGGTACGAATTCTATTATGATGTTGTACTGAAGGGGCAATATACCTTTAAGATAAAAAGTCTGCATCAAAAGTATGGTCAGTATATTGTTTCTGGTAGTGGTAGATGCACGTTTCAAGAGAGTGATGTTGATTGTTTTATAGGCCCAATCGTTCGAATTAGTCCCTATGAACTACATATTAGCGACCCAGAATTTTATGGCACTCTGTACTCGCATAGTTCGCCGCGAGACAAATGTGCATATTATGTCAAACCATTCGACTTTCCTCAGTCCTCTTTCGGGACTATAGACGCCAGGCTCCACCGTCTCCGCAGAGGTGCAATTAACCCCTTCTTTTCCCGGGGTAAAGTCCTGAAACAAGAGTCACTTATCCAGGAGCTAGTATTCAAGTTTTGCAAGAGAGTCGAGAATTTCGGAAAGCCTGGGGCAGTAATTCCTCTCTCTCTCGGATTCACATGCCTTATCACAGACTTGATCACATCGTACGTTATGGGCCGGTCATATCATTATATTGACCAGCCAGATTGGCACCCTCACTGGGGCCAGACTCTCCGAGATGCTTCGGAGTTTGGGATGCTAGCCAGACAAGTAACGTGGGTGCTACCGATTCTCAAAAGCATCCCACAAGTTTGGGCGGAGGCTCTGAACCCTGGACTTTGCCTGTTTTTCACGTTAACCAGGCGGACCCAAGACCGAATATCAGAAACACAAAAAGAGAGAGACTCCATGGAAAAGGGGGAATTAAGATTTGAAAAAAGGCAGACATTGATAGACCAAGTGTTAGACTCCAAGTTAGCAGCAGAGGAAAAATCATCAGAGAGACTCGCACAAGAGATTCGTTCGGCGATCGGAGCAGGCACCGAAACAACGTCCAACGCGCTCACTGTGACGATGTTCCATGTGCTCAGCAACCCAGAAACGCTCCGCAGGCTTCAGAGGGAGCTTCAGGAGCTCGAGCCTGACTTAGACGCTCTAACAAATCTTTGTGATCTAGAAAAGCTGCCGTACTTGGTATGTTCGAGGTCAATCGCTCACACAATCGATACTCATACTGACATTGCCATAAATCCAGTCATCATGCATCTTGGAGGGATTGCGGTAGGTTGTCTGGGTCAAAGACTATCGGGGTCAAGAGCTGCTAACGCTTGGACGTACCAGATTGTCTTATGGCGTCAGTACGCGACTGCAACGCAAATCGAATACAGCGATCCAATATAAGGAATTTAGTATTCCCCCCGGGGTATGTATATTTTGGCTCGACATCAAGGAGTTGGCTGATAGGGTTTCCGGTTAGACTGCTGTCGGGATGACATCTGTACTTCAACACCACGACGAACACATCTTCCCAAACTCGCATGATTTTCTTCCAGAGAGATGGCTTGACCCGGTGGAACGAAAGCGACTAGATAAATACCTGGTAACGTTCAGCAAGGGCTCGCGACGGTGCATTGGGATGAAGTGAGTCATCCGTAGAGAATTCACGTCTATTCCACAGAAGCAATTTGGCTGACTGGAGCTCTGCAGCCTCGCACAAGCAGCGATGTATACCACAGTAGCAGAACTTGTGCGGCGATTCGACATGGAATTGCACGGGACGACGCGCGATGATATTGACGTGAAGCACGACCTGTTTATCCCACGGCCGAAAAACCTGAAAACGCTTGGCCTCCAAGTTAAACTGAAAAGATGAGGGACGGTTGAGCAGGTAACTAGTTTGTGATGCTGGTTATTAGAGCTGTGAGAAGTACGGGAGTAAAGAATGCGCAGATGCGTCTTTTTCAACCCGCTGTCGGCCCGCGCAGAGCTGGAACTCGGGCCGATTTCCTTAATAAAAGGGTTCAGTAAGACCTGGAAACCTAGTTGAAACTCTCATCCTGGCTGTTAATTCAAGCACTGATTCAATAGGGTTTGCAGGCGGCCTGGATGCTGTCTACATGTTTATTATCTGTGTCGTGCTATGTAACTACTACTACCCAGGCTCATCGCGCACTTCCACAGGCGCACACCACGGCCACGAAGTAGCCAGGCTACAAAACTTATAGTTAGGAAAATAGTAGTTAGTTATTCGAACGACACCAGGATAAAACTACAGGCTGGCTTGACACCGCGGCTGTTGATACAATACCCACATATTTACTCCGTACGCTCTTCAAGAAAGAATGAACTAAGAGATCATCCACCAACCTGCGCCCAGGGTCGCCAGAAGAATGCCGGCCGTTAGAAACCCAGCCCCGACCCTGTCCGCCGTAGTAATAGCATTAACCTTCACAACACGCTGCTTGCCTGTCCCCGCGCCCGGATTGCCTTTGCTGATACCAGTCGCGTTGTTCGCAGGCCCGGCCACATGATCAATGAGGTTCGACTGGATGACCTCCAGAGCAGACATTTGCTGGCCAACGCCCGGCTGGCCATCGTACGTTCCTTCAGTCCAGCGGATCCCACACACATTGCCAGGCCCGTTGCATTGCGCTGCCGCGGCCTTGGCAGACGTTCTCAGCCTCTGTAACAAGGTCTCGCGCGTGAAGGGGGCGAGCTTGATCGTGTAAGCCATCCATCGGGCCAAATACGCCTTGAAAGAACGCTGGTCACTGTTGCACTTTCCATTGCTCTCGCATGCTACTTCGGCCATCACGCCATTTGGGAAAAAGATATCACCGCCCTTGATAAGCCCCTCCACACGCTTTTTCCAAACATCACTTCCTGTCTATCAATATCCTTTTAGTAAATATACAATACGCGGCAACAGTGCTGATACTTACGAAATTATACATTGCGGCAGCAGCGGCCAAGACTACGCCACTATTGTATGACCATTGTATGTGGTCGAATCTGGAGCAGTTTGTCACCCAGGTGCCATCAAAAACCTGATATGAGTTACTAATCAGGCCAGCTGAATCCAACCAGTTCCAGTGCTTTTCTGCCAGCTCAGCATAGGTATTGTTTTTCGTGTAGAGTGCAAGGCGAGCAGCAATATTGGTAAAACAACCATTGGTAATGGAGTTTTTGTAGTCATAACCCTTGTTGAATGAGTAGGCCTGCCACCTAAGTCCACCACCACAAGTCTTGTCATCCCACCGAGGTATTTGGGAGTTTAGCACTGCTTGAACAAGTGCTAGCCACTGTGGTTTATCACTAGGGGGGTTTGGGAATTTAGATTCAGCAGCAGTCATGGCAGTGAGCGCCCAGAAGCATTGATCATCATTTCCAAGACCTAATGTTTGGTTTCTAGGCATATAGTTGTTGTCTTCCCCAACTTGAAAAAGCATGGCTTCCATGGTCATGTTATTATATTGGGTGTCGCCCGTGAAGTGCCAGTAGTCAATAAGGCTACCAAACATGGCGCCTGATAACCACCAGTAGTATGGGGGTTTAGGCAACAACCCCGGTACCTGACCAGGTTGGGTTCCTGGATAGTGCTTAACTAGCCCTTCGACAATGATTTTCGCCGCATCTTTAATTGACTCTGCAATAATAGACAATCAGATCTCCTTTCCAGAAGTAACGGACGACTCTGACTCACGTGGGTTATCGAGATCTAATTGAAGAGCATGAATTCTCTGAATGGCCAGCGAGATTATCAAGAAAACCACACCTAGTGGAGATCTTGTACAACCAAAGGCCAGTATCATAGCTGACCATCTGAGAGAGAGGAAAAAAGCGTGGGGAACATGCGGTGGGCCAAAATGCACTAAATCCGAATTGTGCGTTTTAAGGTATCCGCGATAACTCGCTGGCACTCAGGAAATCGTCAAATATCGAGTGCTCAGGGTGCGATAAGAAACAAAGCAAAAAGTATTTTAGAATATATTGGCTACTCTGTGTAGACGATCCTAGGACATATAAGGACATTTGCCGCGTCGGCTTCTGGGGGGGGGCGGAGCAGAAGGGAGCGCTTGGCGCATACGCAATACGCCTTGGATAGTCTGGGCTTTGTAGATGGAGCTGGGGCGCCATCTATTAATATTATTATCAGCAGCACCGACAACACTCTGGATGAATGCCGGCTGGCGATGAAGTTTCAGGGTTCGACCACATTGCTACAACGGTTGGGGTGTACCACTCCTGTAGTGGACGCAACAGACAAGCCAGAAGTCATCACTCAGCGAGACAAGATCGGCTGCTCTGTGGTGTTTTCGACAGCTCCCGATCTCCGTGTCCGTTTCCACTCCACGTTGAAGCCTTGAAGGTAGAAATCGGAATGAAGGAGCGCTGTGGTGAAGTTGGGGCAGCGGATGCCAAGCCGGAACGGCAGATATCTGCTTCCGGGATTGGCGCCGGACCTGTCCGGTTCGCCAACCAAGCTGATGAGAGAGTGAATAATGAGATCATCAGCGCCTACCCGGAGCATCCTGGATGCATTTCAGCCCTTGTGCCGCCTGCATTCACCAATTCTGTCTTAAGTGCTCCCTTTGCTCTGCTTACCCCTGACAAAACTGCCATCTGGCGCCTCCATGCCAGATTTACGACCAATAACAATGCCCATAGTTAACTACCTGAAGGAGACCCTGCCAAGGCCACACTGAGCTCGAGGCCTGTGATGGATGGCCTTGGTATCTGCAAGCGCACGGAGCACTCGTACTCCGTACACCATGGGCTGCAAAATTGTTATGATCGGGCGAAGGTTGTTTATAGGTCACTGGAACCGCTCTTGATCGCCAAACCAGTTACCAAGCAGTAGGTGCACGGAGTAAGTAACTCCCATAAAGACATACTTTGCACAACTCCGGCGATTTTCTGGGGTCTGGCACCCACAACTATAGCGACTCTATAATCATTTGCGGTAGAACACCCAGATCCCTTCAGATTTTAGCGCAAATCGCAATCTCAGGTTTTAACTTGTCTGTCTTGGAGAAATGTTGGCCAAGTGGTGTATTGTGGAGCCTAACCTTGGCCGTGGTGGCTGTTCAACTGTTTAGAGGCTTGTGATCTTCTTGAGCCCAAAAAATATATCGTTAAAGTTATGTTCGACGACTCGGTCGGGATAACATGAATATATCAGCAGAAGCTGATTTGTGACGCAGTAGTGGAGGATAAGTGCCTTGACACCTCTATTCTCCCTGCGGATGGTTGAGTGAGAGTCCTTCCATTCCCTTACTTGGTCCAAATCTCTCTAGTGGAAGTCTTCGACAGATACTAGTAGCCTCTTGGATGTCTGCTGGAAGACAAATGGCTCCAGAATCTAGGGAACTTTAATAATTTTTCATCCCTCCCTCAACGCTGACTGTTTAAATTTCAAGTTTTGCAAATACCAATTCAATGTACAGGCCTACTCAAGTGTCAGGAACTGTATCTAGGGTATAGTTACATGGCTTCCTTCAGAGAGCCGTCATTGTTATTCTACCGAGGAAGAGGCCTGGAAGTCTAGGACCATTGTCGGGGTATCCAAAGCGCAGAAGTATTAATATTTCTACCTACTTGTTTTCGACCTATCAACGAGACTTGGAACTACATGGCCTGTGGCTCGGCTGCCCCTGAATTCTGTTCCCCAGAATGATTGTTAATATAGCCCGCAAGTTTGATTACATGTGAAGCTACATGTCGTTATCTTTGTGCGGAACCTTCCTCTCGACTTCTTTTTTAAAGTCCAGTAACTTCCAAGTTGACGAGTCAGGCTTGTTGTCCCGGGTTATAAGGATCAGGACGGAGTATCCTCTGAGAAAAGGCATTCTGAAATTTTATATTGAAAGTCCGTGGAGACAGAAAAAGGACAGGACACTGCATTCAAAAATAAACATCTTTGTGTTGTTTTGAGCACTTCACTTCAAATTTGAGCTTCTATTTAGCCAGGCAGGGATCCGTGGGACCTCTGGTGAACTATTGGAATTTTTTTAGAAAGATGGGTCGTCTCAATAAGAGAATATTTTAGATCTAGATCTTGGATATATTCACGAGATAAGTTATTATAAATGCAATTGTTGCTCAAAGTGGTGCGAATGGTGTACAATTCGGCTGCAGCCTTCTTTTGAGATATAATATGATCTTTTTTTTTAGCTTGAATGGTAGAAGAAATAGGATTCTTGTGGGTAGACTTGTGGAAGAAAGAAGACAGCGCCAGCAAAGTGTTATATAGACTATGAGGTTTTGTTGTCGGAGTTGCGTACTGGCCAGTGGGCCACTTAGCTAAAAGGATGATTACCCTTAGGACCATGTAGCCTTAAATGTTACCCATATTTTGTTCTCTCCGTTTGACAATGGTAGCCACTAAATATGGTGGCTAGCATACGTAGACACACAAAATGCAGGCCACGTTACTAATGTCTTTACACCAAAGAAGTCAATAGCGCCTAGTTATACAAAGGTAGAGCAATAGAGCCAATGCTCAATGCTATAAGGGATAGACTATAGGTGTTTAAGAGTGTCTATTACATCAACCATCTCCTGTCCACTCAACGATATTTCAATCAGTGGTTTGGAGACTGGTGACGAATGTATTCTCGCGTCGGCTCCAGGGCGGAAGAGTTCCTGCTGTCGGAATTCTAATCATTTGATATGAGCCACTAATACTGGTGCTACTGCAGCTGGTTGTTGACAGTAATGGCTAATGATTCTTTTCTTGCTCGAAAATCGGGCGGTTAGCCAATGCCAATTTTTTTAACAATGACTAGGGTAATGAATCATGAACACGGAACAATTAGGAACTATAAGTGCATTTATTGCCAGGTCACTGATCTTTTTCTGCACGTTAAATCTTGGATCTTGATTATAAGTCTAGGGCATAAAAAACCAATAGGAGAATGGCGTAAAAAATTATTTTTATCATAGTCCTCATTTGTATTACCACTTTGCTGGCAAGAAAATGCAGACATACCCACAACCTTTGGCCCAGTACCATCTGTTATTGCGCACTTCTTAAACGGAGCATGCAACTTGCGGAATTGGGAACAAGTAGGGTGACAAAATGAAAGACGGATTACCTGTAATTGAGGGAGCTGAGACACTGCTAACTGGCCGCACATTGAGAACTTGAGAATTTATCACTGAATTAGAATGAGTATTTTCTTCAGTAGACAGCTTCTGGCTTAGAGATGTCAGTCTTGCTAGTTTTGTGGAAAGCAGCAAGAGCAAGAGTAACATGATGGATCCTGATTCTTCATGCACCTGTTCATGAAGACAGTAGTCAGCTCATATTGCTGATTTTTCATCATTGTATTGAGCTCATCCGATGATAAAATATTCTCATCATCCATTGCTAAGACGTTGATTGATAGGCATGATTCATGAAATGTAGTTTGTTTGCTTCATTAGATAATCGTTATCCTCTGGTTGTGATAATTTGAATACAAATTCTCGGGTTTATCTTGTTAGGGTATCAAAGCTGGTAGCTAAGTCTTGTTGGAATTTCTTTGTAAAGTTGGAATTGAGCACCTGTTGGTACTATTTTCATTTTAGAATTAACCTGAGTTTATTTATTGAACTGGGTCTGTTGGTTGTTGGGTCGTTGGGCTTCTCGTACTCCAGGAAATATTTGGACGCCCTGCTTAGTGGTAAGTTATCTTCATGTTTTTTGTTGCAGCTTTAACCACTTTGGCTCTTCCATGAAAGGCGAAAGCTCTCATTACGACGGATGCGTTTGTTATCATTATTGTATCCTAGCAAAGTGCATTTCGGAGAAAGTGACTGTTAGTCTGATATGTAAGTATTCATTGCAATTTCGAGCGATAGTTTTGTTCTCCGTGCGCCTGCTGGCTACAGTTTGTCTTTCCAGGCATGTATTGAAATTCCGAGTTCCATTTATATTAGATGCTAAATGGTCAGACAATGCAATTTGAGTTTTGTACAGATGGGCCATCGAAGTTCTATTATTTCTTGGGTTCATCTGGCCATAATAAGAGGAGGCTTGAAGATCGTGTCATTTGCCGTAGTTGTTGAAAAAAAGGCAATGACTTTGTTGCAATGTTGGTTGGTTGGTTATTTATGCTTGGTGTTGTAATATGGGAAGTTCAGAAAAAGGGCTATCATCTCCGGGATGACCTTGTTGCCCGATTTGACGAAGAAAGTAAGCCGGGGAAAGAAATTCCTTGCGGGCCAGTGGACATCAGAGGTTGCATTAAAATTAAAGCATAGATTTTAATTTTGGTATGCTGCTGGGGAAACCATCCTCCTCCCAGTATAAAGTCTTTCCACATTTGAATCTCACCCTGAAAGTTGTCCTAGTAGACTAGTGTCACGAATATGGTTTAGTCCAGGGAGATCCTCTGCTGTAGCTTCAAGTGCCCGTAGTCGAGCGGGGGGGGGGTTCTTTTTTAATGTGCGTTTGGTAAATTTAGCAACTTACGCCTTTTTGTGGAATAAAACTCGAGGGTGTTGCCTGCTTGGAGTTCAGACTCAGGTTCACAATTTCATACTTTGCTTGAAGTGTCCATTACTTTTCCATAGGGAGCAACGGAGCAGTGTCCTCAACGGCTAATAAGGTCAGCAATAAAGAGGCAGCGTCTGATTTATGATGGTTTTTGGAATATGCGAGCTCATGGAGCTTTCTTCAGGAGCCTATTGCCTTTCGTCGACACAGATGGTTGTAGTGCCTGCGGTTCAACCAAAAGGGCGAACAGCCTTAGAAACTTGAGACTTAAAGCGGGGTTGTTATACACGTATACAAGGCTGCTCGAGTGTGTGCAAGGTTGGGGGAGGGGAGGGTGGGTTTTATACTTCTCTGGTTAAGTCAACCGCAAGGCAAGTCACCGCCACATCTACCTCCAGTGAAAGGAAAGCGACCGCCATTCCGCTAGGCGCCGATGCAAAGCCAACATATTCGCTCTTCTTGTGTGCGATAGGAGTGTAGCGTGTGTGCGGCATTTTCTGCTCACCGGGCGCTTCACGGACGAAACACCGGAAACGGATAGAAAAGCGCGGAAATGCCCATATTCTCACGTACTTCACCTTTCCTCATTCTCTGCATTGATGGAAAAGACATGCTTACCTACTGTCATTATCAATGTCATTCATTCCCATCTTCTTCGCTGCGTCGGCGTTTGCCGCTGGCTGGGCCACGCTGACGCTGCCGTCGCACAGCGCCAAACGCGCTCTGCCGCTCGTTCTCGCGGCTGCACTCGTTGCTTTGGTCCGTCAAAATGATCTGTCGGCCAGCTATTTGCTGAACGAAATGTTCGGCAGGCTCCTTATCCTGTGGTTGCTGTATATGCCGTTCCTGGTGTACATCCAAGGCTACGATGCAGCAAGCCACGTCCTGTTTGGCCAGAAGCACACCCATACGGTGCCTTCATGGCCGGAGCTCCGCCTTTCGCCACAGCACCGCTGGCGGACGATCTCCATGGTCCGGAACTATATCTGCCATCTCTGTAGGGCGCGAGGCAGATGCGCCCTGAAAATGCTTTTCAACGGGCGTGGGATCAACACCGAATGGCAAGTCCGCACGCTTCCAACTCCGCGCCGGCAGACACGATGGGTATTTTGCGTTCGTCGCCTGGCAGCTTTGCTGGCAAAGTATGCGGCGTGGCAAGTATGGATTCGGTACTCGACTCGCGTCATTTACTTGCAGGGATCGGATTATATCCCTGAGAAACAGATGTTTCTCCGGAGGCTAATTTCCGGGGTCCTATGCAATAATGTCCTCACCCATTGCGACATCGCCCACCCGGTGACGATGCGCGAGGTCTGGGTTCGACTCTGGATAGTCGTGTCCAATAACATACCGAGCCTTATTATCCTGAAAGCCTTTCATGATATCCTTGCCATCTTTTTTGTTGGGATAGGATTCGACACGACGGACGAATGGCCGCCGCTTTTTGGTAGTCTTCGGCACGTTTATACGGTGCGCGGGTACTGGTCAAGGTTTTGGCAGTTAATACTGCAGCGGCTCCTGTGTGGTTACGCAACATTTATTTTACGTCGTGTTCTTCGATGTCGACAGCGGTCTTCGTTCTCACACGCGGTCCATGGGCTGCTGGTGTTTTTGATTTCGGGAATCATCCATGCGGTGGTCTACCACTTTACGATGCCGGGCTGTGGAAAGGGGCCGGTGGTAGTGTTCTACGCCCTACAGCCTGTTGCGTTCGTTGTAGAGGGCTGGGTGGAGCAGCGATGGCAGAAGTGGAGGGCACGGTATTTAAATTACTCTCCGGCAAGGTGGGGGCAGGTCTTTACTCGAACGGTCGGAGTTACATGGGTGATCTGCTGGTTCTTCTGGCTGGAGCCCAAGTCTGTGCTGGCGGATAAATATTCGATGGCGGAGTATTGGCAGAATAAGCTGCAGCTGTAGTCACCCCATGCTCGGATCGTCCTGTCCAAGAGTCGGAGTACGTATGCCAAAAGTGTATCCTCTAGCTACAGTCCGGGTTACTTGACTTTCAGACGACGACACGCTCAATGATTTTACACGCCAGTTTGACTCGCGACGTAACGTCGTCGAGCTAGTCGAATAATAATTGATGTGAGCAAGTAATGTAACTCAAAAGGCAGGAAGCTGGGCATCCGGCTACTTACATGGTCCTTGTGGAAAATATTGTAGTGATGACCGGGAATGTCAAGCACGACAGATATGAAGTCATATCCATAATCATCCCACCCCAGCTTTTCCTGCTCCCGCACAACGTCGACTCGTGCAATGGGGTTGGCGTTATCGGCGGCGGGGTGCACAGGCACATAGTCGTTGCATCGGAGCAGCACGGTCGGCGGCAGCGGGGGCGGTAAGTCGCGCCATGGAACATCCATTTCGGTCACGTCACAGACCTGACTGTATTCCGCCGGCATTCTAGAAGAGAGGGTGGCCTCTAGCTCCTTGCGGTCCTGAAGTAGCTGCTGGTCGGGGCACCCCTTCCAGACGGGCAGCACCCAGCTCGAGGCCATGGCGACGGCCATGTTCATGCAGTGGGCCACGAGTTCGCGGGTCTCCGCTCTTGACGAGTCACTGTACTCGACCTGGTAGGGCACGACATTGGCGGACGGGGCCGAGACCTTCAGTGGATGGACGCTGTCGATCATGGCAATTCCGAGCACCTGAATATCCGACGACCGCGTCAGAACGTTGGCGACTTCCAGGGCAAGCATACCGCCAAGGGACCAACCTGCAGAAGGTCGTCAGCGTGGAGGGGCGTGAGGGGTAAGGGGGGGGGAAAGCTCACCTCCCAAGATGAGGGGGCCCGATGCTACCACACGGCGAATTAGACAGGCGTAAACGCGGCCCATCTCGGGCAGGCCACCCAGCCACGGCTCGCGCGAATAAAAGCGTGGGTTCTGGATGGCATAGACGGTGCGGTCCAGGGACTCGAGGTAGAAGTAGGAGACAGCGGTGCCGCCGCCGTCGTGGATCAGCACCAGCGGCGCGGCGGCCTCGCAGCCGGGGGGAGCGGACTGCACGAGCAGGAGCGAGTCTTCCATGGCCGGCGGGGCAGGACAGCAGGGAACGGTGGGCGAGCGAGACGATTATTGCCTGCCAGCCAGCTCGCAGTAGTAGTTGGCTTGTTTGCGTCGTCAACGTCCAGCTGAGAGCGGGAAGCGGGCTCGCAGCAGCGGGGTCAGGTGACGGGTAACTCACGTGGAGGATTACCGGAAAAACAGCGGGCCGAGCGCCGAGCACGGGGCACAGCGGGGCATGCCCAGACAGGCAACACCTGTCCCTGGCCGGCGCCGCGTCACAGCACGCAGTTGCAATCTCTCTGCCGCGGTGCGGTCATCTTCCTTCGACGCCCTGAAGAATTCTTGTACCCGCTGTTGGGTAGCGTGGTGGCCTGCCAGCTGTACCAGACATGTGAGAAACGCGCCCATGCCACCGGCGCCCTCGCTGGCTATATAATAACGGCGCCACGGTCGACTGCCCCCCGATACGGCCTTGTTCTCCGCCTCCCGCAAAATCGCTACTAACACGGCGACGCCTCTCCCGTACCATGGCCCGACTCCCCGCTCTTGTAAGCGTTCTGGCGACGCCGGCCCTGCTAGCAGCTGCAGCCGTGACCCCTCGCGACGGCAACTCCCGAATCATCGGCGGCGGCCTCGCACAACTGGGTGAAGTGCCTGAGCTGCTCAGTCTCGGATTCAAGGACCAGGGGGGATGTGGCGCTGTGTTGCTGAGCGCCAAAATTGCGCTCACGGCGGCGCATTGCGTGACCACCGCCGCCCTGGTCCCAGGCAAGGTAAGCCGCTGCCCTCTGGGAAAGCCCACCCTGCTGCCGCCCTGCTTACTTGCCGATAGCCGCAGCCCGACGTCCATCTAAACTGGGTTCGCACGAAGTCTCTGGTAAGGCACCTACGCTCTCCACTCGCGACGCTCCACACTCACTTCTCGCCTGCAGTGGCGCGAGTCTGGCGGACTCCGCGTCAACGTCTCCGCGGTCGTGGAACACCCTGGCTACGTCTGGTACACGAATGATTGCGACATCGCGCTGCTGCATCTGAAGGACCCCATCCCAGAAGGCCCGCTCGTTCGCTATGCGAAGCTGCCAAAGAAGGATTCCGAACCGGCCGATCATTTAAGATCGACGGTGGCCGGCTGGTCAGTGTCATTCTCTCTCTGCGGTTGAATTGTCATGCTGATGCTTGGAATAGGGGGCACGTATCGTGGCCTAAACCGGGAGACCCTGAACTCCCTGCGCCACCTCCAAACTCTACGCTTCCCCCTGACCCGCCCAGGCCGTTGAAGAAGGTGGATGTCTCTATTGTTCGGCGTAGCGACTGCCAGGACCTATATTTCAAGGCTCCAGGACGACGAACCATCACGAGAGACATGATTTGCGCAGGCACGAAAACCGAGAGCACATGCAATGGGGACAGCGGCAGCCCTCTTTTTGACAAAGCCACACGGGAGGTGATTGGGCTTGTGTCGTTTGGCGATGATTGCGGTGTCACGGGAAATCCAACCGTGTTCACCAGGGTTAGTAAATTTATTGACTGGATTGAGGGGCAGATGAAAGAGGCGAAGTAGGGTGGTACGTAATGGCTGTATATATGTGTATATGTCTTCACCAGAATTTACAGCGTACTGAAACTTGAATATACAATAAGTTCTCATTAAGTTAAAAGCATGGGCAATTTCCGAACCAGGAAATATGCGCCGATACCACCAAGCCCGTCATAAATACTCCGAGTCATGGCCAAAACAGCTGTAAAGTGATAGATAGACAGATAGAGGGAGACAGAGAGAGAGAGAAAGAGAGAAAGAGAGAAAGGTGGAACGTATCAGCCCAAGAACTCCCCATCGGCAAGGGCCGTCCAGGGCAGCTGCTCCTTCCACGAGCGCTGCATCAACTTGCGCGCGCGGCGGATCTGCTTCATGCCGACCTGCTCGAGAGCCTTGAGGCGGGCGCGGATGCGCACGCGCGCGGCGGGGTCGGTGGTCTCGCAGCCGGCGGTGAACAGCGGCAGCAGCGCGCACACGTCGGAGCCCTCGCCGCGCGGCACGCGGTCCAGCGCAGCCAGCAGTGCGGCGACAGCTGCACGCACAGGCGCTGCCCCAGCTGGGTCGCCGAGCACACGGCGGTGCAGCTGCACGAGCGCCGCTAGGCGGTATGCGTCGTCGAGCGCGAGCAGGTCGGCGGCGGCGGCGTGGTGCGTGCGGCCGTCGGGGCGGCGGGCGAGCGCGGCTGTCAGGTCGGCCAGTAGTGCGGCGGCGGCGGCGGCGGCGGCGGTGGGGGGCGGGGCGGGGCGGAAGGGTGGTGAGGGGGTGGTCTGAGCGCCAGGCGGGGCGGGGTGGGGCGGCGGGGCGGACTCCACGTGGTGCACCAGCTCGGCGAGGCGGGTCAGCAGCGCACGGGTCTCGGGCGTGAAGCCGGAAAAGCAGTCGACGTCGAGCGCGTGGGCGGGGTCGTCGGGGCCGTCGCCGGCGGCCCAGTAGGTGCCGCCGAACAGGGGCGCGTCCGTGCGGCGAGAGGACAGGCTGCCGAGCAGGTCGAGGTAGCCCAGCCAGCGACACAGGAAGAAGTCGACAGCGGGGGCGGGCGGGCGGCGCGGCACGGCACGACGGGCGCGGAAGAGGCCGCGGGCCAGGGCGAGGTGGCTCTCCCACGGCGTGGGCACCTCGAAGGTGCTGGGCGAGATGATCTTCTGCGAGACAAGCATGATGGCGGTGGCCAGGTGGGTGTCGGAGACGCGGGCGCGCGGATCGTCGAGGGCGGTGCGCAGCTGCGGGAAGACGTGGCGCGTCCAGTGGGCGATGCGCACGTACGGCTTGGGGTGGCCGAGCAGGCGCGCGCGGTGGCTGGCGGCGTACGCGAGCAGCAGCGTCAGCAGGCTAGGGTCCTGCACGGCCACTGTGGAGAGAGAGACAGAGTCAGCCAGCATGTCCATGTAGGCTTGAGGGACGGGGCGTACTGGCGGGCAGCACGGCGGCGAACGGGTTGCGCGCGCAGGCGTGCGGCACCAGGATGCGGCTGGTGTGGTTGAGGAAGTGGTGGAAGTACAGCAGGTTCATGGCGTTGCCCTGCAGGCCGGCGGGCAGCGGTACCAGCGCGCGCGGGATCTCGATGGCCACGGGCTGTGCATAGTAGCCACCGCGCGTGAACTCGCGGCGGGCGAGCGGGCCAGCAGGCAGCTCCAGCGGTGCGGCGCAGGCCAGCGCGCCGGCGTCGTCATTGCGGCCCAGGTCGAGGTCGGCGCGCCCGCCGTCAAAGCCGAAACGCACGACGGCAGCGCCCGGCAGCGGACACGGCGCGGGCGGCAGCGGCGGCGGCGACAGCAGCGACTGCACGGGCACGCGCGCGGCGTCGAGCGGGTCATAATCGAGGAGATCGTGGGCGGGCTCGTCGGGCGAGTCGGACGAGTCGGTGATGGAGAACGGCGTGCCGTTGGGCGTGTGGCTCAGCTGGCGCGCGGGCGGGCTCGCTGCCTGGCCATGCCGGTTCGTCTGGGGTATCTTCTTCTTCTTCGCCGCCGTCGTCTTCGTCACACGCCCGTCCCAGTTGAGGCGGATGCTGTAGTCGCAGCGCTCGCCCTGGCGCTGGCAGTTGGCGCAGCCTGGCTTCTCCTCGCCGCTACGCCGTCAGTCAGTCAGACATGCAGACATAACTAACTCCCAGGACTCCAACACGGCATCGCTCACCACTTGACTTTGCGCGCCTTGCACGGCCTGGCCGGTCAGCACGCGCCCGCACACTCTCCCGGACTGCAGCACTCACCAGCAGCCTGTCCGGCTTCTGCGCTTCGGCTCCGGCGCTCCCGGCTTCCTTGGCCGCGGCATCGTGCGGCGTGCGGCGCATCCAGCGGGCCCCGCACGCAAGAAACAGGCAGCAGAGAAGACAGGATGGAAATTTTCACAGAGAGAGCGACAGACAGAGAAAGAGAGAAAGGGAGAGAGAGAGGTAGAGAGGGGAGAGGAAAGACAGCCTCGCGCTCAGGCCCGGGTGGCGGGCGGGCTAGTGAGCGAGGAGAGAGTTATGGTTAGTTGGGTGGTTAGTTATAGTTAGTGAACTCAACTCGTTAGCTGGCTAAGTATGCGGACAGCCTGGACAAGGCACAACATACATAGCTAATAACTAACTACCTGCTACGACAGACTCCCGGACGCCACGGCAGCCAGGCTCACACGCACGCTGGCTCCCCAAAACCCTCTCTCTAAACCCCGGCTGCCTCGCCCGGACTCGCTTTTCAGACGCCCAACGCCCGCGATCCAGCAAACACACAAACAAGCAGGCAAGCAGACAGTACACGCAGTACGCAAACACAACAGCCAGACCGCGGCTAACTAGTCCTCCCAGTCGTCCAGGTCCTCGCGGTCCTTAACCGCCGCCAACGCCGCCGCCGCCCCTCGCGCGCCCTTGACGCCGTCCTTGCGGATCGGGATCTTGATGCCCTGGATCGCAAAGCACTTGCTCAGCGGCGTGCTCTCGATCACGCCCGGAAACTTCTTCGCCGAGAACACATGGAATACCTCCGAGAACACGCTCGCCAGCACCGGCGCCGACCCGTGGTTCAGCACCGGGCCCGACTCCATCGAGTCCGCCGGGTCCGCGCCCACGTTGACGAAGTTCATCTTCAGCCTGCCGTTTGTTAGTATATCAGATAACGAGAAAAAAAAGGGAGCCAGGCAATACCGGAACGAGCCCTCGGTGCGCACGCTCAGGTCCTGCAGAATGAACCAGATGCCCAGCTTGTTGTCCGGGTCCGTCAGCTTGAACGCACTGGCGCTCAGACTCCCGATCAGGTTGCGCGTGAACATGCCCGTCGGCTGCGTCGGTGCCAGCGGCGGTGCCATCACCGATGGTGGCGCCATCGCCGGCCCGCCCGCCGCGTAGTAACCCGGCGCCGCGGCCATTGGGTAGTACGCCTGCCCGGGCGCGGCTGAGTACGCCAGAGCGGGCGACGGATACGCCGCTGGCGGCGACGTGTAGTACGGTGCGTAGCCCGCCGATGCGGCGTACATGGCCGGCGCGTACGGCGGGTATTGTGGCATCGGTGGTGGTGGCGGGAAGGACGACGCGCTGGCGGTCGAGATCGACGGTGACGTGGCCGAGTGCCGCACCAGGTTGACCTCGCGGTCGCCGTCGGCGTTCCATAGATCCACGGTCAGCACAAAAAACGAGGTGTCGATTTCCCTAGTACCCCCGGCGCGCCCCAGCCCGCACGGTCAGCATGCATCCCATCCCATCCTATCTCATCCTTCGCCGGTCAGCGGGGCTACCTACATAACGTCGATTTCCTTATGCGTCTCGCTATCCATCACCCGTAAGCGGACACATGGGGGTGGTGTGATGGGGCGACGATCCTGCAGCGGCGGATGCGGTTAGCACAGCGAGCAGAGACAACCTGCAACAGGACCCGGGGGGGGGGGCTTGGTATCATGCCCGCCACTGGCGCGGGGGGAGGGCACGGTCCAACTCACCTTGTCGCCAAAACCGCACATGCGGGCGCGGATGGGCTGCTGCACGACATCGAGCGCGAAGATGCGGCCCTGGAAGAGCGTGGTGACGGGCGTGGGCGGCGGCGGCGGATGTCGGATCTGCGGGGGTGGGAGTTGCGGCGTGCGGGCGGAGGGCGGCGGCGCGGCGGCCCCGGGGTGGTAGGCGTGTGGGTGCGGTGGAGGCTGGCCGGGCACCACGGCCTCAAAGGCCAGCGGCGGCGGCGGCATGGCGTGCTGCCGTTCGGGCTCGATGCTGTACATCGTGGGCAGCGGCTGCGGAAGCGGGTGCAGCGGGTGGCGGGAAGCGCACCAGCAGCAGCGGGCAGGGGGGCGTGGGGGAGCGCAGCAAGACGGAGCAGGGCGACGGCAGCGCAGACGACAAGCAGTGCAGCAGCGAGAGCAGTGTAGAGCAGCAGGCGAGCAGCACAGCAGCGGGCGAGTCGACGTGACGTGGTCGCAGGAACGTAAGGGCGAAGCCGGGCAGAGCAGCGTCAATGACCCTTTCTTAAGCACGCCCGTCGCTTATGTCAGCCGCTAAGCTCTGGCCGCGCGATCGTCGGGGCGCCCCCCGGCCAATCATGCGCTGCCGAGAGTGGGCTACGTTGCTGCATATGGACTAGCTGCCCCCACCGCGCGCAGCACCGGACTCGCTTCTCAGCCAATCAGCGCGCGTTACGGGCACCGGTCCCAATGCACCGGGAAGCCCAACAACGGAAGGTGGGGGCTGTTCTGAGCCAATCAGCGCGCGCCGGCGGAGGCTTAATTTTGCGGCGCGCGCAAACCGCGCAAACCGCCCGTCCGCAGCCCGTATACGGCTGTACGGGCGGCACGCACAACACGCAACAAAGAGACAAAAAACGGCCAAAGAGACGAAGAAGACGAGACCAAACCCCGCGTAGCCCGCGACCTGGCATCGCCTGCAACCCCCGACAAAGCTTAACGCCGCCAATCTGCCATTCACAACTGCCCAGCGAAACTAGTACTACTGATAAATCTCTCAGCGCCGCATGTAGCTCTGGTGCCAGCGGTAGCCCCCGGCCGCCGCGCCCTCGCTCACCAGCTGCCCAACGTGCTGCAGCCCATCGCGGGGCGCGCGACCCAGCAGCTCCGCCATCAGCCCGTCCACCGTCGCCGCCTCGCCCGCCGCAAGCGCATCCAGCACCCCGGCCCACGCGTCGAAAAACTGCCTCGACTTGCGCCCGCGTCCGGCTCGTGCGTCCGCCGCCGTCAGGAGCGCTGGCAGATCGCCCCGCGCCACCGTTTGCACCGTGACCGCCTGCCCGCTGGCTGCCGCTGCGGCCCGCACCACGTCGCGGAGCGTGTACGCCCGCGCCGCCGTGAGCAGCGCGATGTTGTGCGGGAAGCAGCGGACGTCGCGGAGCATGAGCTGCGCTGTGGCTTCGCCGAGCTCCTCGCGAGACGTCAGCACCATGGGCCCGTCGCTGGACACGTATATTGTCGTCGAGTCCGGATACCACGACGTGAACAGGGGGAACGCTTCGGTATACAGGCCCATGCGCACTGCCGTGTATGCCAGCCCGGACCTGCACATCGTTAGTTAGTGAGTGCAACATCTACTACTCAGTCCTGCGAGACCGTACTCTGCCAGCAAACGCTCCGTCGTCAGGTGCGCCTGTTGCACGCCAACCTTGCTGTCCGATCCATAACCCCCAAATGCGAGGCTGGCATAGTACACCTGTCCCACGCAGTCAGTGTCTGGGGGGATTTTTCTCCGTCGCCAACTGCGCAAGACATACATGGCCCACGCCCGCCCGCTTCGCCGCTGCCACCGCATTCTCATGTTGTCTCTCCCGTTTGAGGGTATCGATTTCCGGGCTTGACACAAAAAAGAACTTTTCCACGCCCGTCAGTGCCGGCACCATCTGCTCCGCATCGTTATAGTCCAGCACCCGAAATTGAGTGCCGGGGTATTCGCGCTGCAGACCCTCGGCGGCCTCGGGGCGGGATGACGCGGCTGCAAGGTGTGCTGGATCTGGAACGTGTTTGAATAGGGTGGCCAGCACTGCACCACCCAGGCCAGAGCTGGCTCCAGAAACGAGGAACGGAACCTTGGACATTATTGGAGCCAGGGACTCTCGGGGCCGGAATGGCGGCCGGCGGTGTACAGCTCGGTCGGGATCTCGCTTCCGTATTTCTTCAGGCCCGGCAGCGTATCTGCATGCGGTATGGAGTAGGGGTTGGTAGGCTCGTATCTCAGTCCAGCTTCGCCCTCACGACTGAAATTTGAGATGGCTGGACGGAACTGCAGGCCGCAAGTGTGGCGGGCAGCCGTCACTCTTATATTCCGGCTCAGAGCCAAATAACTCTGCCCTGACAAATCCATGGAGGGCAGCAAGGCACGCCTGATGCCCGGCGTCTTGATCTCGCGGTCGTCGACGACGGCGCTTGCAAGTTGAAAGTGTCCGGCATGCTGACAAAAGTCGGAGGAACATTGCCAGCATCAAAGCGAACTGCAGGGTTGACTTAACTTAAAATTGGCTTTCTGGGCTAGAAGGAAGCCGAAGGCCTAGCGTAGAGCAGAGATGCTTGATTTCCTAGTATACATACGGAGTACAGGTAACACAGACTGCCATCCCACAGCCATATCACTGGTCATTATCACCTCACACCTCGTCCTCGGTTGGTTGTGGATATTCCCGCAGCCACTGCTGCTTCGTCAGGCAGCGGGCGTCGGACTGCAGGAAGCGGGTGATCGTGTCGTTTAGCTCTGCTCCACATTGGTTATTAGCACCGGAGTAGTAGCGCAACGCTGGCTGGTTGTCTCCATGGTCGACTAGTTTACATACCTTCGACGGTCATCTTCCGCTTCGCCTGCAGCGAGTAGTGCGTGCGGAACTCATGGACGAGGATCAGATCGTCAGGCAGCCGAGTCCCTGCGCGCCGTCACAGTCAGCTTGCACCTTCAAGAAATCTTCATATCAGTAGCTTAGGTAGTTTAATACCGGCAGGAATGGCGTAGACGCACGCGGCGTCTCCCCAGGCATCGTCGACCAGCTCGCGCTGCCGCGGTGTGTTGGGACGCAGCGACGCTTCGTTGGGTGCTGTGGCGATTCTCGTCAGTGGCATCACATAAGAAGCTTGTTCTCTCTCGCTTACGCTGGTATGTCTCCGGCGACAATGCCTTGGGCAGCACCATGCCGTTGTGCGTCAACAGGTCGAACACCCCCTGCGGTCGCGTCGGGCCTGGTCGAGCCCGCAGGCGCACCGCCGGTCCGTTGTTGAGGCGGAACAGCTCTCGCGGCACCGTGGCGAAGGCCTGGATGAATCGCACGCGCATGCTGGCGTAGGAGGTGCGGCGTAGTTGAGTAGTTAACTATGTAACTAACTGGTGTTGGGAGCCTGGTGTTGCGAGAGCATCGCGAGGATGCGATCCTTCTTCGACGTGCGGCCTCACCCACAACCAACCACTCCACCGCGACGAGATGCATCGCGCCCTGTTCGCAGCGACACGCCGCCAGCTCTCGACTGCGGCCTCGCCGCGGAGCTTCCCAGCAACGCTGCACCGCCTGCAGCACCGCCGCGAGTCGCGTCTCTACGACGAACAACTGCGCTCGCCAGCCGACCTGCCGCTGGACGCCGTGCTCGTCTCGCACGATGGCCTGGTGCAACCCGGGACGAGGACTAGAAGTACGCGCTGCCTCCAGCTGCCGCGTGTGGCGTTGTTGCTCATGCTAACTGTCGTCCAGCATCGCCCGGCGCCGTCTTCATGCCCAATACCTTCTACATGCAGGAGCTGACCCGGACGGCCTTCGACGAGTACATAGAGCGTGCACAGGCCAGCGGCCTGTCGGCCGCTCTATGCTACCTGACCATACCAAAAGGCAAGTTTGCGAGCTGGGAAACAAAGGGACCAAACAAAGACTCACGTTCCACCCGTATAGGTACGCCGATTCCACCGTCTCTGGCCCTCGTCCGCGAGCGAAGCGCCCGGTTCTCCCTACAGCCCGCGCAGCCGGTGTCCTTGAGCGGTAGATACCAACGCCCAGCTGGATCGCGGCCTCTCAACTGACCCTGCCTGTAGCGCTGAATGCCCATTTGACGGCGTTCTATGCCGAGTGTGGCGTTGTGACGCCGGCTGGCGAGTGGATGGAGAAGAACGCCTACGATGAGGCTTTTGACGACGACGCGGAAGACTGGATGGAACACTAGCCCGGGCCAGCCGCGGGCGCTGCAAAGCCGTGTTGCTCCCTTTGTGTGCGGACGAGCGTCGAGCTTCCGGTTCAGACGCGGCGACGTGGGCGACAGTCGATGGGAAACATAAGAGCTCCTCCTGTAGTACAGAATGCTGGCCGGCCGCGGCCCATATGTGTGTATTTCTATGCTAGCTGCCTAGCCAGACCAGTCGAAGGGCGGCCTCTTGTTTGGCTGACGCGTCGGAAAAGCCGGAACCCTGGCTGAACAGCCCCTCCCGCCGTTGAGGTATATATACTGGCTGCGGCCAGGGGGCTTGTTCGCTGCTGGACAAACAATTATTGCCGCAACATCAACTCACAATGGCCTCCCATCAACCCGGCCCATGCTGTGCCCAAGGCTTCAAGCATGAGGGCAAGCCTACAGGACAGATCCAGGACATCGATGGCAGTACGCAACTCCCATCGTCGGTCGCTTATCATGCCCCGCAAACTGACTCTCGGCAGCTCAGGTGTATTTCGCCCTTCCCAAGGGCGATGTGAAGCCCGACCAGGCCATCCTCTACATCACCGATATCATGGGCATATACAACAACAGCCAGCTCCTGGCCGACGCCTTTGCCGCTAACGGCTACCTGACCATCATCCCGGATCTCTTCGCCGGCAAGCCGTGGAAGCTCAATGCCGGCTTTGAAGGCCTGATGGATTGGATCAAGGGCTATTCCACGGACGTGGTTGACCCTATCATCGCGTCCGCCATCAAATATCTTCGTGAGAAGAAGGGTATCAAGAAGATCGCCGCCGTTGGCTACTGTTTTGGTGGCAAGGTGAGCTCCCACCCCCGTTAGAGTACCTGGAGCTTTAGCTTCTAATATACAGCCGGCGTCCATGTAGTACGTTTGCCGCTTCCTAAAGGAAGGCCAGATCGACGTCGGCTACACTGCGCATCCATCCTTCGTCGATCCCGAGGAACTTGCCGGCATCGGTGGACCTCTATCCATCTCCGCCGCGGGCACGTATTCCCTAGTTTGCTTGGGCGATCCCCACTAACCTCGGCCGTATAGAAAACGACACCATTTTCCCATCGGAGAAACGACACGAGTCCGAGGAAATTCTTCAGAAGACCGGGCTGCCCTACCAGATCAACCTCTTCAGCGGCGTGGAGCATGGTTTTGCGGTTCGCGGCGACCTGGACAGCAGGCCGGTCACATTCGCCAGAGAGCAGGCTTTCACCCAGGCTGCCACATGGATCAAATGGCACCTCTAGACACTGTATCTACGTACAATAGGCAATGCTCCCACGGAGTAGTCGTTTCTTAACTCTTCATAACGACGCCTAAACTACCTATTCATGCATCAATTTGCCCCCTGTAGGTCTGTCTTTACGAGTTCGCATCCTAGGCCATATTCCAATGTTATATATTTTCCGAGCCGACCACCAGGCGTCTGATAAAAACTACCTGGTTCATGCCTGGGTTACATCAAGAGCAAGTGAAGACAAGCGCTAAATGGCAAGTACCAAAATAAATGCCGGAGCATCGCCAATATCACTGTGTCGCAAAAAAAAGAATCCTAACCAAAACGACGCAAATTACACAACCTGCACAGCCCATTACCATGGATGAGTGTAGTACCCTAATCAATCCCTCCAACTCCTTCGGCTCAAAATGAGGCAGTGCAACAACAGAACTAAGGCGCTATGCAAAGCAAATAACAAAAATAACCAAAATTTATCAAAACGCCAGATGGACTTACCATAGCTCATGCATCCAAGAGAGCCACTGCGATTGACATTCGCAAAATGGTACTTAAATGATACACGAGAGACCAAAAATAGGTGCAGCTTTGGATGCACAGGGCATCTCAGATGGCGGACGCACCGCGGCTTGGAAACGAAGGCCCGAAGGCAAAGATATCCAAAAGATTTTACCACAACCCCCGAAAATTTAAACGTTGCTCGAAACGCAATTTTTTTCCGTTTGCATGACACGGCGAAGGCAGCTCAGATACCAGTAGATGGCAACATGCAGGAACAGAATCTCACTCGTCGGGGTTGTAAAGGTTTTGGTTGAGAATCTTGGTCATTGTGAACATGTGCACGCGGTCTTGTTTGAAGACCGCACGCATGAGATCGTCACACATAATTTGGCGGCGGTCTGCCGGGTCCTGAAGCTCATGGGCATGGATATATTGCCATATCTTTTTCACGGCTTGAGGCCGAGACAGCTATCATCAATTAGGTGGGGGAAATGTATGGCAATTTACTTGGTAGACTTACCGCCACTTCACCCAAGAGCGCAGAAAGAGGGGGCGACAGGTTCATTGGTTTCTAGATCAGATGAGTAAATAGGTAGGGGATAGGAGTCGCAACGACTCACATGAAACCCCCCAGTTCTATTCACTTCTTTCTTAGTTTCCGTTCCCGAAACATCAACTTCGGAGTCATCGGAGGCTTTGACTCTTTTGGAAGTCTTCGATTTATTCACCGGCTTCTTTTTCTTGATGGGGGCGGCTTTTCTGGCGGCCCTCACCGGCCTTGCGCGTGAATTTTCCTCTGCTTGTAACCTAGCCGCGAATGCTGCATCAGCGTCGATCAATTCAGACTTGCGTTTCTTAGCTGGAGGTGGCGTTTCAGTGACATCGGGGCCACCTTCTGCTTCCACGCTTTTGTTTGGTGAATTCGCTGACGGGCCTTGATAAGGAAGGGCTCCCGTTCCGTTTGGCGTGTGGCCATTCGTAGTTGGGGGGCCAGGAGGTACAGCAGAGTGTGCATCCGCCTCAGCGGCGAAGACATCAAATCGCTCCATAATTAAATGCTTAATTTCAGCCTAGCAATTCGGAGTTAACGATGAGAACTTATAGGGAGGCGCGGGTGGGGTTGTGGCACCTTATGGGGTACAAGATCATGGCCGGTAGCATCTTGGAGGCCTCTTCGGATTCTCTTCTCTGAAACGGTATTGATGTCACTGGTGGCAAGAATCTGGTCAATAATCTTGACGTAAGATTGCTTGACATCTTGTGACACTAAGAAGTAGGGTCAGTTTTGGGTCCAAGGCAGACATCTTGGAAGCGAAAGAGAGAGATATAAGCTTACACGCCATCTTGGAAGTCAAGAAAGTTAGGGGTCTTGTGGACAGGGAATGTCTAGGGAAGCTCCCGTCTAGTGCCGCGGGCGGCTGACTATCTATATGATTTCTAAAGGGGCCAGAATCGCTTTTCTAACGACGAGAAGTTTGAGAGCACAAACTGGCAGCCGTTGATAGGAAGAAAATCAGGCGTGGAGCCTGTTGTAAGGTGAATGGTACGCAGCGGGTATAGAAGGGGACAGGCGCTTGGGCAGGAAGATGCGGCTGGCTGCTTTAGCAAGGGCAAGGAGCAAGACACTCTCAGTGAAAGGAGGTCAAAGAAAGGTACCATCTATTCTGAAAGATGGCGGAGAAAGAGATCAATTGCAGTGGTAGCCGGGTCGTCGCCAGCAACAGCAGCGGCAGCAGCAGCGCAGCAGAGGAGCATCGCAGCGCGGTCTCGCCGTTCGATCTCGGTTGCTCGTCGTTGCGCGCGCAGGCTTGGCGGCGCTGAACAGCCGCGCAGGTGACCTGCTGAGTCAGCTGATTCCTTGGCGGCAGCCCTAAGCCCTAACTGCGCCCGAAACAGGGCTGCACGGGATTTTCGTTTTGGGACCGCAAGAGCAGAGATAGCGAGAAGGCGACGACGACAGCATACGGCACGACGGTCCCTTTGCGGTGACTATTCCCTCCGCGTCTTCTACCTGCCATCGCGTCGCCAGCATGGCGCCCAGCTTCGACACCCTGTCCGAACAGGACCTCCATGAGGAGGAGGTTGAAATCGATTTTTCCGGTCTGTCGCCAGCAGCCCGCCTTGCCGCTCCCTCGCTAATTCTGGTATAGATCTCAAAGCGCAATATGAAGTCCGTCTAGAAGAGGGCCTCGATGCATTCGTCGTCATCGACGGGCTCCCCATCGTACCTGAGGACAACAAATCACGACTGATCAAGTTTTTGTTGAAAAAATTAAACACCGTTGGCAGAACACGGGAAGATTCCATCTTTATGCCCCTTAATGAGAAGGGCATGTCTGAAGGGTACTGCTGCCCTCCTTAGTTTTTCTTTTAATGCTACTCTTTTTGCTTACTCGTCTTTAGCTTTGCCTTTGTTGAATATGATACACCCGAACAAGCGATCGCTGCCACAAAACACCTGCATGGCACACCGTTAGATAAAAAACACACGCTGGCTGTCAACAAATTGACCGACATTGACCGATATGGACGAGAGGGCCGCATTGAAGAGGAGTACAACCCACCCAAAATCGAGCCATTCCAGGAGAAAGAGCACTTGCGATCCTGGTTAGGTGACCACGGTGCGCGCGACCAGTTTGCCATGTACCGCGGTGACAAGGTTGGCGTTTTCTGGAACATGAAGAATAACCCACCGGAGAACGTCGTCGATCGCGATCATTGGACTCAGCTGTTTGTACAATGGTCCCCTCAAGGAACATATCTTTCTTCGGTGCATCCCCAAGGTGTACAGCTCTGGGGAGGCCCTCAGTTCAGTAAACAGAAACAATTTCCACACCCCTTTGTCTCCTTGATGGAATTTTCCCCTGGCGAAAGCTACATGACCACTTGGTCCAGCCGTCCCATCGCGCTAGATGGCCCTCCTGGAGCACTCTCATACGAAGAAGAAGGGAAAAATATAATTATTTGGGACATAGCTACTGGAAAACCTTTGCGTTCGTTCGTTTCTCATGATCTTCCCGTCGCACCCAGCAGCGAAGGTGATGCCGCACAGGCTAAGAAAAAGGTACAATGGCCAGCCTTTAAATGGTCGCCTGATGAGAAGTTTGTCGCTCGAATGCTTCCTGGACAGTCGATTTCTATCTATGAGCTACCTCGTATGAACCTTTTGGATAAGACATCCGTCAAAATTGAAGGCGTGAGAGACTTCGAGTGGTCCCCGGCTACGGTCCAGCGAGATGGCATCAAACATTACGAGCAGTTGCTCTCATTTTGGACCCCTGAAGATGGAAACAACCCCGCGAAAGTCGGTTTAATGAGTGTGCCGTCCAAAGAGATCGTCCGAACAAGAAACCTGTTCAACGTTTCAGATGTAAAATTGCACTGGCAGTCCTCAGGGGCATACGTCTGTGTTAAGGTCGATCGACACTCAAAATCTAAGAAGTCATTGGCTACAAATCTCGAAATCTTTCGTGTTCGCGAAAAGGGTGTTCCAGTCGAAGTCGTTGATTCACTGAAAGATACTGTTATCAATTTTGCGTGGGAACCTAAGGGCGATCGATTTGTGCTCATTACCACTGGTGAAGCCCCCGCAGGTGCTGCCGTGGCTCCTAAAACTGCAGTTTCCTTCTTTGCCCCAGAGAAGACGAAGGGCGGCGCCATAGGAAACTTCAAACTTGTGCGAACAATTGAGAAAAAGACCAGCAATGGCATTTACTGGTCTCCAAAAGGCCGCTTTGTTGTTGTTGCCACTGTACATTCGCAACAAAATTTCGACCTCGACTTCTGGGATCTCGACTTCGAAGGCGAGAAACCAGAAAGTGAAAAGGATCTGAGTGCGAACCTGCAGCTTATGAAATCTGCGGAGCATTTTGGCGTGACTGATGTTGACTGGGACCCTACCGGCCGATATGTAGTTTCCAGTGCGAGCGCGTGGACTCATTCGGTAAGTATCAGCTAAAACTTTTTTTGAAGTATTTGAACTAATAAAATAAAATACATAGCTTGAAAACGGGTTCCATGTTCACACATTTTCCGGAAACACGCTCGCTGAACACTCCATTGAAAAGTTTAAGCAGCTATTGTGGCGCCCCCGCCCAGCAACTCTTCTCTCCAAGGAAGAGCAAAAGAAAGTCCGCCGAAACCTCCGCGAATACTCTCGTGAATTTGACGAAGAAGACAAGTATGCCGTTGATATCGCAAACACCGCTATTGTGGAAATGCGGAAGAGACTGCTTAGTGAATGGACCGCCTGGCTTCAGAAAGAGAAAGAAATTGTCGAAGAAGAACGTGAAGCCTTGGGCCTGCCTGAGGTGGAGGAGGAGCCAGCTGCTAAGCCCGCTCCTGGGGCAGAAGATGACACCGTGGTTGAAGAGATTGTCGAGGAGATCATTGAGGAGTCAGAAGAGATTGTGGCATGATAATTGTGCAAAAGCGGCTTTCTGTGACTATTCGCTGTTGTTATTTCTATCAGACCAAGAGCTAATGTGAAATGTCATAAACTGATGATCAGCAAGAGAAAATTGAAGCTACTTCTTCAGACTTTATGTCATAATAGACTTCCATTGTCCGAATTCCACCACCTACACCCCTTAGTGCCCAGCGTTCTGAGTAATCCAGTCAATATATGCGTGTATTCGGACGGCCACTGCTGCATAAACGCCCTCGGAACACATCAAAGACTTGGCATAACTCCAACCATTTTATTTGTTGCCAAAACATATGTAGGGCCTTCCCTGTCTCCACTGCTTTGGCCTTCGGTCGATAAGGAGCCGAAACCTGTCGTAAATTTGAAGAGCCTTAAGGGAGTACCAGCTGTCCGGCGCGGGAATCGCTATTACCAGTGAGACAGCTGATATAAACAGAGCAACCACGTTTACGAGGGATCGTGCCATTACGTTTAGGGGGGTTCCAAATCAACGATTAAAAATATCCATACTTCTGTGCTTCTATAGGGCAGTATTCCTCTTTTTATATTACATTTTTAAGCCGAGAAGTTAGTCAGTTGCATGTTCATGCTGAGAATGCAACCAGATATAGCTGGAAACTGGAGGATTTCATCAGCCATGGGCTTATATATCACTTCTTTATCAAGCATCCGCACCGGGCCTTGGACAATCAATGAAGGAAGAATCTGGTTTCAGGTAGCATTTTGAAAGCAAAACAGTACTCATCCTGGCCAATAGCGCTGGTTCGACCCAATTCCATGATAATTGGATGTCGGGGGTCAGAGGAGCTCGGACATACGGGCGGCCATAATTAATTAATGTGCATCCTTGCGCAGCACAAGGCACAGGACGCCACGTCTAAAAGGATTTCGGGGTCTGAGCTCTTCCTTCTATCAAGCTATCATTCAAGCAAATCCCGTGAAAGCATGTCAAATAAAATATATTCAGGCTATATGTGCCGGGGATACATATGTACAGAGAACTTGTTAAAAAAAGTGTAGAGAAACAATGGCTCTAGCCTTCCTCTACTCCTTCAGGTTTCCAGCGAGCCATTTGTTGAAGAACTCCAGGGATGCCTCGGGTTGATCGTATGGAACCAAGTGGCCGGCCTGGAAGATCTTCAAGAAAGCAAAGTTCTGGTGTGTCTTCAACTGGCCGTAAGCCTTGGAGGTGCTTGGAAGTTTCACCTCGGTCAAGGGCTTTCGAGAGAACTCGGCCTTGCCAGGCCAATCCAGAGCATCGACCCACATCTTGTTTCCGACCCAGTTGCAAATATAGTCTGCATCACCAGCGTAGACAAGGACAGGGATTTTCTCCAGGATACCAGGGATCTTGCGGTGGAATGGGAGAGACCAATCGCCATTGTTAAAGAAAGCTCTGTTGACAGCAGTATTGCAGGACCTGAAGGAGCGGACTTCGGCACCGATACCCTCAAGAACATCCTTCTGGTTGAGCCAGCGGCTGATCCAGCCTACAATAGAGTAGCAGAGATTGGCCTGGTCTTCGCAAGGGCTACGGACATCATAAATATTTCGGCCCCGAGGGTATGGACTGAGGAAGGCCCCGTTGCAGGTGTTGGCTGAGTTGACGCAGCTGCTGGTGTCCTGCTTGTCGTAGCAAGCCTGAACAGCGCGTTGGCATCCAGGGAGAGCCTGTTGCATCTGGTTACAGGTGCTCTGGCTAAGGACAGCCTTGTAACCTCCTTGACCGCAGCCCATGGGCTGATAACCAGCGTATTGAGTTTTGGCGTCTGTAAGGCCGTTGCCAATGAGAAGACTCTTGAGGTTGATGCCACCCTGAGCAAGGATATCTGCACCGAACTGTGGGATGTAGTGGCCAGCATAGGATTCGCCAGCAATGTGGAAGGGCAGCTTGGAGTACTCGGGGAATTGCTGGAAGAACATCTTCAGGAAGGCATAAACGTCCTTCGAGGCAGCAGCAGTGTTACTAACAGAAGAAGTGCTGTACGAGAAACCAGTGTTGACTGGTTGATCAAGGAAGATGACGGAGGCGTTGCTGTTCCAGGCGTGTGGGTTGTATACGAGCTTAATATTTTTGTCCACGCGCGAGGGTCCAAGTTCCATAAAGAGGCCGGTCATGGAGGAGCATCCAGGGCCACCGTTGAGCCAAATCACAACAGGGTCATTCTTCGGGTCGTTTCGAGATTCAAAAAACCCTTATTCCGGCCCAGCGTTAGTAACTACTCAAGATAAAGGACAATTGGTATACGTACAGAAGAACAAATGTTTTCCACTGCCATTATCATCTAGATAACCACTGTATTGTTTGACATTTGGGTCAACACCAAGCTTTTTGGGGTCAACAACTTTCACACGGAGCGAATAGTCATTGAGATTCTCAGCGCCGTTTCTGCCAGCGAAAGCAGCGTCCATCTCAGATCCGCGCACAATGTGGTTCCACTCGCTATCGGGGCGGCGGAAATGTTCTTGGGGTTTGACGAAGAAGTCCGCCATTTTGGCGTCTGGGAGCGCCGCCTTGATATCCGCCCAGTGTGCCTTGCCGGCTTCATCGAGCATGTCGGCAGACCACACATCATCGGCTGGAGCGGCAGCAACTTGCGTGGCAGCCACTCCCAACAGGAGCGAAGATAGGAAGCCCTTCATAGCTGGCCTCGATGAAGGGTATAGGAAAGAAGATTGAAGGTGAGGAAAGGATCTTGGGTGTGCCGAACTTCAATCCAATCCATCATGGGAAATGAGGGTAATATACCATTTCTCATGCCCGTAAGCGAGGCGGCGAGCAGGGCGCTCATCAAGACGATCGACGGCGCGGAACGTAGGTCGTACCGTGCATAGCCGGAAGAGCAGATTAATTGCAGTAATGTGGCTCCATATTTTGGGTTGGTGCCCTTTGATAGAAGCATATCACAGTGGAGCCGGGGGTATCTTGGGGATAATCCTCGCCGCCTGTCTATAGAAGCAATATATTATGCGGAGTCCGTCGTATTGGCAAACATGGACCTTGGGAGCCATGGGAAATCAATTGCGAGATGAGAGGCCCGGAAGTTGGAAAATGTCGGGCCTTCGCCGCAAAGGAGCCGGCGTGAAGGATGGGCCATCCTGGCAGGTTGCATCGGCGGTCATCTGGCGAGCCATGGGAAACGTGATCAGCAGGGAAGCTGAAACGCTCTGATGGGCCGAAGGCGACTGCGGCAACGGTGCTGCACGACTATCAGCAGGACTTACTCCGTAATCAATAATGATACTCCGTCCATACTGTGCTCCGTGACCCCACGTTGTAGCCAGCAGCCACCCGAGCGTTGCGTGCCTCGTTCGTGCTGGCATCGTCGCAGCCGGCTTGATCCAGACATGGGGGTGCAGACAAGCTTTTGGGCTGGAAATAGAGACGACACATGGCTAGGTTGGCTGAAAGCTTGAGAGAGAGCCTGCTGGGTGTGGTTGTTTTGGCAAACAGCCACACGACGGCTGGGTTTGACGGTTTGACAAGCAACGATCGCTGGTTTGCCTGTCAGCAAGCAGAAGCTGCTCCATACATCACCACGCTCGACGCGAGAAAAGCGTTTCGTGTTTGATCAGGCAATCGGGCGATAATAATGGCAGGTCCTGCACAGGAATGACCTGCTATAAAGCCTCACATATGCCCTCCATTAGCGGGCGCTGTATACATCCACAAAGTTTGGCATGGATACACCGCATTCCTACCTGATAACTACATAACATATATTACTGGTGGGGTCGAGATTCAGTTACATTCCGTTTATCCTCAAAGCGACGGGAAGCAATGGCTGCTGTTGCCGGCACCCGCCCTGGCAAACCGATTGTTGTTGGTCTCTATGGGGTCCCCGGCTCGGGGAAATCATACCTGCTGAAACGGCTTGAACTGGCACTTGGGCAAGATGTTTTCGCGTTCTTTGAGGGGTCTAAGGTGATCGCTGACATCGTTCCTGGTGGCCTCGATGCGTTCGTCAAGCTAGGAGAAGAAGACAAAGCATGCTGGCGAGAACGTGCTATTGATAGCATCAAGAAGAAATGTGCGGATGCTGGGAAAGTTGGAGTAGTCGCTGGCCACTTCATGTTCTGGTCAGAGAACAGTTCGACGGGTACCGTCGTCTGCACCAGCCGCGATCTTGATACCTTCACCCATATATTGTATCTCGATGTCCCCGCGAATGTTGTTGCTCAAAGACGCTCGCAAGACGCTGAAAGAAGCCGGCCAAATGTATCCGTCTTGCATCTAGAACAATGGCAGCAGGCCGAAAAGAGCCAGTTGCGCTATTCCTGCCGGATCCATGGCATCCTGTTCATGCTATTGTCTGCACACCAAGTGGCTATCGACAGTGTTGCCACACTTTTGAACAACTTCCAGCGGTATAATGAGAAGTATAACCTTTCCTGTGCTGAAAAGAAGCTGGATGACATCATGGGTACTAGGCACGGGTTGGGGACGATGCTGGTCCTAGACGCAGACAAGACATTGGCTGCCGAAGACGCTAGTACTCTGTTTTGGCAGACTTCTAGTGCTCACAGGAAAAGTGGTGAAGAATGCCCGTTAAAACTGCTATTTTCAAGCCCGCTCGGCTACTCTTACACTGCATTTCAGCAAGCTACACTTCTCTATGAAGAAGCTACCGATGATCAGTCGTTTGAAACTATCTGCCAGGAAGCCGCGTCAGCAATCAGGATATATCCTGAATTCAAAGACCTATTAAACAGGCTGGCAGATAATAAGCATGCTGGCGCAGTGGTGGTTACATGCGGGCTGCGACGTGTTTGGGAAATCGTCTTGGAGAGAGCAGGACTATCCAGGTCGGTGAGCGTAATTGGCGGCGGACGCCTTACCGACGGATTTGTCGTCACACCCACCGTTAAAGGTGCACTGATTGACCGGCTGCGAAATGTCTACCGGCTGCACGTTTGGGCGTTTGGAGACTCCCCAATGGACTTGAGCATGCTGCACAAGGCTGACCAAGCAGTAGTTGTTGTTGGAGACAAATGTAACCGGAGCAGGTCTATGGAATCAACTCTAATGCATGCCATTGACGCCGAAGGCCTTCAGGCACGTCAACTCCTGCTGCCTAGCACCGTGTGTCCGCGGCTGGATCTCGTTAGGCTCCCTTTAATCAGCCTAACTGACAGTGAGGTGATAAATTCAATATTTCGCCACTACGATAAGGCTTCTGGTCTTCAGGTCCTGCATGCAACGGACAAAAGTACGGCAAAGTTACTTATGACGCCAATGCGAGATGCAGCCAATGCAGGCCCGATGCTAAGGGGCGCCCACCGGCGAGCAGGGCGATTCCTGGCAACGGACCTTGTTGCCGACCTCATCGGCCTCGAGGAGTTTCCCATCCGCCACGTTCAAGGGAATCAAACGAATGGGCATCGGTTGCTGCACGAGAAAGACACGCTGATTGTGCCACTCATGCGAGGTGGCGAGCCGATGGCTTTGGGCGTCCATGATGCGTTCCCGCTGGCGATGTTTCTCCATGCCCATGACCCAACAGATATAAGCAGCGATCATCTGCGAGGGAAGAATACTGTTATTTTAGTCGATTCAGTGGTGAACAGCGGCCGATCTATCCTGGAGTTCGCTCAACACATCCGCGCGGTGCACCTCACTATTCGCCTAGTCGTGGTTGCCGGTGTCGTCCAGGCAAGCGCGGTGTCTGCAGAGGGCAGCCTCACCAAGGCTTTGGGCGCAGACAAGCATTTTAGTATTGTTGCACTGCGCCTTTCTGACAACAAGTTCACTGGCAAAGGCAGCACAGATACGGGCAACCGACTGTTCAACACGGTCGATCTGATGGCGCACTGAGGCAGGTAGGATGGGGAAGGATAGAGTAGCTGTTAGAATGGCTTTAGCATTTCTTAGACCATAGAATTCAGTATCTGTTTTGGGGCATGATATGTATGGCTGGGTATCTCTGGAGCTGGTGAGGTCTTGGAGTGCGGAGTGCCAGGCCTCCTGTTGAGCAGGAGTCAGGTGACTTGTCAGGTGACCAGGTCTTTGAAGGAGGAACCAGAGAACCGTAGGTTTGCCACCTCCTCTTCTCAACCACAGTACCAATTTCATTATCTTTGTCTATTGGGCTGGTGAAGGTTTGCTAGGGGTTTTTCATATGTTTTTCTCATAGTCTTGATTATAGCATGTTCATCTATAAGTATCTGTGTCTCATTTATTAGAAGCAAGATCAGATGCAATATTATAAATGCTCAGTTACATAATCATCATGTGCTTCTATGTTATCTGATAGTTATGAGTCCAGACTCTTTCAAGAATTTGATTATTATCTAAAGATATGTTCAAGATACTTTATTTTACTCTTATTACTCATATAAATAGAGATCACTATTAAGTATCTTGAGATCATACATTGAATTCTCTATTTAAGCTTAAATCTTAATTACAGAGTTTGCAGAGATCTAATGCATCTATATAATTTTTATTAATCTAAGTCTATGAAAAATCATAATCTAGAGTCAATATCTCACTTCAATAATTAATTAAAAATAAATGAATTGTCTAGAATAGTTGTTATGCTGAATAGTTCTGATGATTGAAAAGAATGAATCAAAGACATTAAGCATTTAGTAAATCTTCACTGATTGTGACTGTATATTGATCTGACAAAAGAAATGCATTTCAAACTTTGAGAATCTGTTATAGAGAATTTTCTTTCTTCTGAGAAAACTGAAGAAACTGCAACTTCTGCAGATATGAAACATGCAAGAAATATGCAAAGAGATTGATATAAAACTTAATAGAAGAGAGTCTTAGTGATGCAAGAGCTATAGAAAACAATAAGAGACTGTGTAGATCTGTCTCTGAGAATTCTTACAATAAGTGAATTGAGTGATGTAGAAGCTACTGCAAAAAAACATCTAAAGACTTTATATGCTAGAAATGTGATGAATGCTTCTTAATTAAAAGCTAGATTAGTAGAGAAATTCAAAACTCTTGAAGAAAAGTCAAAGAATCAAGCAATTGAAGCATATTTACTGAACTATAAAGAAACATTAAATCAGATGACTGTGTATGATATGTGTGAATATATTCACAAGTCTTTTATCTTCAAACAATTTCTGAGAGTAATCTCTCAGAATTACAGAGAGTTCTTCTATATATATCTGTCAAAGCTTTTAACTGAAGAGAATTTGAATCAGAAGCATGAGCTGAATGTTTATAGACATATTTAAATATTTTGACAGACATTAAAGAAGAATTCTGAGTCAGATCAACAGAATAAGCTGTCAGCATATTTCATCAAAAAGATAGTTTAAAATAAGCTGTTGGGAAAGAATAATGAAAATACAAACTCTGCATATTTTTGTGAAGAGCATCATGATTGGGCATACTGTTCATATTTTAATTCACTTATTCAATCAACAGACTGAAAATCAGATTCAAAGATTGATAATAAGATCAAGAAAGCATTGAAGAATTCAGTGAATGAAAGAAAATTAAAGAAGAAGATTGCAAATTGAAAGAAATTGAAGAATTTAAATACTACTGAAGAAGTTAGTGCTTCAGATGATGTGATAGATGATGATGCTAATAAAGCTATTGTCAAGACATTCTCTAATTCAACTATTTTTGCTTCTGTAATGATTTTTAACTTCAGTAACATGAGCAATAAATATGAACTCTATTCATTACAGAACAGCTTCATATTAGATGAAGATGCAGATGCACATATTTGCAATGATTTTACAAGATTTCAAAACTACTGAAATGCTGATTCTTCAGATATTGTGCTCATTGGAAATACTTATTGTAAAATTCATAAATATGATGATGTTGAAGTTTATATTCAAACACTGACAGATGCTGATAAGATATTACTAAAGAATGTTCTCTACATTTCTGACTTTCATATAAATCTAGTAGTGCACAGATTACTGTTTGTGAAGAATTGTTATTTGAATGACAAGTCTCTTATGATTTACTACACTGGCACAAGAGATATCTTGTTCAATTTGACTGTTAAAGAAAGAAAAATGATTGTAGAATACAGATCTATTAATGTTGCAACAGACAGTATAACAAAAAGTGTCTTTACTGTCTTGTTGAATGAAGATTCAGTTAAAAAACTGATGATGATGTTGATCTTCAGTTTGTTAGAAACAATGAATATTTGACATTTAAGACTTAATTATCTAGAAAGAAAGTCTCTGACTCATCTTCTAAAAATGTCTACTGATGTGAAATTTGAAAAGATTTCTCAGAATTCTCTAACAGTAAAGTGCAGATCTTGCACTCTTTCAAAAGCAAAGCAAATTATATGCAGAATGCCATCAGAAAAATCTATATATCTGTTCATGAAGATGTTTGTTGATCTCATATAGTTTACTTCAGATTATAATGGAGATAGATGAGCAGTTCACTTATATTGTGATTATATCCATCTGCACTACATGAAAATGATGCAGTGAAAATTCAAAAGTTTGACATGCACAGCAAAAATGATATGGGTAATTCTCAATTTATATCAATTGACTATCTTGACTATTTAAATTGACAGAGAAATCTCTATGCAGTCAGAACTGACAGCATTGACTCAAACATATGATATAGTTGTTCAATGTTTGGCACTCTACACATCAGCTCAAAATGAAGCTGCAGAGCATGCAGAAGCTTTAATAACAACAGTAGTGTGTACAATGTAAATTGAAGTTAATTTATCTGAGAATTTGTGGTCAGAATGTGTCAAGACTGCAGTGTATATTTTAAACAGAATTTCAGTTAAAGATCTTGATTGAAACACTTCTCTTGAATTCTTAGAGAAATATCTTTGAACTGCAACTTCTTTAACTGAAATTAGACATATAAGAGTTTTTGGCTGTAGAGTGTATTCTTTAATTAAGAATGCATGATATGAAAGAAATCAGAAGCTGACTTCTAGAGCAGAAGTTGAATATTTTGTTGAATATGAATCAATAAATATTTTTCACATTTGAATTTCAGTACAACAAAAGATTATATTAACAAGAGATGTTATATTCAATGAAGATATGCTATTCAACTCTAAAGAGATTAGCAGCAAGCTTTTATTGCAGAAGAGCTTTGTTGTGCTGGATACAATATCTTTTGTTGAAGTAAGTGATATTAACAAGACAAACTTAAGTGAGCATGACAGTGAAGATGAAGACTCTGAGAAGAATACACTATGTAAAAGTCAGAAGACTGTTGATCAGTCAATAAAATTGATGAAAACAATGACCAAGACATTAACTAATCAATTAGAAGAGACATGTGCATTGTCAACATCAGAGTCAATATCAGAACTATTGACTTCAGACATCTACACTCAATCTCTTCTGAATGACTCAACAATGTCATTGACTGAAATAGAGATGCTGAATCAACTTTCAATGACAGTCAATCATTCTGTCACAGAAGCTATGGAGATGGTAAGTGATGTTGTAATTGAGCTGTCTGAGATTATAACATCTACTACACTTTCTGCCACTAGCTCTATGGGGGCAGTGAGCACAAATGACAGACAATTAATAGTCAATTGTTCTGCTGCAGAGACAGTGAGCACTAATGATGGGATTTTGACAGTCAATTGTTTTGTCATGAAAGTGATGAATGACTCAGCTGATGTGAGCTTAAGCACAGAGCAATCTTCTAGATGAAGTGCTAGAATAAGATGCTGTAAGACTTCATGCTGCAGTCTTCTTACATTTGTTTCATCATCTAAAAGAGATTTGTAAAATCTTCTTAATGCTTAAATGATCATGCTTCATGACATCTGAGATTCATAAACTTCATAACTGATCACATAATCTTACTAGCAAAACTGAACACACAAAATCTGTCACAGACACTTCTTTATGAAGATCAGTGGCAACATATCTAGAGACTCTAGATACTGTTGTAGCAATATAAGTTATCTCTCTCTTTCTCATGCTTAGATCTCTTTGTAACCACCTCTCACTCAATCTAATCTCATTTATGAAGACTGTAAGTCATTGTCACATTATCTGCAACCATGTAATTCTCACAGTTTGCCACTCAAATAAGCAGATGATCTGACAATGATTTTCACAAGACAGAATAACTGAGACCAAACTGAATTCTCAACTCTTTTCTCAGTATCAGAGTTAACTGAGACATCAAGTGCAACAATAAATCTGAATGAAAGCATAACTCAGACTGAGAAATCATCTTCAGAGAACATGAAATCTCTTGAGAACTTAAGAGAGTGAATACATCTCATGAAAAGAATTCAAGAACTACAGCAGAGTTTACAAACTCTGAATAAAAAGCATGAGTGAACAGAATCACTTGATGTTCTGATCTCTAATTTAAATTCTTCAAAGAAGAGCTCAGTCATCAAGTCTCCACAACATAAGATTAACTATCAGATCAAGAACTATGCAGCCTACCAACAGTTTATCTCTCAAATAGAATTCATTCAAGATGCTAGTGATCTAAATGACAATGAAATTCTGAAGTATGCAGTCACAGAGTTGAACTATAATAAGAAAGATCTTTGAAAATCACACTCAGCTCAGAACTCTACTCTGAACATCTAGACTGAACTCAAACAATTTCTACTTTTACAACTAGATGATTCTGAAAATCAAATCTGATTAGTCTGAAGAAATCTTTTTCACCTTTGTAAAAGAGATGATGAATCAGACTTTGACTGATTGCAACAATTTCAACAACATTTGCAACAAGTGAGTAAAGAGACACAGAGTGTGAATAAGTTCATCAAACATCTTTTTCTATGATAATATGACAAATCTATGTGCAACAAGCTGAATGAACAGAAGAATCTCTCAGAGAAACTGAATGAGATTCAG